TTTGTAGGGGGTAAGACACCTAAACACGAGTGAAATAATGCCAAGAATCATCTCACATGTGTTGCATCTATTACAACTGTATAGCACTTATCAGAAGGCATACGGTGTTATCTCTCTACTTAGAGCGGCAGTAATGGCCACACAAACACAATGGGCATTTCGAACGGCACACAAAAACGATCGGTAGCTATTCGAAGCAATGCTTAACAGCAGTAATCCTAGAGACGAAACTCTAGATATTTATTTCAAACGCAATAATATGCAAATTACTAAGAAAAGAGTCTTCGATTATGCTTTTTTGTGTTCAAAAACTATGATGGTACCATGTGCTCTTTTTCATTAAAGTTAATCGTTTTTAGTTAATTGTATGATACTCATGAACTAACGTATGTCAAGAGAACTCCACCCTACAAGTGTCTATTAGGCCTGACTGGTCCGGATTTCTGCAGCAACAGCAACTGTTTCTAAAAAGCGCAAAGACTGCGTTTTATGTACCGACACTTCTAAAAACCCACGATAACCATCTATTGTGTTGTTTTTCTAGTGATTTTCCGGGTGAAAGCTCAATCAGACACAGCGCCAGATATTCCCCACTGCACACATCTACAACCGACGCCATACTGGCAATTACCTACAGTAAAAATAGCAACGTAAGAGAAACAGTTTGGCGCTAAAAGGAAATCTGCCGTAAAAGCTCGACTCTTAGCGTGAGCGTTATGGATGAGAGAAAGAGGTTCATATTTGGCTTAAATAGGTATCGTAGTTTCGTTGATGCCACTACAACTAATGGAAGATTTTGAAATGGAAATGTTGCACAATCCGTTGTTCTGCTAACGTTTTCTGAAGTCAGACGCTACGAGGGTAACGGCTGCAACAGGTATATCAACCGGTAACAGAAATGGCGGGTAGGAACGATATTCGACTAAGGCTGCTAACAATAACAGCTCAGCTTTTATTGAATTGTTATGAGCAAGGAACTCGTGACGATTTTAGTCAGATAAAAGAGCAATGCTGATCCCTTGCGTGCCTATCTGGTCCGCCAGCGATAGGCAGACCAGATTACAGATCACCACAGGTGCCACCTAGCGGCACAATAGGGCTGTAGGGTTGATGGGGCAAAATATGAAACGGTCAAAGACTCCTTTGATGAGCTGAGAGCAAGAAACATCTTGGAACAGTGGGTTTATTCAAAATATTGTTACGATTTATAGAATAATACAGTGCGTCTTTTAAAATAACGATAACAGGGAAATGGAGAACATCGTTTTACCGATTGTGGCTGTTCAGCTAATGGGTTCTTTAACACACAATGCAATTTATGTCTGGCTAAAACAAAACATCGTAGCTTATAATCGGTTTGTATGATACCGTACGGTTGAAGAGTTTCGAAAAGTCATCTTTTACCTTAGTTAGTAAACCTCGCAAACGCACAACGATGGATTACGAAGAAATACTCTTCATTTCGCCCGCCAATAGTATTTACTTGTCATCATACTCGGAACGATAAACACGGGTTATTTTGCGCTAAGGATCTACAGCAGTTTTCTACGAGACCACTAACTCTCACTGACTCCATATAGATATAATATACGCCATATAGATCGTAGCGATAAAATGGTATGCAGAGCCCACAGATACAGGCCCCCGTTGTTGTTATTATTTTTATAGACTCGAGTTTAAGTGATAAGGTTACCTTGAATTGCACTTATATGTTGCGTCCTTAACAAAATAGGACTCTGAAAAGACTAGATATGGTTTTACCTACTGTAGATAAATTTCATCGGTCATCTGTGTTTATATCCCTTTGATTGACTTTCTCGCAATCTCACATCCTTCGGCACCGGAGCGATTTGACTCGAATAACTGCGAAAACCAAAATGGCGCTACAGCAGAAGACTAGATAGGCGGTATTTACTCAGAGTATTCAACTGAGGTGTTCGTCCTTGGTCTACTATATACGGCCCGTTGAAGCATGCAAGCCAAAAACGATCGTTGAGTCACTGGGTACCGAATTCCTATACCGGCCTACATTATTATGATGCTTAATCGCTGGTCAACGTGAACGACTCTCTTCTACTGACCAGTATACGAATGTCAGCCAGGGCCATATTCTACTATAAAGTAACTAGCGTTTAGTAAATATTTATTATTATTGCTATTATTAGGAGCAAATCCTACGAAGTAATCTAGTATTTTCGTTATTATATATTTTGTGTTTTTATAGCTATATTATTCTACTTGAATGGCGTCTATAACAAAACACGGTATGCCTATTGAGACGCGCTCGAATTTGAGTAAATTCAATAGCTAGCTTACCACCGACGTCTGAGATGACAGTAACGGTGTCTACACTTAAAGCAATAGCAATACAATTTTCTCGTTTTACCTAAAAAAAAAATGTTCACACAGTAAGCGGACAGATTCCACAGTTGTGATACCAACCAGAGGCGTGTACCGAAGAGCTCATAGTAAATTAGCAGACAGCATGCAAACGATTTGGCACGCGGTGGTCGTCTTCACCATCGGTTAGCTGACGTTTTTACGCTCGTGGCCGAAGTCACCATAATCCGAACGGAGTTAGTGAAGTCGGTGCATTCTGGCGGAAAAGTTCACGCGCCTGTCTGCCCTATAATTAGCTACCCAATCAATTTGGTTATATATATGGCCGGTAAAGGCAAATCTTCTTTATAGCGTTTGCTTGATAAAGAAGAGGTATAGGTAAATTATCTATAGGTATCATCCGTTCCCGACAAGTTCGATTCAGTTTGTTAGACTATAAAGGAAAATACACTAAGCCCATGACCGGTCGTCGGCTACAGCCAATGACGGTTTACCATTATTAATAGTATAGTACTGTAGGCATTAAGCGACACCATGGAGCGGTCGTGCTCACCTTAAGCATGACATGAAGAAGGGTACGATACGTACACGTACCTATTCTATTGTTTTGCCTAATGTACAATTGCTAGATATAGGTTGATGATAGACGTACATCTCCCAAACTGAACATTTTTCCCACCCATCTTTTAGCCGACGCTGAGATCGAGCTCAATTTTAGCAAGCACAGCATAACTAATCACAATCAACATTCAGGCCAGTATCACGTACCTCGTTCATCCGCCTATATATTCATACGTTATCTAATACTTCGCTAAAAAGCCGAAACGGCGGGGCTTTACGTGGCGTTTGGAGAAAATACATATCGATCGTTCAATGAACTTGAATAGACTTTTCAACCCCATAATGTTAACCTTTTTAACCCCAAATTTACCAGTTTAGCTATGCTTTTCTACAATAGCTGTTTTTTTTTTCAGTTGAATTAATCACTTATTCATCCAGTGCATCGACAGCCATCAGTAAAACAATCACAGTAAAGCAGCCATCACATCGTCAAAGTCGTAGGCCAATACGTTACCGTCTATTACATATAAATAGGTGCATAATGTTCTGTTCTGTTCTGTTACCGGTATAATTGTTAAAAATGTTGCTGTTCCTCTCACTAGCCCCTGTCCTCTGCTGCCCCCGACTCGCACTGCTCCTCCCTGGTTCTTTCCGCCCCGATTTACTTGCGAACACAGCGACCAAAGATGTGGCAATTTGACAAAAAGAAAGGTGTTTTCTACCCACTATCGGCCATCGTGGCACGGAGCCGCTCACTGGGTCAGCTCACAATTACGTTGCATCGAATGTAGACACAGCCATATTTAGATCATTTCTAGTCTACTCACGTTCTGGTGTACCACGATGATGCCACAGGCACAGTAACAGCATTACTAAGTAGTCCAAATGGCTTGTTAGGCACCATCATAACTGCGGCTGATTAAACCCTAACAATCAAATAAATTAGTTATTTCATGCTCCGGACTACTATTCACTTGATAAATTGTGACTTATTCATACGATGCCCGTGCAGGTCGGGGCGCGAGAGGTAGCTTAAACGACAATAGACGAATAATGCTAGCGCTTCGATACATGTCTTAAATTGCAATATTATGGGGCAAGATTACGTTGCCCTTTTGAGGCTTCTTGACAAGAAAATCAACAACCATTGTAAGCAATTCTTCCAATTGCCCGGTCAAAAGAAACGACTGAACGCCTCCAAAACCATAACACAGCAATAGCAGTTCGAGGACACGTAGATTTGGAAACTCGTCACCTTTGTCCTCCTTTTGATCGTTAAGGCTAGTGATTATGAAGAGCGTAATTAACGGCAAGGTCATAATTCTGATGAAACTAACCATATATGCTTGTGTGCAGTACGTTTTACGTTACACTGTTACCTAGATACAATCAATTATTATCTATCTGCGCACCGTTTCAGAATACCATTAACGATGCTATTTATATACATTGGTCGTTCTCGGAGACATATCGACCATATGCCACAACCTTTCCACTCAAACAGAAACGTTAGTCACTAATTTTTTTGTTTACCTCAAAAGCGATAAACTGTAGGAGACTATATATAAGGTAATGAGCTGTAGATATTCCTATATCCTCTATAAGCCGGTTGAATTTGTTTCAAATACGGGCTATGTCCAAATTCAGACAGTAGCTTCGTTTTTCTCTAGATTTCTGAACAAATCCGGCATGTCTCCCTCTATATGTGTTTCCATTTTCCCAAACATTGATTTTCACTGTTCAATAGCATTTTATGTCTGGTAAAATCATCGGAAAAAATTCTACACAACTCTTTGACAACAGTGAGAATCAAACCTTGTTATTACCTTGCAGGTTGTTCGATTAAAAAAAGGGCTCAAAGGCATTATCTAATTTTCACGATAATAACTAAGGTAAGCTAACATAGGAGCAGACTTCTTAAAAAGCGATCCTCCTCGAACTGTCAAGAAAAACAGAAAAAAAATACCATTGATATCCAACAATTAGTAATGGAAAATTTGAATTTTTCTTTTTTAGCTTGGTTTTTTAAGCTTGATTAAGATCAGTATTCGGGAAAGGCAAAGATGTGAACTTTAGTCGGTACATTGATTCGAAAATACTGGTAGATTTCCGCTACGACAAATATATAGAAGGAAGCCAAAAACGAGATGTCTCGTTTTCAAAATGACTCTTTGCAAATCCACTAGTTATCTCGATAGTTCTAGGTCAGCTAGAAATTCGCTGATCTAGACTAACTGCTATGCGAGGCGTTTGAAGAAACCCTGTCAAAAAACATCCAGCAAACATATGGCACCGAAGATGCACCCTTTGTTCTACCTCTTTAATTAAAAACGTTGCATTCATTGGTTCGTTTCAATCATATTGTTGGACCTGTGTGGGATGACCGGTCGATTAGCCAGCGTCAAGATATCGTCACGGATGTCACTCTCCTGCTTCGGGCTGTATAGTTGTGAAACACGCGCCAGAAAACAAACAGAGGGGGAAGGCGAGGCAGAAAACGAAAATTGTGATGAAAAATCCCAGAGAAGCATACAAAAGGCCATTAAGTGTCGAAGGTATGTAACTAATTTCTAAAAGGACTTCCGCTACCACAACCCAACACTGTAGGCAGCAGCCAGTCGCAGACATCGCATGTCTCTCTCACACGAATTTTTTGATCAAATCAGATGAGCATTTTTGGCGTTTCGCTAAAAAAAAAGAACACCGTCAAAGTCAGTGCCGACGAGTCGTCATTGCAACGTGCATGACGGCGACTGACTGTAATTTTCTGTCGGAACTGCTCAGTCAAGCCGACCTCTGTCGGCTTTCACAAAAGTCTCGTTCCTAATGATGACCGGCTGAAATCTGTTGATGACTGCCCCTGATCTGTTGTGATTCGCAGTGCGTTTTCCACGCTTCGGGAACACTGTCGAAATATCTGCGAAATGATCTGACGATCATGAAACTGACGCTGAATGCTGATAATAGTAATAATAATAATAATAATGCGAAATAGTATGCAATGTCTGCTTTTTTCCTTGCTGAATAAATAGTTGTTGACATGCCAGATATAATAGTTTTTTACATTTTTTTTTTTTTTTTTTTTTTTTTTTTAGCATACAAATATATAAATATGTCTGTATAGTGAAAGCTACATTGGAGGTTAGCTGTTGACGAGATGCGGTCTAAGAGGGCTGATCGGAGTGTTCGGCACCTCGCATTCGTATCGGTTAACATACAAAGAAATAGAGAACATCGAACGCATTCTATCCAGTAAAAACTCATCAGAGTTTACAATGAACTTAACAGAAAATAAGTTGAGCAAGAAAATAATTTTGTACGTATACAGCACGCAACCTGGCACGCTGATAGGAACCAATTTGCATTTTAGGCTTTTGTTGATAAAGGTTTCTGTTCGCCCATTGAAACACCTCTCAGTATATTCGAAGGAAAATGCCATAAAATCTCAATGTTGTCTAGCTATAAGCTACAACTAAATGGACTGTCAAACGAAATCATGACTTCTGCCGGTCGAGATATCTCTCGGCGTAAATGACACCCGCCTAAATCAGCGTGTCGGCCCTAGACCGTTTACCTTTTCTTCGTCTGAATCCGTATGATCGTGGTCATACCGGAGACGATTTTTGACTTGTTGAAGGCTCGTTCAAACAGGTTATATACAATAAATTTTATCTAGACCGTTAGGCCGTCTAAAGATTCTACTTTTTAAAGAAAAAATTGTCAATTGTCAGAAGATACGATTTTGCTGGTAGATGTATGGACGTCCGTTCCACAGTTTATGCTATACCGTCTTTACTTTTTTGTAATATGTTTGTCAATAGCTACCGACTAGCAGCCATTAGTAAAGATTAAATTTGCACGTAATCGAGTGTTTGCGAACCTTCAATTTCTGCTATGAAGAGTTTCTACTTTTGGATCAATGTATGTCAATTATCTGTTGGAACAACTTCATTTGCCATAGGAAGTTCATTAATGTTTGTGTTAAATGAACTTACTAAGTTCTATTATTAAATCTAATATTATTGTTAGCCAGTATTGCAATTATTTCCAGTAGCATATTGTGTGAACCAAACATACTTCTCAATTTGACGTCCTTACACATTGATACTATTGACGCCCATACATATACAGGACCAAAATGGGAAAACTCCACAAAAAAGTTAATGCAAAGTAGTTGTTTAAGTTATCACAAGTGAATGAGAACTTTTAAAAATAAACATTGGGAATGTTCAACGTCACTTTAGCACAAATATTTGTGAAAAGGAAAAAGCAAATAGGTTCCATTTCCTTTTCGAGCTTTCTCAGATATTACCGATTTGGGTACAGTTATGCCTTCAGCTAAGATATTTTATTTTAATATTATATTGTTTATTTTAATATTATATTGTTAGCGTTCGAGTTTATACACGGTCGCTTTTATCAGGGAAACAAACGATTGGCGCTTGAATCAGGAACGATTCAGTAAGAAGTTTTTGGATCATTTCTATGTACCTCATTTGTTTAAAAACCCCACTTGAGTCACGCGATTTTAAGCGTGGCCATGGTGTTAGGAATCGCCACGGTAGAAAGAAAGGACCAAGCCTACGTATACGAGAGCCACTGGCTCTCTTATTTGTATTTGTTGATACGACAAAGATAATATAAGCACTTATTCTCATTAATGCTATGCTTTACTATTCTAAGCATAATACATAAGGCAAAAAATACTCGTATATGAGTATCTTGCATTTGTCTGTAGATAGTTTACGTCCGTCAAGGGGCGCGTTCATTACCATCATTGTTATCCTTTTAGCATTGTATAAATATTATGATCATTACTGCCACCGCAAATTTGACGCGCTCATCAACACCTACGAAGCCAGAAATAGTATCCCGTGGTCATAACGATACTGCAGCTGTCCATCTTCTACGGGACCTTTACCTCGCTCTTAGCGGGGTGGCACCTCTTGCGCTGATTACATAACGTTCCATAACGCGCTTGATACCATCGGACGTTGCAGGATATTGGAGAATCTACTCGGATGTTCCATTCGTTGACTGTGGACGATGCGTCATCTCAAGAAACGTCGTGTAGCGCCAACGATACAATGATTTCTCAGGCCAATACGACCCGACACACGCATTGCTTCTTAATTCCCAGCTCCCCCGCCATTGATCATGCCCATAGACCCTGAGCACTACAAGCTAAGCCTTTTTGTTCCGTCAAACTGGCCGGTACGCTATGCCAGAATAAAAATCAAGGACAACAAAAAATCGGTTTCTTCAGAAAATATCTACCACTCAACAGCACCATTGGTACACCTAGAAAACGAGCAGTAATGGATTTTTTTACTTCGTTTGAACATTACGCACACATCTATACGCACACTAACAACTCACAAATGGCTGTACAAGCAACACAATGTATTCAATTCAACGAACACGAATTCTGTGTGTCCGCTGTCCGTGTATCATTTTGAATATCGGCGTGTATCTGTATACCTTTCAGCAAGAGCCAGATTATTGTTGGCCAGCTACAAATGACCCCCCCACCCTCCCCCCACCCCACCCCGCCCCAGCTACTACGTAAGCATCCGACGTCCGTTCTGCTGCAACGTATGTCTTCACCAAGCCGGTTTGTGAATTATGTGTATATACCTGTAAACAAGGTGCCGTAACAGTGAAGCTTGCGTGTGGCACAGCTGTCAATTTGTAGCCTAAACTCAGTGCGGCCCTTTTTCGGTTCGGGTGAGGGATAAGCAAATAGGACCCATAAGCTACGAGTCACAGCGCGCGCGGTTAACGCTGTTGTTGCTAGGCGTGCTATTACTACAACCCCCTGCTTTTAATGCCGCTTTTTCCGAACCGCTCGTTATAGAGGCCGTTCCCCGGAAGACGCGCTGATCAAACTGTATGCTTGTGATTACTTATGGACTAAACGGCATCCGGCAACAGACGTTACACAAAAGGCCGTCAGTTTTGGATTGATCAATAGCGGCAGTAGACCACCCCACAAGCGCATACGGAAAGGTCGCTATCGACTTTATAACAAAACTCGTCTAGCTATGCTGGAGTAGCGTTCGCTATTATGCATGCTGTTCTGGCGATGAGTAACTGCTTCGCGCGCAATAGTAAAGGCAATAGCAGTAGAAACTTCTGTTTCACAGAGTATCACAGTCAGCTGCGCCATCAGAGATGACCCTTCCGGGACCTCAATTTGGAAGCATCAATTACATAACGTTCACCGTACAGCGATACAGATCGTGGAGTAAGCCAGTGAGAGAATGGAAGAGAAAGACGGAGAGAAAGTTGAGAATGGTAATGTGGTGCCATTAAATCTGTGCATATATATATATGTGTGTGTGTGGGAGAGCACCTGCGGCGGCGTGACGCAGTGACGAATATTCGTTGTCATAACAGTAATATCAGTCGGGATCGCTCACAAGCCAAGGGTAGTGTGACTGTTCTCGTGATGACTCCAGCCGATGCGTCGTCGTCCGCGCCAAGGAGGCGACGATCTGTTCTCCCCAACAAAAGTCAAGCCGTTGCCGAGGGCCACCTATGGTGCGGCTCCTTCTTCCTTCTCCGCTAGCCGATATATATAAGAACGGGGGGCAACCCTCACTCACGCACAGCACATCTATCTGACTGCCTTGGTAGACTTAAGCGGTTTGATCGGTCAGGTTTTCAAGTGTTCAAAGGCGTAGTCTTGTCAGTAGCTTTTGTAGTAGCTGATTGCCTATTGTGGGTCAAGTGAAGGTTAGCTGAGTTAGTTTAGGTTGAACAAAACAGAAGGTTAATATGAGGGCGCTGCTTGTGCTCTTACTTTGTGTCGCTTTGGCCCAGTTATCACAGGCCAAAAGCCTAGCTCAAGTTTTAACGCGCGGAATACGTAGTGCGGACTCAACCACGGATACGAACGGCACACAGTCTCCCTTATTACACTTAGATACCACCCCCAAGGCTGATGACGCAGCGTCGTCACAAGCGTCGGTTGAAGCATCCAATAGAGCCTCGCCAGTCCTTGAGCAAATTAGTTCCACGTCTTCTAGTCCTGCAGTTGGAGCGGCTGCCGCCCTCGTCGCGGCAGAGGCTAAGCTGGAAACTGTACCCCGGGTTGATGAAGACATTAACGTGTCCGTAGAAAAAAATGCTCCGGCAACAGCACCAACATCTTCTTCAGTGCCAAGCCCGGTGCCATCCCTTTCCGCCGTTCCAGAAGCTCCCCAGAATGCTATAATCATGAAGGACCTTGCTGAAACGATGCATGAAGTCAAAGAGGTGTTGGTGCCCGTGACGAGAGCCATGAAGGTGGTTGACGAAGCTATGGCTTCTCGGCCTTCTCCAGCATCCCTGTCGGTGTCTGACGCTACACTGGCTTCAACATCTGTCCCCACAGAGGCTTCTGCTGTCAACGATATTAATCAAAATGACGCAGCTATAGCCGAAAAAGCAGCCGAAATATTAGCTGAAGTTGTAGCAAGAATGCCCGATATCCCTATTCTGTCGGCGACCAAAAAAAAATCAGTTTCAGAGGTTTCCTTCGTAGGCAAACGTAGTCGAGAACTTCCAATGGAAGCGTCTATGCCTGAAGCTGTCATTGTTTCCGTGGGTCCGCTGGTGACGCCGGTCGAGGATTCTAAACCAGTAAATCCAACTCTTACATTACCTGCCACCGTCCACGCCGAACCCCTCTCTGAGGCATCGATGCCCGGGCCTGTAATGGCCCCCGTTGAAGCCTGGCTCCCTGCAATTATGATTGCCTCCACTGAGACTCCAGTACAAGAAGAAACATTGGTCTCGATCCCGGCGCTGGCGCCAATCCCTGCGCTGTCAGAAACAACGACAACAACAACTGCTGCCACTACTGATACTGCACTCCCTTTAATTGAAGACGCTAACGTTCACGCAGCTAGAAGTGATACGATTCCAGCTCAGGAGATCCACATCGACGATGCCATGGCACCGCCTGCAGTAATCGCTGAAACTAAGGTCGTCCCCGCTAAAGATAGCAGACCTGAAAACCAGATTGACAATGCCCCATCCCTCTTGGGGGTAAAGGTAGGAACCACGCCGAAAGAACCTGCGACTGCCGAGCAATCCTCAGAAGTTATGTCCACCTCAAGCATAAAGGAGTCAAGTCCCTCGATAACTGTGGTAAGTCCTTCAACCACTGAAAACGCAGCATCCTCAACCATCGAAGATTCGCCATCGTCATATACTTCCACTGAAAGCGCACCTTCGTCGACCGAAGCAGCCGAATCACCAATGACCAGTGAACCTATCAATACAACGAGCGCTCCTGCGAGCTCATAAACACGGCGTATGGCATATCTAAGCACATAACGCGTATGCCACATCCATTAGCGATTATGTTCCTTAAGATATGTGTACCCTACTGTAAATTACATGAATGACTAGAGAAATAAAGTGATCCTAAAGGTGATGTATATATATATATATATATATATATATATATATATATATTTATATATATATCACATACAAACTATGATTTCGGCTGTTGATCTTAATCTAGCTAGTGGTTTACGGAAATGATATATTTGCCATTTAAAATTTTCCTGAAATATATATATATATATAGAATGATGAAATGATTATAATTTTACTTCAATATTAATATCATATTATTTTCGTTTCCAGTCTTATAGAAATATCCAAACACTTCGGATATTTTCGGACAACATTTCATAATCGTTACTTCGTAGTTTTTTTAAAAACTTCCATTTACCTCTTTTGTTAGACTAGCGTCTAAAAAAAGCGATCTGTGACATGTCGCCCACAGAGTCCTCGACCATTGGTAGCCTGCCGTAACAATCCGTTAGTCAGCTGAAATTATCAGGTATCTTGAAATCTTGTTCCAATAATCCTTTTTTCTTGCTGCGGTTCTTTCATCACCCCACTTCTATATTAACGATTTTGATTCGTTTTAGACCTAGCCTGAAGTATAGCTTGAGTGCAGATTATTACGGTTAAAGTTATTCGATGGCAATTCCCTTATGACTTTGGTGGACCAATTCCGTTACCTTGCGGCAGCGGCTCCGTTCTTCGATGGAAGATAATTTCGTGACCGCGTTATTTTGTTGCAGTTAGATCATTTTTCTATCTATCGGTTCCGTTCTTCCATTGTAATCGTGAGGAAACGGCATTGCGATTACGTCTATGATTTTACAGTACCTGCACAGCTACCTCAAGATAAAATTGAGCTCGAATTGAAAATTAGATTCATCTTTATCCGGCTAAAGCTAACCTAGAATTAGGTTCAACTACGTTCACGTTTCCATTACGTATCTATCGATCCCTGTCAACCGGTTTGTGACAAACAAATATTCCAAAATTAAGTCAAAGTAACGACTTTGTGTATGCCATTTCATCGGAGCAGAATTTTAGTAAAATAATATATAATAGACCTAGTAATAGCAACGAAGATAAATAAGACCCCAGCAAGTATTCTATTTAACAAGTGATACAAAAGAAAATCATAACTGATTACAATTTTAGAAAGATTTACTAAAAATTTGGTTATAGAATACCAACGTTTATCTCAGAGTCAATAAAATACCATTTACATTGGCAACTACTTACGGCGTTAGAAAGAATCATCTAAGAATACACAGTGCCTAGTTATACTTTTATTCTGAGCGATCAACGTAAACACATAACCTTTTTCCAACTTTTGTGCTAGATTTGGCCGACTGCGAGTTGGTGGCAGACGTTGGGCCTCATCAACGACGAAGGACATCACGGCAAGGTGTCTCTACGAATCACAAAAGTCTCTAACCACCAAGCTAGATTTGACAGAATCGTCATTGACAGCATTGCTCACAGGGTGCAACATTCGTTTCTTCATTCAAACAGTTGACTTGAGATTTCGTGATGTTGTTTAGATAGGTTTTTTAGCAAAAATCTCTTGCTATGCCTTTAACAAAGCGGTGCCATTTGCGAGAACCTTAATTAACGCAGCTTTCCGGCATATACTGGGGGTCTTTTGGAAATTATGGTATTGTAAGGTGCCCTTATTATGAACTCGTAGCCCTGTCATTTCGGTTATATTATTTGCCTTAGCAAATTTAACTTATGCCTTACATCCTAATTCATATTTTAGATAGACCAGCTGCAAAAACATCAAGTTGCAAGGAACTTCATTGCAGGTCAAACAAAACATACTTTAATTATTTCCGATATATTCAAAAGCAACCCCAAGGTAACTTTTTTTTTCCTTCAAGACTACGTGTTGACCTTAGCAATGGTCCAAATATACAAGTAGAACACAACAACGAACCTATTACCTCATAGCCATGATGGGACAACAGCATTAACTAAACAAATTGGACACTTTTGCTAACATCGAATCTCTGAAAATAGATAGAAATCACCTACTTATGCGATTCTAGGTAACCTTCAATTAGGCTGATCCATATCATACAAAAGATTTACTAGGGATAGATACGAATTGGTAAACCTACTATGTTCTTTGCTTTCTAGTCTAAGGTAACACGAAGCATTTGTTCTTAGACTTCACCTGGCAGTACTCAGCGAACTCTCTGTTGGAGCGGCCATCGAGCTGATACTAACGTCTCGTCCATAATTCCACGTTCGTTTTCTTTGCCATAATCTGCTTCCAAACGTTTTAGCATTCACAATGTATTATAATTTTTTTTGTTGTTTATTTTATTTATTACGATTGCATCGCTGACTGCCCCTGAAGGTCTATTCAACTCAGTAAGAAAATAACAGGATAGCAATCTTAGGTTTCGTATTAATAATTGCATGTAAATGATTAAGCCTAATGTAGGTGTATTCTAGGGTATGAATAGTATGCAATATAGGAATTAAAAGGCTATTTTCAATTTGGAAAACCGCGGGCCAAAAAACTCACCCAGTGCGTTTTTCTAAAAATTTAACTTTTAACTCCGCCGCGAGGCCTTTTTTAGCCCAGGTTTAGAGTCTGGTAAATCATCTAGAACGGTATTTTCCTCATTTCGAAGATCGTAGAGAAATACTACAACGCAGCTGTTTCGGCCGGCCTACAAACAAGTCACCATGATGCCCGTTGCCTGGTAATTTACCGTGACCCAGCCCATTTGCGGCACTCGTCTTAGCTAGAAAAAGGTCGCATCAGCACACGCGTTCCATATGATCCCATAGAGCGCTGTAACAGCTGCGGTAACTTAGTGCATTTACATAAGGAAAGGGTGACGTCAAAAGACTCAGTAAAATAGGAAATTTCGAAACACTTTTTAAATAGAGTAATGTATGTAGTTGATTTTTTTTTCTTTTTTTGGTTTTTGTTGATCCACTACAATGCCTGTATCAATAGTGGAAAGTAAACATAGTCTTCTAGTTAGGAGAAAGTTATTTCCCTTAAAACAAACACAGCTCTAACTGTAAGCCTATTTTTTTTTTTTTTGTAAACATTCTCCGTGCAATAGGTTAGGTGACGCTCTCGAAGCGGCAGTGTTTTTCAATATGCCAAACCTTTCCCCAGTCATCTAACGAACGGGCTTCGAGATTCGCCATTCGTGTCTGTTGATCAAAAGCCTGCTGGTCGGTTAAGAGGCCTTCGCACTGCATTTTCTCCGTTAATCCCCCAAACAGGGCGCTTCTATCGAACTCATTAGCTTCTATAGGAGATATTTTAGCCAGCCATGGAAAAAGTAACGAGATGGCCATATTTCTATGGATCACGAGACGATTGCCGCCGTTGCCCGCCGATTATTGCCGACAGCGCGTCGATACGCCAGTACAGGCAAATTTTAAACCCTGAGAATAGAAGAGAAACACCAGGGGGCTATATTAGGCCTACAAAACTATGCGGCGTTCTATTCAAATTCTAGCAATAGATCAATTTAGTATGTATTTGCTACCGCTGTCCACGACATTTTTACTAGAAGTTAACAAGTGTCATATTAAGTTAACTCGACTAATCAGACTAGAAGGCCTTCTTTGCTATCAAAAGTCAATTTTTTAATTTCATTCGCTAGTTATACAAAAAGGCCATACTTTGTATGGTGGGCGCAAAAAGAAGCCTTCCCCGCAAATATCTGCAGGATAGCTTTCAGAATCTTTGTTATGTGCGGGCTGGCATTGTTGTAAAGAAAGATGATTTTGTCCTGTCTATGTGGCCTTTTCTTTCAGATAGCCTTGTTTATTCGATAAAACTCTAATACATACATATCCTTGTTGGTTGTCGTATCCTTTTCAAGCATTTCCCAGTGTATAAAAAGCTTCCAATTGTACTAAAAACAAATCACATTTGTTTTTGGGATAGAGATCGGGCTTGGGGGTATCCTTTAAAAATTCCCATCTTTATTTCTGTTTTATACTGACGAGAAGACACCGCTTTTCGTCGTCTGTGAGAACTCTGTGTATAAACTTGTTACTGCATTGCCTTTTGCCGGGCGACATGTTGAGGGTCGATAAAGCTAATGAAGCTCGATATGTATTTGCCTTGCGCGCTTCATCCAATCTAAGGCAAAAGCACACTTCCAGTTTTTGATGAAATTTCATACATTTAAAATGTCCGACAATAATCTGGTGTTAGCAGCTTGTTTTCTGATTCAGTCATGAGCTGTTCACCACCAGAGGTCCTGATTGATCTTCGAAAGAAGGACAAAGTATGCTAATCAGGTCTAACCTTTTAGAATTTTTGAACTTGAGAAAATACTATTTTGTGATAGATTTTTCTATCACAATTTATCTAGCGCATAATCTAGCGCAATTATCCTTGGTTGCTTCACCGATTTTTCGCCCCGACAAAAGGTACAATAGAGTGAATATTAAAGACTCCCGTTTGTTGTTCGGAACCTTCGTCCTTGTAGTAGGAGTTTGACATAAAATTACGTCAAAAACGCAACTAAACCAGGTTATGTTTCGTTTATTTAATACAGATAATAAGGCAAAAGAACATAAGAAAACAACAGCTATTACTTGTGTTTCAATCCAAGAGAAAAACGAGACCGTCGCAAGTAATAGCTCGCTTCATTGAGGCTTTTTCTCGAAGAACGCTAATTCGTATTCAAGCTGTTCAATACTCTACATAAGATTACATGATTCAATACTAATAAACATGTAGGTAGCTATGCTAAAGTGTAATCTTGTCCGTGAGTAAGATATCATTTCACTGTCCAAGTTTTATCATCAACTTCATACTAAGTTTTCATATAGAGAAATTATGCCTAAGCCAAAAACGGTTGTCCGCGTTACTTTTTCGCCAGGAAGTTGTTCATACTTTTACGTTGCGTGTGAACTTCACGCAGCATACGCTCCTACCAGAATACAGGAAAGGAAAAATAATGACTAATGCGAAACAATAAAGCTGAATGTTAGCAAGCTAGAAACAATCGGAATTCATATGGCCAAACTTTCTCGTGGTCCATTTCTCCATACCTTACTCAGTTCACATTGCAGAGATTACAAGGTCTACCTACCGGGAAGAGGCTCACGCTTGTTCTAACGCCCAGGACAGGTGTGCAGGTACATCTTCAATCAACTTAAGAATTAACTCTTAATAAGTTCAAAAGGCAAAGCACGACAAGAACATAGTCTTCCACAAAGAAAATATTATAGATAAATATATATATATATATTCAGACGTTGGACATTCCAGCGAACTATTAATGTGCTGAGTGTCTAAGTTCAAAGATTACAAAACACATTAGACGTGTCAGATCTATGGGTACTAAATGCAACTATTCAGCTCAATTACTTACTACGTATTTGAGGAAATCACTACAAAATCCGATTGCTTATTGATTCCAGAAAAACGTCTGTCCTAACAACTGGTTAAGAAAGTGGTGTCGATGTCCGTATCGACCTGCTGAGTTTGCCGGAGTTTGTGACGTTCCTTCTCAGTGAACACAGGTAAGTAAAAAGCAAATTCAAAAGCTACACTTTTATGTGATTGTCAGCACGTTACCAACTGCCCGGTATCGCAGGGATTACGTGTCCGAATGCCTCTCTACGTGACCACTAAACGCAAAGGTAATACAGGGGTATCTTTCTGAGTTTCTCTTTGAATCGCTTCGGTTTTCGAGGATGGCTCGCTGACATCCTTTATTGCCGAGAGGAAACTCTTAGGCTTTTCTGTTGGCATTAATACTGTTTGCCGCTATTACAAAATAGTAATCTGCGACAAAATATAAAGGAGCTTTTTCTAATTAACCCGACTGATTCAAATAAGGGCGGCCGACTAGCGTAGGCGAACGCGAAGCGAAACCGTTTCTCATATATCGACACTGCAGATCCGCCTCATCGGATCCCGCATCGGGTACCAGATACATTAAGAGAGGAATAGAATAATCACAAGTGAGGGCTTGAGAGATACTACGATGGATCTGCAGAATGATCCAAAAATAGCTTCGCTATAAACGTCTTCCAAACAGCTGGCGAGCACATGGTTTTTCGGCCCGTTTAATGGCCCGTTTAGTTTACTGAAGGTCTCTAGAGAAACAATATCTGACAAAAATGTATATCAATTTACCAACTCGGAATTCATTACTTCGAATAAAAGGCCAGCTATTGTAATGTGGGTAATATGGTTGTTCGCGTCTGTCTTTAGCCAGATGTCTTTCAAAACAAGAATAAGAATCGATCCTGAATTTCAGTAGCTTCAGTGCTTATGTGCTTGAAGATGGGCAATTGGCTGAAGATTGCAAGTAGAGACCCCTGTTATAGAAGGCTTCTTTTTTCGCTTCTATTTTACCAATTGTTTTTGGGTCGTTTTTCCTACTTCGATGTTTTCGTCCGTTACTTTTCTTTCAAGTCGCATTACCGTTTATTGATTTTGGCGCATGCACGTTTGTATGCCTCATCGATACCATGCTATAGTGGCTTAAGGACAACACGTGCACGAGTATGGTGCGTACATGTATAGATGTATTAGAAAAAAGAAGCCCATCATTAATAGAATTAGTGAAGGTTGTCCACGTCGTTGCAAAGCGAAGTGTTTGCGAAGAAAGTCTGAAGTGTACAATGCAAAGAGCCATTGCCACCACGTAAGAAAACGCGTTCCTTTGCAATTATGCTTCTACAAAATCCATACAAAGTTCAGACTAATATCATATTGAAGGAATAGCAGAGATAATCTGGTTACCATTATCGTCGGAAGCTACACTATTCGTTGTGCATTCTACATATCAAATAGTAGACGTTCTCAACGTTTTTTTCAGCTACGCTCCATTCCTGCAGATTAGATGCCAATTTTACTACGCTAAGAAGAGTAAAAATTATCGCAGCAAAAGCTCTCCCATATTCCATAAGTAGTGTGGATAAACTTTTTATTTGTAAAGGAACTGTAGGGTTTGTGTTGATATTGACACAAACCTCGGCTAGTTGAGCCCGTTCCTTGATGGCATTTATATCTCTAGCTCTTTTAAGCGCGCGAGTCGCATCTCTCTTGAGCATCATTGGTGACGCCATTCGATCAGTCAGCGCTTTAATATAATGTATTCCTTCGTAATGATGCCTCTGCCATATCCATACGGGGTATGTGGAGCAAACAAAAGTCCAAACAACTATACCTCTATCATACAATCAAAAATGCGCTTTGTCATTCATTATAGTTTTGCTTTTTCCACCGTAATTTCATTGGTGATTGATACAATCGGTACAAACTAAAAAAATGACAATCGTAATTACGGAAGAAGGACGTCAGTAACTGGTATAAAACAGAACAAACCGTGCATTGAGTTAATACAATTGTTTGTACGTTGTTATTAGATATGTTTACTGTTTCTGTTCGCAGTCGTCTGATTGTCGGTCTTGGCGCTTGTTGGTGTTGTCGTATTCGATTCCACGATGGTATGTTATTGTTTCATCCCCACAGAAATCAATTATATCTCTATGTATATATTAAACAAATTCCTCAGTGTATATATATATATATACATGTAGGTACATTTTTATCTGACGTAAGTTCCCAGCTAGTGTGCACAGATAACGCCGTAAGGCACAGACAGACACAGCGGTTTCTATGGTGCCGTCGTCGCTGATAATGTTATGATGTTTGTTGTCGAATATATGTTGATGATATAGATGTATGATTTACTGTCACGTGGATTGTCCGCTCACTTAGCCGGTAGCCGAACGCACCTATCGACGCGAGTTTAGCTTCTTTCTGACGCCTCGCGACGCAGCTGCTGAATAAATCTGACATGAAAATACTGTTGTATTTGAACCCAGTTGCATTAACAGAAATCTAGATAAGTAAATGGGCTTGCTTTTTTTTGTGAACATGCAATACAATCGTCACGGTTACTGCCGCCACTTTCGTACTGTGAGTTCTTATCCGTTTCTATTTTATCGTGGCTCCTCTGAAACATACATGGCAAAATAAGAAAGATCAAAATGCTATATCTCCTAAAAATCTCCATGTAAATTAGAACGTACTTAAGAATAGAAAAGGGTCGACATGTTCGGCAACGCACATACATCTTTTTCTTTCATTTTCAGGAGCTCTCAACACCGCAGATACACTTAACTATCGATAGCCATAACTTGCTTTTGATGCATTAAAAAAACTATTTACTGAAGAAAATGACGGAATCCTACAATCTCACTCCTCACGCCTGTTTTTTTTTTTTTTTTAAGTTTAAGTAGCAAGGTCGTTAAATGATTTGACCTTGAAAGTGGATGCCCTCGCAAAGTAGTATCGCGAAAGCCAACGAAATCCGTCCAGCTCCAGCCTTCCTCTCGGTGGCGATATTCGACAGTAAAAGACCTCATCTTGAATATTGCCAAGAAGATGGCGGACTGTCTATCACCCCTTGTTTGAGTATCAACGAAAATAAAAAGAAGAGTATGTTTTTGCGACCACTTTTTCTTCAGAAAAATCAACATGAACCTTTTCGAGCTTACTAGATTGAATGGAAATCCATTCATTTCTTATAATGTGAATTTGAATTAAACTGAAATAAATGTGTTCAGGATAATTACTCTTCAATCAATAATATCACATTATTGAATCAATTATAGCTTTTATTTTCGTGCAGATAAAGTTGAAACGAGTATACTTATGTATATCTAGAGTAGCCTAGGTATAAATATATCATAGTAGATTCAAAAGTTTTAGCCAGAATATTGAAATAAACACGAGCGGTACATATACGTTAGTCCAAATTAATTCGACTATAATGAAGACGCTCATTTGCAAAGCTATCTTTCACATATGGTCTTCAAACAGGGTAGAGCCTTCGTTTACTGTACGCTTTATCGGATGCCGTATACACAACAGAAGAGGTCTACATGCAGACGGAAACGCGTTGTACACTGGTTTTTAGCGAAGAAGGACGGTGCAATTTTAGGGCGGAAGGCAAGATTCAGATCGCTCTCAATGTGGGGCAGAAAACAGGGAGTGAATTAAACGTCTCTAGCTTCTTTAGGTACGCTTTTTAGGGAACGTTCAAACAAATTGTTAATCTTGGACATACTGAGCACAAAGAAGTTACCGTGCAATTGATAACCCGACATTTTTTTCCAGGTACGGTTTATAAAGTTACAACGCAGGGTTTTGCAGGCCATTATTTAAATATATAAAGACAAACCCAGCAAATTCTACAAACTAGCTAAGAAAATTGGTTTTAGAGAGAGCCTTTGTTAGAATCGAAAATATAATCGTTTTTTTACTACACATTTTGATTTGAGTTCACTACACGTGGATCTGCTCACGAATACTAAACAGTAAACCGGACTCTAAACAGAGTCCGGTACCCTTCCTACGAAAGTCGTATAGACTCCCTAATTCATGATAATTGTAATAAGTTGTCTTCATCTGACGTTACTGCAACTGATGCTTATCGATACGTAGACCATGGGTTCACTTATATCGGATAGCTTATAACACTGTCTGGCAAAAAGGCATAAGCGCATAGGATGAAGCTATTTATGAGATTAGCTAAACATCCAATAAACTACAAGTTCGTCAATTAGTTAGCAAGCGGTTAACGGAAAGGGCTGTGAAGGACAGGCAAGAGATGTTTTGATTGTTTTCGTTATACAGTATTTGAGCCTATATAACACCACGTTGGTAGGGCTAATGGAACAACGGTATATTGCATGGCCAACATAACTTCTGCCAATGCCACGCGTACACCTTACTGCAGAACTCCTTAGTTATACAAATATTTGCACCTATTGCATAACAGTAAATGATACTACATGCCCTAAATTTTGAACTAATGATAGAATTAGGAAAGAAGTGGGTCACTGTTGACTACTGAATAGGTCTAGCTGATCTGGAAAACATAGCAACTAATGACAACGGCAATTATTCAGTACTTACTTTGGTTACTAGTTGAGGCACGCCATTTCAAAGCTGTGAAATAACTTAGCGTTCTGTGATAACTTACTCCAGTAATGCTTTATACGCACATAGCAAATTCTTTCCTGTTTCTATTGAAAGCCAAATTGTTAGCTACGTAGGTACAATTATGACTTATTTCTTTAGCACATTTAGGAGACAAAACTGCTATAATTATAGTTGTATTCAATGAAGATTAGGTTATGTTTGGATCAGTTGTTGACTCCAAGAAATGTCTGAAACGCCGAAAGATAAAAACTTAAGAAATCTCAAATTTTTCAGTCAAATCATTTCGAAGGAAGCAGAAATTCGATTTAGAAGCAGAGATCTTCTGGTCATCAATCATGCAAGAAGCAAATGCAAATTCCAACATTTCCAAGCGATCCGAGCTTCCGCTTTGGTAGAATCTGTGTAGAAATTTAGTGAGAAAGCAGAAAAACAAACACAAAGTGTAGAAGTTGAACTTTAATACCGCTTTCATCGTTCGTTATTTACTTCGTTTCATGAACTAGTGTTCTTGCACCGGGGAACACAATGAACGAAACCGCGATAAACTATGTGTCATTTATGAAATTATTAAGTGTAGGCACAAGAAGCCGAAAAAACTTAGCAACGTTGTCACTATCACAGCCAAAGCTAAAAGTGATATACAGCAATTGTTCCTGAAGCAAGTTCAATAAAAAAAAAAACTGGTCGTTGCACAACAGTCGACTACTCATAAGTATCGCAGTTGATACAAATTCACTATTTACAAGATATGGACTCAAAAGCAGTTCGACAGTGACCTTACCCACTCGAAACTTCAAGTTGCGGCCCTGCGGCCAGCAGCCAGTTCTCGCATACAATTAAGACTTCTCACCCGCGCGTCGACGTAAAAACGCAAGGAGGCCGGATCAAATGAAGGCTTGTCCTTTTATACCCCACGCTGTACCGACTTGGAGCCCCGTTTGCACTTCCGAGAAGCCAGCCAATCGCAAACCGGACCCGGCTATTGCAAATCTTCTACAGAAGCCCAACCTCTCAGCAAGCGTTAAAGTTTTGCATCTGACATCAACTTCCTATCGATTGCTGCTATTTGCCTGCGTTTTGTTGTTACCAACAGAGTGCCTCCTAAGAGGCCGTTCATAAGGGGGGTTATTTAAGACGGGAATAGACTTGTGCCTGCGTAATATACGCCGTTAGTATAAGGCACCGTTTTATATCGGATATATTTAGAATATTATATTCTTTTTGTAGACAGTAAGAGTTCCTTTCTAATACGCATAGTCTGGTAACGAAAGCGACCAAACGTATACTAGATTAAGCTTCAGCGTCAAGCCATAGTAGTTGATCGGAATGCTTCTAAAAATGTGCAAAGTTTTAATTTTTGTTCGTCTAGTCGCAAATGGTAATTAGTGCCGCAAGATTTTTGGTAACTATTAAGAACAAAACCATATATAGCTGCGAATTAAACTATATAGAAAACATTAGCATACGTGATCATTTCATAAGTGATTTTTTTTTTTTTTAAATTAATCGAAACAACGTATGTCTCCGACAAGATTACCAGTAATACATTGTTAGGTCAACCCCCAGGGAAACGGGATGGAAGGGAAACGAGCGGCTAGCGATGCTAAAAAATCAAGTAACGCAATCCTGTCTGGGTGAATTTGAAAAGGAAAGAAAAACCGTATGAAAAGGAAAAACGTAAAACTAATGTCGATAAGATAAACTCACAATGCATGCCCTGATGCATCGAAGTGATGTTAGAGCAATTCCGATTTCTAGAAGGTGGGGTCATCCAGATCTGGTAAGTTTACGTGTCTCACACTAGGTGCCGTGGGCTGTCAGTGATGCATGTGCATCATGCATCTCCGAAATCCCCAAAAATGAAAAATGCAATGATCCGACATATCATGCCACCGGGATTGCAAAGCCGATTACCCTTACAGTAAAACAAAAGTAGCCGTGATTATTATTACTTCTATAAAATTACTCATTCTTCGGGTGTATCAACTCTGTTCAAGTATTTGCGGTACAACCAAGTTGCGGTTGCAATCGAGATTCTGATTACAGAAAACGGTAGAAAATATTGTTCTATCATAGACTTGAGTTAAAAAATTGATCTCATTGACTTTTTACACAGAATGGGTTTTTACAAGGTCCAGTGCTTTTTATTGTCCGTAGTAACCCAACGTTGCACTTTCCAGGGCTTTTCTTTAACAAAGTTCTAAAACGAATAGGTCTGTGGGTCCTATACGTCCACACAGATGAATCAATTAACGCAAGAGCTGGGATGCTGTTAGAAGATCTATGCTCTTTTATTTCTCGTCAATCGTATCAATTGGGCCCGTCGTGTTCTGCAAGAAAACCTCGGTGTTCCATATGGTAACATTCAATTACAGACCATGCGAAACTTCGAATACTTGCTGGATGGATGGAAAAATTAATGCAAAGCGATCATAGTATGTATGAAGAGTTACCTTTTCAGTTGATTTTTATTTCTACCTAAGTAAATCAGTAAACAAACGGAATCCTCGTATACGAAAATATGATATCTCTCACGACATATATAGTTACTGCATAGTTTCATTGTTATATAGACTGTTTATATTCAACTTAATCTCTATGGGCCTTATATATATATAATATTATAGGACTCTCCGTGAGGCGAGAAACAAACTTAGCAATATATGCAATCAAAAAGCAAACTGCTTTGAATCTCCGACCAATGTTATGTCCTGTGAACACTAAGAAAACAGACAATAAATATTCTACGAAATAATAATAATTGTGATAATGTATAAAGTAGTAAAGATAGATCAAAATATCAAAATATAAATATAAGTAGAAAGCAGAATGATAGTAGCGAATGTATCGAGAACGAAATCAAAATACGCCTTTGATGAAAAGTAAAACAAACTTTATGTGGAATGCTAAATACAAATTCATCTAAATCGTGTTATTATACCAATTCAATATGCGGAAAATTTGCAAAAATCACATGCATGGATCCGTTAAGTAAATGCAAAGTTAGGATTTGACAGACCGGGTCAACTGCTGTTGAACGGTAGAAAGGACGCGAAATAAATCGATCAGTAGAAGTACCTAAAGATTATACAACTTTGTCATCCTTGCAAAAATCTACAGTTATGACTATTATGTATTTATTTGTGTTGCAAAATGATTCAAAAGTTACATGTACATACTAAGTACAATATATACAATGATAAGTATAAGCGGATGAGCGTGTCATTTAATCGAATAAAACGACATAACTATACGATAAGATAGATATGTCGATACAAAAGCGTTTCCTTTTTAAACTGGTTTCCGGGTTGTTCTCCGACGGGAAGTGTTCGTAGCTTCTAATTGCAACAGCTTTAAAATGGGTTCTTCAGGATTCGAAGGCGCCATTGACGCAACAGAACCCATAGATTGGGCATTATCTGCAGCCTTTGATTTTCTGAAATACAGTGTAAATATAGGAATACATGAACAAGAAACATGTTAAAACTTCTTATTTGTTATGAAAATTATGAAAAGGATTATGAAAATGTGCGTTACGTAGAGCAAAATTGCTTCGATGCTGCACACGTTTCTATCAATGACAGGTGCTTAGAACAAGATTTTAACATTCGTTACTTTAATTTAACCTGCGGTAATTTATTTATTCATATTCATAAACATAGCATAGAAATATTAGGAACTAGTTTGAAAATCGATATTATAATTCTAATCCCAGTGAAACGTTTTTGCAGCCCGTGAGAAGGACCTAGGAAACAGTTCCTAGGGACTAATTTTCGTGCTATCAATAATACTAATTGTAAAATACCTTGACAACATTTGATCCGGAACCCTCTTAATAAGAGACGCTGCTGTTAGAGACATTGTTGTCCGCTTACGAAGGGCAGAACAATTGATCGTATTGTCGAGTTGCATCTTACAACCCAAAACAAAAGGTTTATCGTGCAGTGGTTTTGCAACTGACTTGGTATCACTATTGACTTTCATATCTGTACCTGTCATGCTCCGAACCTTTGGAACAGCTGAGATCGTCGCTGTACCGTGAATAAGTTGAGCTGCAATACAAATAGGAATAATTGCGTTTGCGTGTACTTACGTATTTCTGTGTTATGCATATACATTGAAAGGCACAGATGCGTACCGATCACGCATCCAAAAGGCTCAACATAACACCAACTTTTGCTGCATAAGTAACATGTCGAAAAATATATTACATGCTTCTGGATAGTGAACAGCGTAATTAGGCGCATGCGATGCATACGGGTACATTAAATATGTCCAGGGAAAATGTGTACAACGTTTTATTATTAACGAGTTTTTAAGATATTTGGAAAAATGGAGATGTACGATACATTTGCAGACATGTCAATGAGAATCTTCTACGTACCGACTTTGCTTTGAACGTGCTTATACTGATCAGCCAGTTTAAAAGATTTTCGCGGAACAATCACGTTGACTTCCTTTTGTGCTAGTTTTTCGCCTTGATTCTTCCCAATCTTTTCAGTCAATGCTGCCAATGCTATTGTAACTCTCGCCGCTGTCTTTGCTTTATTCTGCTTCAAGGTAGGTTTCTCTGCAACGATTGCGTGAATAAGCATGGCATTTATCAAATAGCTATTTACAATTACTCGTTATGTGCACGAAACTCGGTAGGGCGAAAATCAATATAATAATCGAAATATAGTAATAAATGAAAGATACCTACAAGGACTACAGAACAAGCTAGCATGTATACAGGGTCATGAGTTAGAATCAACAAAATGCACACTTACTGACAATTGATTTGAGACTCTCGCGAATCTCAGAACTTTTCCTATGACCTTGCTTCGCCAAGGCCTTTTGCGCTACAGAAGTCTTTACGGTGTCGATTGATTTGGAGGGCACTTTTGGTAATGGCTCTTGTCCCATCAGTGATGGCGGAATCGACTGTGTACCGTGAGGTTTCATAGCATCCTTGTTTGCGTCCCTATTTCTTATCGGGATTCGCCTCTGGTTAACACTGTTTGTAGAATTTGACATGATAGTGATTGTTTGGTACTTAGGGAGTTTAGTTGGTGGTGACTTAGTATCAGTGACAGAATCATTGGCGGGTGGCCGTTTAATGGCTGTCGCCTGATTAATGCTGCGTTTTTCCGGTCGAACATGTTCTACAAGCTCCTTCTTTTTGATAATCGGTGCCGTTTCTTTGAACGTACCAGGCCCAGTACGTTCGGTTTTTCTGTTCGTTCGATTAACGCGGACCTTAGCCGAAACCTTCGAGACTTCTTCAAGCGTGGACACCGCTCGAATTTTCGGTTCCTTAAAAAGTTGGGATTTTGGAGGTTGTGGGTCTTTAAAGAAGCTAGTGGCATTCAATTTTTCGCCTACTAGTTTTGGGCTACGTAGCGTACTGTGCTTCTTTGCTACATTACCCAGTGCCACTTTGAGAAGCGAGTGGTCGCGTACAGGTCCGGGAGTGGTGGGTAGCTTTTTGAGCTGACGTGGTGGAGTGCGATAAGGGGTCGACGACTTCGCCTTTTGATTGACGGTAAATATCGAGGATTCATTTTTTGGCGGTGTCTTCACATCAGAAATATGGTGATCATCATCTGTAGGCAATTCGGACTTCCCACTCTTCTTTGCTCCCCGTTTCCTTCGGCCTTTCTTTTCTTTTTTAGTCTTGAAATTCCCCTTATCGTCCGTAGAACAATCATCTAGTCTCTTAGCTATCCTATGAAGGTCAACACGGCATACAACGCAAAATAAGATTGTTACTATTCTTAAAATTCTTAATTCAAGCAAATTGCTTCACAACAAATTGTTCCGCAACCCCATATAGACTTTGAGCCTGGCACTAGTGGAAGTTAATAGATATTGAAAAAAAATGGAAATCAAATTTATGGCAAACGAGTTTCAAAGGTAAATTTGCTTATCGCATTCTCTGCTTTTTCATAAGGCAATGTTTACACCAACATTACAGACTTTTTTTTACAGACATTTACACTGCAGACAGAAGTTTTTTTACGTAGATCATTCCAGTAGTAATATCCAGGAAGGCAAGATTTTTCTACTACATTGAATCTTGAGCAGATGGCAAGCATCTGTAAGAGCATTCATTGCATTTTTGGTACAATACACGACCATCCTTTCTTTGTTTTAAAGGTTAATCCAAATAACCTCGCATCGCTAGCCAGTGATAATCTACGGGAAAGTTTAAGTGATATGATCTTCTCTGACTCTTCGAAATTTATACCAACTGATTTCTGTTCGGTTATAGAAACGATCCTTTCCAAAAACGATGAAACTCATCTATTGATTTTAACAGAAATTACCGTCAACATTAACGAGCCATATATATATATAGGCTTGCTTCACAACATCATTTTTAAGCATTTCCGTGACAAGAATCTGTGGGGTTTTGTTGTATTGAAAAATTATGCCGCTGGAATTTGGGTTGTTTTAGCCATATGTTTTTTACAAATAAATACAAATCCGTTAAGTATTCGCTTTACATGATGTAAAGCTTACTTTTTTAAAATCCACCACAGCTCCTTTTCATTTGTCCTTTCATTTCAATAGGTGGTCAATGTTTAGTGCAATTTTAGATATTGTAAATTCTTAGGTTATCAATTTATTTGTAATAATTATTCCAGTGTTTATTTCCAGTAAACATCTACCACTTTACTTGAATATAAATAACACGTTAAAATGTGTATTTTGTTTTACTGCTAATATTACATCGTTCTTTAGCTTTACTTCAAAGCTACTTACCGTTTGGATCGCCTAAGTACGGCCGATGGAGGTGAACTCTGCGAATCACAACATTCGTCTGTACGGGATAGATCTTTCAATTTATTTGACGACTGAAAAGTGCTTGAATCACGACTCCTTTTAGTTTTCTTTTTCGCAGATATGGAACTACCCACATTCACCACCGGTTTTGCCTCTAACCTTATAGGCGTTTCAGGCACCTCATTTAGGGATTTCTCTAACGAACCGACTTCATCCACATCGAGATTGTCCAGAAAACTGAAACTCATTATGTAGACCATAAACTTAGTCAGGCACAACTAAAAACGAGAAGCACCCACAAATCTTAATTTTATTACACCTTCCGTCGAAGTTTGCTTAATTGGCAGTAACGGCCCGCCACAGTAATCCACCATTTTAGCTACTCTGTTGCCGGATACCATGTATCGCGTATATTTCAACCAGCAGAAAGGACCCGCGGCAAAAATCAATAAGTAAAGGGACATGCTAATAAATAGATACATTTTTGTGAGCTGTTGATTGTGCCAATATGTATCGTTTGGGTACATTGCGAATCTAACGCAAGAATGAAATAAAAATTCAGGGTTTGACTTTAAGTAAAATTCAGAAACTATACACGTGAATGCATTTTTTTCAACTACTTTCATTCTGTCTTTAATCATTTATATTGGTTTTCTTTTACTTAAGTAGGAGCTTTAGAGGACCACCACTACGATGAACTTTGGGATTAGAACGTATGTAGGAGCGTTCAAATTCATCTTAGTTTTAGGAACATTTTATTAAATAATAACTAATTATAATAATTTTAATAAATATATAAACATAAATAATATAATAACATAAAAAATATATATATTAAATAAATAAAACACCCGTTTCCAGCTAACTGTAAATTATACTAGTAGTACAAGTATGTAATTTTTATTAGGGTCAAAAGCAGGCAATTCATCCGGAATGAAAACTTTCAGATTTCTTAATATTGAATAGCACTACTAACACACATTCATTTTGCGGAAGAATCCTATTTAGCAAAAAAATGAAAGCTATAAAAAAGTCTGTGCTACTAACGCTTAGCCTGAATTGTGTTTTTACTTTCAAATATCATGAGAACGTCCGACGACAGCGTAAAACAATAGCTGGTTTATAACGATATAATGAGCACAAGCGTCCATAAAAGTTACAGTGATTGATTCGTATTGCTGCGAGCTTGAATTAATTCCTATTGCAAATTTAATTGGTTAAGAATTAGCCTCGCAGTGCGAACGCTGCATATCTAAACGGATGCTCTAAGTTTTACATAGAAAACTGCCGTTGGGCATGGCCCCAGGTGGCTTGTTATCTACACAAAAGGAAGCGTACCTATATTCGGTTTTTTTTTAACTTTATGTAACACCACCGGACACACTTTCCAGAATGGCCTTTGTTTGTGCCCATGAGGTTTAAGAGATACTTGCACCTCAGTGTTGGTAAAAATTCCGTAGGGCAAAAAGTATCTACCCACTAATCGCAATAATTTTAGATACTTACACAAAGCTAGGTTATCTTATCGTATTACTACGAAACCTGACAGAGTACAACTTACATGAGCCCTTTGGAGTCGTGGTCGATTTCGAACTTAAACCACCTTACTTACCCGTCCACAAGTTTGGTAAACTGCCTATATTCAACGCTTGGAATCGAACCTACACTTTCTATTATTTTGATCCAAGGAAGAAAATGAAAAATTCAAGGTAACATTCTAATCTTTAATTTATAGCGACGTTTCGTAGTACATGAGCTTGCAATGAGCACAGCCATAGAGTTATAAGTAGCAAACGCCACATCAGATATCGAATAAAACCATACCGTTTTCAATCGGTATTCGGCGCGCTAGTGTTCCAATAGGTTTTCTAACGACATTGTTTCTACAAATGTTTTCTATTAAAACAAACCATAAACAATCAAAGTAGAATGAACTATTATATGACTTCAGTATATACGATATATTTGTTTTATTTCTGTTTCGTCGGTTGATACCAATACGTTTAGAGGCACACCAGATAACACGTTCATTTCAGCTAGCTCTGATGCCATGGAAGATTACCCTCCTTTTTCTAAAATCATTATATGTTTAGTCACATTGGCATTCCCATGTTCATAACTGCTCGCGAAGACGATACTACAATTACGTTTTAAGCTCATGTGTACAATGAACTTTACATTCTATTCTTCGCCAGTATATTTAGTAACCGCCGAAGAAGACCACACAATACGAGCAAAACTCGAACTGCCTTTAAACAACGGTTTCTGTTTTGCATAGATATCCATTAATCTATAACACAACGTAAGTAAAAGTCGTCTTATAGCCAATAACAAAGCAGGGAACTTCACGGGTTCGTCAATTGGAAAATGGTCCCAACTAAATCATTGCATCTGTCGTCTTCCACTTATTCGTATATTTGAATTATTGCTGGATCCGTTTACCTTTCAATATACAAAGCAGTTCGAAATCACTCCTCACGTTCACTTGATATCGTTCAACATACAAAGAAGTCAGTAGTACTAACTGTACAGTATATATACAACAGCATATATTCCGGTAACTGCACTATTTGCAGTCAGGGGGGGTGGAGCGATGTTGGCTTGCATGGGGTCGTGCAACCAAAAGCGAAATGTTTCCTCGAAGGGACCTCAATTTGGAGGCGATTAACTTTAGTAGCTGCTACTCTCATTTCTTCACTATCGTCTTCCTTAAACGGGCATTGGTTGCAAATTTCGGCGCCTTCGGAATGGTGGGGTTGGCTCCGATCGGATTGCGGTTGTCGCAAGTTGTTGTGAAGTTCTCCCCTGGTTTCAATGTTCTGTAGGCAATTTAAATAATTTTACTACAGTTAGATTTTACAATTTACATAATTAATCCAATTAGAATATTGAAATGAAGAAGTACCGAACAGTGCTATTGTAAAAATTTCAATTCACTCGCTTTATATAGCAAATAGTAATACTCCACATTTGCTAGTGTGAGATGACTAATGTAAACTTTATACGATTCGATAATTACATTCGACGATATACATCAGGTGGCTAGACGTAGCATTGATACCAAAGTATTACACCCATTGATTTTATTACTCTTGTTTACATGACCTAGCATCCTTCTACCCTAAAAATATCCAACTTTAGACATTGCACACTACGAGTAGGTTGATCGCTGATCTGACACCAATCGTCTGAATCCAACGTTAACTGGCTATGAACACATACAAAAACTGGCGTGCACCAGGAACCACAAACCGATATCTAGGCGGCGTTTGGTAGTGAAAATTTTTGACGAATTGCGCCATAGTCTGTCCGGCAATCGTGAGATTGCCGCTAGTGACGTTAAATGTGGTCTCATGATGAACTTTGCCGGCCGGTAGGAACGGTTTGTCGTGGAGCGGCTTTCGGGGCGGCTTTGCACTTGCCGTTGTTTGAACCGCGCTTTTCAGATCCTTTAATTTTGGGGCGGATGGCGCCGCCGGCCCGCTGTTAATCATCTGAGCTGTATAGCACAAACCGTACGCAAAAATAAATCATATAGGTTTAACGATAACGGTAATACTTTATAATTACATTTTAGCATAAACTATATTTAACACCGTTTGCATTGGACAAGCAGTTACTAACCAACTTTGCTCAGGACATGTTTGTAGTTCCGTGTAACTCGGGCAGGCTTGCATGCGATGGACTCAGATCGGGCAGGCCTGTGTGGAATGAGCTCGATGTTTTCCTTTTTCAATGAAGTCTTTCCCCGTAACGATGCAACCGTTTTAGCCACGCCACGAACCGCACTTGCCTTCGTTCTGCTGGACGTGCTTTCACGGCTTCCTATAATAGTCATTTCAAAGATCCTTGAATTTACGTTTCTCAATGAAGCCTCAGATCTCTGAGACCGATACACGAAAAAATACTTCATATATTGAAAAAAAAACGTGACTATTATGGATATGTCAGCCCATACTTACTGACGATAGACTTGAGACTTTTTCGAGGTTCTTGACTTTTTCGTGGTGCCATTCTCTGAGAGATGCTCTGCGTCATCGCTTTCGGCGGGTCGTTTCGAGAAATCGGAGGCTTTGATGTTGCAACAGTAGTCACTTTATTGTTGACGTTTGTCGCTGGCTGCGTTCTCCTCGATCTAACTGTGGCCGCCGGGCCGGCATTTTGTAGTCCCACACTTCTGCGAGGAATGAGTGCATTTGGTTTTAAAACAACAATGGTTTTTTTAACTTGTTCTCGATCCCCTTGAGGCCTGATAGACGTAGTATGAATAACAGTTGGCCGTGCAGTTTTCGTCGTTCTGATGTTCGGTTTCTTTGGTGAAACCCCTGCTTCTTCGGCGATAACGAGTGGGGTTTTGTCTTGGCCTTTCTTGATAAGATTCGCTTTACTGGTCTGGATAATTCGTGTTGACTGTTTGGGTGTTGAAGTACGAGGGCCGACTCTACGTCTAAGGCCCAGTGCTGACGGCCGTTGTTTACCTGTACTAGCAGTGTCAAGTTTGCGCGCGGCATTTCCCAGTGCCATCTTTAAAAGCGACCGATCGCGCACAGGACCAGGAGTAGATGTCCGCTTTAATAGTAAATCACCCAATGGCTTTGGGGCCTTTTTTTTTCCACCGACATCATTTACTGTATCTTTTTCTTTTAACGGAGTTTTTAATGTTGTCGAATCCTTGTTTTGTAGATCAGATTTGGCTTGTGCCTTTGTCAATTGTAAGGCCTCAACTCCGCTCTCTTTTTTAGCAATCCTACAAAAGTAAAATTACGAAAAAAAAGGATAATCCTGATATCGGAAGTAATCGAAATAAAAATTTAAAGAATCGACGGTAAAACAATTGGCAATCAAGGCGAGGCATAAAATAGAACAAATGCAAACTTCAATTGATATCAGTAAAAAAGCCGTTAACGGCGAATAGCGTCATTGGGGTTACAGCCTATGTTCTTGCCAATATAATTATTTGGCAAATATCTTTGTTTGTTTTAGGTACTACAGCATCGATTGTAAATCGACATAGCCTCAATCTAGGAAATTCTTCATCGCTTCTACCTTTTCGAGCGACGAAGTTTCGGGGAAGGTGTGGAGTTATGCGAATCGAAATATTTGTCGATCTGCGAGTTATCGTCGAATGTGTTCGGGCAACGGATGTTATCAAACACATCAGTCATCGAAGGCTGTTTAGATGAAGCTGTCGAGTATCTCGACGACGAAACCTCGCTTTCAGCAGGTTGAGGTATTGCAGCTTCGTTTGCTGTTTCTTTTCCAATACACTTCGTTAAATCACACACTAAAGTTTCTGCTGGTGTCGTTAGCTGTTGATGTTGTGCGATGGTCTCCTGCTCCATTGGGCCTTTGCTGTTCAGTAGTTCGCCCGAGAAGCTAAAGTTAACTGTAAAACGTTCGCTTAACGTCTTGCGGCTCTTGTTTCACTACAACAAGGTATAATTACTTACAAGTAATAATGAGGCATTAATATTTGCAGTTAGGCACAAAACGTACTGTACAAGGAAGAAATCTCTCTAAGAAAACAATATACACACTGTTCAAAGCAACGGCCAACACTGCTTCGTATTACCGCCGTGGTTGGTAGAAATCGACCAGACAACAGGTTGAAACATACCGTAAGCCCGATTGGCGCGAGAATCGCTTTTGTCCATCTCTTGATAGATCGATGAGTTACATAAAAAAAAAAAGAAATATTGAAATACTTGAAGTAACATAATCATCATGTATAGAACAGGAAAGACACTACTCTGCCCGCTTTTCCCGCCTCAAAAACTTGTTGCACTGAGCTTTTGATCACGGATGTTTCGCTTGAAGTTTTAACGATTCAGTGGCGCGTCGTTTGCATTAATAACTCCCAATTGTGATATTAAATAGCTCGTATGGAAAAAGTACACTATATCATAGAGTTACAGTGTAGTATTTATACGCTAGGTTACCCTTATACCAGAAGAACTGGTTGCAGATTCTATATAAATATCGTGGCCGGAACGAAGGTACTGCTCAAAATCAGGGTCATTATTCCAATCAAATACTAAAACGAACGTTTCGGTTGCGCCAAATACTGCCAAAAAATCGGATTTTTCGTAAGCTTCATTAACGAAACGGTTACACACGCTACAGAATGACGATTACTTTACAATGAATTACCAAAATGCAGTTGTATGAATACTGCTGCAGATTATCCACGAAGTGGAGGTTAAATCGTCCATGTTCTCTTGGATTCCACCGTTGCCATCAAATTTGCAGTAATGACGAGGTTCGACTGTTGGCGATTAGCGTTTAAACGGCCGGTGGGAGAGTGCTATATATCTGGAGCCAGCCGAAAGTGAGGATACATTCGTTGTCGTAATATTTTTTACGTCGTTTCAACATATATATATATATACTTTCTATAGGCTTTCAACGTCATCCTTGTGTCCATCGGGTTAAACGGGGTCTCGGAAGCGTTTAACCTAAACATTTCTACCCTGATTAGCCAGAACAGCAACAGGAACACTTCACGATCGCAAAAAATAGTTATTATTTTGCAGGTAAATGTAGTGATATAGATAGTGGCAGCCACAGTGTTTACAGCATTCATTGGTCGGACTTTAATAGGTTTGTTAAAAGCATCTATGGCACTAAGAACAAACTGGCACTTACACATAGGCGTAATGCAAAATAATACTCTGAGAGTCAAATGATTACGATATCTACAGATTAGGCTACAGAGTTGTCGAAAGCTACTAACTACTACTTCTTACCCCCGTTCGCGATAAGTACATGTAACATTAGTTACAAAACTTGATACATCTCACCTCTATGCTGTTTAGTTTTAGTATTCAGTCAGTATTTTCAGCCAGTTATCTTTTTATAATAATGATAATATATATATATATATATATATATATATATATATATATATATATACGTGTGTGTTACAAACAGCTTAGAGCACTTCCGAACAGGACCATTTTTTCTATTCGGAAAAATTTTTGAATTAATGAAACTGTGAAACGCGATCTTAGTAAAAGATGTTCAAGTTATTATTAAAAAAACAATTATCATATTGCCAAGATGTGATTTCCTTTATTTTCACACTGTTCTCGATGACATTCAAAGGTGACGACTGAAAAAATATTTTGAAATATTCACCACTTACGCGTGGTGTCGAGCTTAGACTACCTAAATTGTCCCTGGACTTACTGTAAAGTGAAGAGATTTTTCTACATCAGTATTCCTTACAAGGACAACAATAATCGGACGACATAATTATTAGCTGACCTCTGTTCGGAAGCACATTAATCCAGATGGATTGGTTATAAACTTTACGCTTGTATGAATATAACTTCTAAATTCGATTTTGTCGTCTCACAGGTATCCTATGAAGCAGCACATGCTCACATTAATGGCTTAGTACATACTACCACTGAATTCCTAAACTTTTTCTTGATATCATAGAAATGGTCGCGTTCTATTATAATTGCATATTTGAATTTTTACAAATAGAGCTTAATTAACGTGGTATGAAATATTTTCATGAGAGCCTCTTTAAGAGATAATTTCATATAGATTTTCCATTAATTTTGTTCAAGAAGATACTCAATTTGTTAGAAATGTCAAGCGATTCGGAGTTTGAAAAATATAGGAACTTTTAAACAGTTCTCCTTTTGTATTTATTTTTGAATTCATCTCATTTATTTCATATCCGAAATGAAATTGTTACAATTTACTATTAAGCGGTGATATCTGCATATTAGGTTCAGGTTTGTGCAGTCGAGAGGTCGTACATTATTTAATTATTTACTGGTATTTGAATTTCAGGTGAGAGCCCGTGCTCATTAATTTTTTAATAATTAACACGTCAAAGTTTAATTTCTTTGTTTGTTATTTAAAGCAATGAACGATGTCGAATAAACAGAACTCATAATATTGCCGTGTAGTACGCCTATGCTACGTTGTCCACTGTGTTAGCGATATACTCCGGAATCGACTCTCCATTGCGACGCCAAAACCTCAGCGTTCGCATGCGACACCTGTACATCACACTTAAATAAGGTCACTCAAATATAAGAGCCACCTGTTCAGAAATATAGTAGAAAAATTAAATGTATATATACAATCGATATGGATCAGAGCAGAGAGTAACAAATTTTAGTCACCCGTGCTAAGAAGCCTTGCCCTGTCAAGCAAATTCTGGACAAAACCCCTTTCTGGGAAAACGCAGTTTCATGTGTAGAAACATTAGGTATCCGTGTGATGCTACGCGATATGTTACAGCCTATACAACATTCTAACACATGTAACATACTAAACGACATGCAGTAACTGTATAAGTATTATTACTATTATCATGTATCGTCTGTCAATCTCTTCACATGAGTCACAAGGAAAAATATGGATAAAGGAAAAATAGTTGGATAGATTGCTAAGAACAATATTCAGCATCGAGGCTTAAAAAATTCGATACCATAATTTCTAAGTACAAATAAATTCAACACAAAGGGCCCGCTTTCTGCCTATTAATAATAATAAATAATAAATAAATTGTATTAATGTTCAAGTATCATACCTGAATACCTATCATTGATACTCCACATCGACTTTGTGCCCGACAAAAAAGTAAGTACGGTTTCATTGCCTCTATCTCGCAGGATGTACCCTGGAAACTCGTTTGCAGCTTTGAACGTGTCTGATTCGATTAAAAAGAAAAGCAACGAAAAAGCTTCACCTGTCACGCTAGAATACTCTTCCTGACCAGCCGTATCGAAAGCTCCTTACCGTCAAGCATTATTTTCTTACTAGGAGATAAGACACCTGTATCAGACAGAGAATACACACAGACACCACTCAAGCTTAATACATTTAATACTGCATTAGTCAAATATGTACATACTCGAGCGCCTACTCGTCATCAGCCTAATAAATGAATATATTTCATTTAATATAGTCTAGATAAGGGCTTGTCACAATGGTATCGGCGCTAACTGAAATCATGCACTGTATCATTGTAGTGTCGTTATACCTCTAACCGAGAGCCTTGTTTGGGTAACATTATCATATGCATGCATTTAGCACATTTGGAAAGCAACTAAAAAGCGCTCTGAACTGACAAGTTCTGATGAATGTTTCCTCTATTCTGTATTCGTAACGTTTTCTAAATGAAAGGAAGTAGAAGTTGTCTTGTCGAACGCTTATCACCATTTGGTGCTGGGAAGGTACCTAATGTTTCCAACAATAATGGTAAAAATCATGTTTTGACTTACCTTGGTCAGCTCGAAATACTCAATAGAATCACCGTACATAAATTACAGGGTGAGGACAGACTTGCCCACAGCACCACTGCTCACAATGAGAAGCTTAAGTGGGTCGGATGTTGACATGATGGCCGGCCGAGCTGTTCAAGAGCACTAACATATAACTACTTAATTTAAGTTTGCATACTTCGAACCTAAAAGCAGAAAACACAGGATCCTTTCAATTCACGAATAAAACTCGATTATTTCTTTTTGAGAGAAATGACTGGTGACCCGTTCTTTAGATAATGCTTTATAGGCGTTCCCTTAAAGCATACACAATCTTGCATTTCATCTTGCTTAACCAGTATATTAGATTCATGTTTCCTTTTTTTGATATATATATATCCATGAATCCGCAGTATGTTATATAATGTATAATTAGATTATGACGTAGACTGACATAAATGCCTGTTTTCTTTTTTTACTAAATCTATTTACTACTCGACTACTGAACTTCGATGACGATCTCAATTAAAATGCAAAATAATTTATTGTTATATTGAATAAGGCTCTTCAGTGGATAAACAAGGCTACGTGAATTATCCAGTGCGAGAAGCTTTTCTAGCCTAATTTAAGTGTGTGTTCTAAATCTAGTCCTAATGATAAGGCGTAGGCAAACATAAATGCGTTCTCTATGCTTATATCTTTGGGTGGGTAAGCAGCACGTGCCCCTAGTATACAACTAAACATGCTACCTTTAAAAGAATCAATTAAAAGACCGACTATCACACATATATGTATTTTTAGCGTTAACTCCGCTAGTTTTTGACATTGCTATAGTCTACTAGGCCACTATTACACTCATGCACGGAGCAAACTGCTAATTCATCGAGTCCTTGAAGTGAGATGCTTTAATTTTTTTAATTTAAGATTTAATGTATTGAACAATATTAAATTGTTATGGTTGAATAATAAAACGACGCTATTGTTGAGATCGTCATTCTTCGGTTATTGCTGAGATTATTGCCAACGATTAATAATATTCAATCCCATTCGAATCGCGCATCCAGTCCTCCATTCCGTACAGACAAATCGGCGGTTCGTCCACTTTGCCTTGCGCGCAATGCGTTGATCCGTGCAAACAAATGAGAAGGGGTTGGCGACATCGGCGTCGCAGACAAAAAGCACATTTTGACCATCTGTTTATTTATCTATCGTTCAACTCTGACGGCTGCTGTCTGCGCGTGGTACGCTGATACCGGATGTTTTGGACGCAGTGAAAGAAGAAGAAGTTTAATTGTCGTTGCCGCCAAGCGACAATTGAGTGAATGACAACAAACGCTCGTTGTCTGTCGGTTATGTTGATCCGTATATGACTGTTCTGTTTTCGCGCCCATTCGGTTCCCGTCGGGCGCTGAACGACTATGGCGACAACTCGCCAACTCGGCTAACATTGAATGATCGCAGCGGCCGCTTCACTGCTAACTGAGCATCTTCGTCGTTGGCTCTGCTATATTTTGTTCCGTGATATTTTGTTTTGTTCGTGTGTGATACGCAGTTAATGATGTTGACTGATGCAACAGCGGCGGCGGCGGCGGCGACGACGACGACGGCGGCGGCAGTAGCTATTTTATATCACTAAAGGCAACTACTGCTACTGAGACGGCGAGCGAGTAGTAACAAGTGGTGACTCAGTCAGTTGTCTCTGCTCCCCCGTGGCAATTCGTGTAGATTATGATGATTCCCAATATGGTTGCTGGTGTCATTGCGTCAGGTGTTATCATCGGTTTTTACATTTTGAGATGCGACAACAACCGAGCGTAAACGAGGTCGTGTGGACGGTACCCAATATAGACACGCAGCACGGTGAAAAGGTGGCGGCGGCGACGGCGGCGTGTGTGTTTACCTTACTGCCCTGCCTACGCTGCTCTGATTAATGGACAGATACTGTAGGGTTAACGGCAAGAGGTCGATCGCTTGTTGGTCCTACGCTTGTTTGCTTTCCGCCGCGAAGGGTTACAACGCAAAGACTGATCGAAAGCGAATGACTGAGAGCAATAGTAGGCAACGAGTAAACAAGACATTGACGGACCCACTGGTCAACCGAGCAGCTGCGGTTCGCTGCTTTATCCAATCAAACAAAAAATCTCACCAATATTGATATATGCTTTGTTCAAAGTAGGCACAGTATCAACGAGTGATCTGACAAACGACAGTGGAAGAAACTAACAAGGTTCTGAACGAATGTGACATACGCTTTTATAGGACAAAAACACGTGTCGAGCCTGCTTGACTGAAAGAAAAAGTTATTGTGTGGAGCTTCATGACATCAGTTTCCATAGAAGCATATCGCCGAACTAAATCAACAAGAAGACACATTAACAAAGCGGAGTCGGCATTCAGTTGATCGGCCACCGAACGGCTCCAACGCCTCAGACTTGCCAGTCAGACCAACAGGCAGACCTACAGGCAAGTAGAAACTACTGTGCGCAGGCATATACAATGGCGACTGCCGGACCTATCGGTATTCCTTCAGGGGAAATTTTATTCGACCAGAATAATGTACGCAGCAAGCACGAGGGGTCACACCGTACCCGAGTGTACAATGGATACCTTCAAATTCAGCGAACGGCAAACGGGCAAGCCATCATTTGGAAGCCGAAAGATACTGTTGCCGTTGCTCGCAATGGGGCTGAAGCATCAGGACCAGTCCACTACAACGGTTCGGGATACAATGACAGCGTTGTCATTGGACTAGAAAAGGGCGAAGATGAAGTGCATATCGAAGAACAGCCACAGGGGTTTTTCTTTTATCTGCAGGATATGCGATCGTACCACCTTTCGCAACGGAAAAACTCTATTGAAATGATGGTGATGCTGTGTGACGGAGCTCGTCTGCCGACATTAGTCTTTGACGTTGGCAAGCAACAATTATTTCTTGCACAGCTCGAGAGTGAAATTCAAACGCGCGTTTCGGCCAAAGATAAACGGCTCCATATCGTTGTACAGGAAGACGCAGACGCATTGCAAAAATCCTTCGATTCGCTAGACCTGTTTCAGCTGGACGGGGGTAATCGGACCTTGGTGAGCCGGTTTGTCAGGGATCCGCTGCCGACTTTTGCGGACGGCCTCGCAAAGGTAACGCACTTTTTCACCCAGGGACAGTATCAGTACACTAGCCGACACATATCGGAAGCTATGCTCGACTTAAAACCCGAAAGCGTCGGAACATTTAGGGAATCCTTCACGATCGACGCTGATCAGGAGCCGGGCTTTAATATTGTTGAACCAATACCAAAGCTGCCGCCACGTATAAATGTAACCCGCAGCGCCTCACTAGGCCTCGACGAATGGGCAACCTATTTCGACATAGCAGGTCGCATCTTCGATCCAAACAATTTGCGTGAACGAATATTTCGAGGTGGATGCAGTCCAGAAATTCGACCCGAAGCATGGAAGTTCCTATTAGGTGTGTACGATTTCTCCAAGACTGCCAAGGAACGTGAGGCCGAGCATGGGAAACTCACTGAGAGGTACTACAGAATGAAGCTGCAGTGGAAGTCGATGTCACCTGAGCAGGAAGCACGCTTTGCGGCGTTCACTTTACGTAAAAACCTCGTTGAGAAAGACGTCAACCGGACAGATCGAAGTGTGGACATTTTCGCTAGGGATGGGAATGAATACCTGTCCATGCTAAGTGATGTCCTCATGACTTACATTATGTATGACTTCGATCTGGGATATGTTCAAGGTACGTAGTGACCAAGGTTGTAGAAATTGTCTAAGATCGTTATAATCTCAAGATATAGATTGAAGTTTGTTTCGGTGACATATTGGCTCTCGTTAAACGCAAATGCATGTTGTGCCTTAACTGATGTATTTTATTCTAGCCACAGAATAGATTTCCTTTGGCAGTTACTCTTATCAACTCTAATGTCCATGCAGCAATATAAAGCATCGCTAAAATAAATATAAAGTGCTTGTGGTCTAACATATGTGTATCCATAAGCATTCTAGAATAAAGCTTTTCAATTTTTTTTTTCGAAAAAGAATTTCAAATAATACGTTTGATATTCAGAGCACCTTTAACCACTCGCCATCAGCAAACAGCTACATTAGGTGATACAAGCACCGTTTGTTAGACTAGTTTATCCGATTGTGATCCGGTGTGTTATATGTAACTGTTAGTACGGCGTGCATATAAAGCATACGTAGTCCCAGTCATATCTGGACATGAGAGGTAAGAATGCAGTCGCATTTGTTTGTATATTCTTCAATAAAACTAAGACATAGTGACCGTGAGAAGAGATAAATACTATTACTTTCAGTTATAACAAATAAAACCAGGATTTGGCAATAAGGACGTTGTGGATCAATTAGACAGACCACAAGCGGGTTCGCAAAAAATGTGGGTTAAAACAAACACGTACGTTGAACTTAACTCTGTGTTGTCTAATCATGAGTTGCAATCGCATGTTTCTAGAACTGACAGGACAAAACGCGCGATGATTAGAAGAGGACTATGTGATTCCGTTGATTCAAAATTCATTTCTTTGGTTAGCTGTCGCGCGCTCGGTGGTTACAAGCTGAGCGCAAGTGCATCAGAACTTTTCCACGAACACTGATAGCCTTTTAGCGAACAGTCTGACTGTGCTCTCATGAATTACTTTTATTGACTAGCTAATTCTGCTGAGGCCAGAATTAGCATATCAAATATACTGATGATGATAACTTATTGTGTTTCGAATATACTTATATAATTCTCAGATCATCACGGAAAATATGAGAATTGATGGAATTATTCCTTTAACGGATGTTTAATGTTAAAGTATCTGTTTTCCACCATCGCGGCGGAATATCAGGAGCATTTTTCCAATATTAAAGTTCTTAAAAATAGAAGATAATGCGGAATTAGGTTGAATTATTTCATATACAATTGCTTAGCAGCGTGAAAGACCTAATTTCTACTTCTGTCTTTGGAAATGATGTAACCGAATGACAAAAATTGTTTGTGTTACTATAATCGGTTGTAGTTTGACCTATCGCGAGACCTAATATAATAAATAGTCAGCAGTGTACATAAATAGAGGTCAACGTTAGTTCCCACTTTGTATTTCTATGTACAGACATCTTTATGTTATTTCCTATTTCACTTATTGTATAAACTCTTAAAAATAGATGGATGGTCTGATTAGGAAGATTAGGGAAGAAACACCAACGTACTATTTCTCTTCTGTATAAATGAAGTCTATAATTATATACACAGGATCCGTCAAATATTAGACGTATCGTACATGTTACGCGAAGAGATTTACTAATGCCAAGGTGGAAAGAATCAGCAGTGAATACGACCGCTGAAATCTTGCGATATTTGGTAATCGAGATCCTTCATTTGGGTTATCATCAAGCATTGTTGGCGACCAAGCCGAACTATCGTGGTAAACAGTGGGTTAATGGATGTTATATTGGATGCCAATATTAAGCGGCTTTTTGATGGTACAAATGAATCGTGATCTTTGTGAAAAAGTAATTATACCAGGTACTCGATCTTCATTAACTAATGATTCACATTATTAATACGGATATCTACTTAAAATCGTTTCTAAAGTCAATTGTGTAAATCTTTCTCTAGTTACTGACTGGACAGACAACACCTGACTGAAATATACATACCGTTATATTGCCTTGTGTTGTATTGTATTATTGCCTTCAATTATAAGGGCACGTTTTATTTTAAAAGTAGATTCCGATTTGAGTAGGCGAAACTAGGCTGCCTCTACGACATATACAACATGTTCTCGTTATGTAAGACCTAAATGTGCTAATGAACTTGACCAGTTCACAGCTTGATGTAGATTACACAAAAGTAAAAAAATATGGCCGATATTTGATAGGGTCATTAATTTGCTTTTTAAGGCAATGAAAATAACCGATGGAGAAGCCGAGTCTAATAGTGTCTTAAATTCACAAACATTTTGCGGAGTCGATCACCAGTAATTTGATTCTTAGAGAAGTCTAAGGATTTTATAAAACGTAAATGTATGAAGGTGGTTTTCTGCTACGGGGGGATGTTATAGTTATTATAGACAAAGTCACAACATCGCAATACGGAGGCGCAACTGGCGAGCCAAGGTATAAGACAAACAGTAGTTGAAGTAAAATAAATCAGTTCTGGTAGCATCAAGAAATTCGGCATGCTGAAACCTTAGGACAAAGAAAGGAACTTGTTAAGCTTTATTCATTGTAATAAAAATGTTTCGCACTTTAAAAGATCTTTGTTTGAAAGTTTAGCGAATGCATAAAAAATAGAAAATAGTATACGATTGTACAGTAAGTTGACACAAGTTGCCTCACGAGAGTAAACGATACAATGGTAAGCCCAATTTTCGTATACAGAAAATCTGACAATAAAGATTTCCTAGTTTCCTCTTGGGAACCTACGGATCAAGAAAGACCGAGAGAAAAGTCACCAACGGTAGCTGTCTATATTATTGATCTTGGTTAATAATTTGTTGGTAAGGCCAAATCGTAAGCACAGCGATTTCTTCAATAACAATATTTTAATTGAATCTTTCGAGTGATCATAATAATCGTTTATTATTACTTGATGTTAATTTCAGGTATGAGCGATTTGTTGTCGCCGATCCTGTCTGTAATGCAGAACGAGCCCGACGCGTTCTGGTGTTTCTCCAAATTTGTCTCGATGATTCGGTACAATTTTATTGACCACGGTCGCATGGAAGAGAAAGAGCAGCAGCAATTAGGTAAACACATTTCCCGCTTGACCTCCGGAAAAACGGATTTTGCATATATTTATACTTTCTCTTTTAATCTTGGTAACCTTCGAAGGGCTGAATGGATAGATTAGCTTTATCATATTTTTACGTACTTACGTACGTAGGAGATAATGAGATTAAATTTATAATAGATGTCTTTTGTCTCTCATGTTTATTCTTGCACACTTATTTTGTCGCTTTTCTAATTTTCCATGACCTACTAACTTATTACGAATTTCAACAGGTATTAAACGCCAACTTATACAGCTGCACCAACTACTCTCAGTAGCAACGCCTTCGTTCACGGAGTATCTTGATAATCATGAATCCGGAAATCTTTATTTCTGTTTCCGGTGGCTATTGATTTGGTTCAAGAGGGAGTTCAACTTCGAGGATACGAAACGACTTTGGGAGGTAAGAACATAAAACAGCGTGTCATCGTTACGGTTCATTAGGTGGCTGCCGCTAGCCCTTATGAGCTAATTAAGTATCGGAAAGATTGCTCGCGATTTATTTCGTCACTACTGCATTTGTGTCCATACACTTCTTTCCATTTATCATAATTAAAGCTAGTTTCCTATAGCCTTGAGTCAGTTTTTATATATGAGACTAAGCAGTGTAAGTTAATAGCCTATGATCTAGACATGTTTTTGGGCTAAGTTTTTACTGTAGTATGACTTACTTATTATTTATTCATTACTTATATTTAGTCACCGTTAACATGTTTAGCCTTTAATGAAGGCTAAGTGATTGAAGGCTAATGAATTTGCCTACTTGTATCTTATTGTGTTGTTCGTTAACTCTATAGGTGCTATGGACACATCTGCCCTGCGAAAACTTCCATTTGCTTTTCTGCGTAGCCATCCTTGAAGAGGAGCAAATCCGAATCATGGAGAACAACTTTGGACTAAACGAAATACTCAAACATATCAATGATATGTGTTTCAAAATCACGCTCGAAGACAATCTTATACGAGCCGAACAACTTTATTTCCAACTACTGGGAGTGCCGAAAGCAGCTAAGAATCTTGGCTTTAAAGAACTTGGGGAAGAGGTAAAGCAAGTCATTTAAAGGCTTATTGACAAGCGGATCTCCCGGAAAGACTAGTTTACATGAGAACAAATAATACCAGCGAATGTGTAGCGAAAATCATATTTAATGTGATTAAGAGCGACAACACCCTGTCTTGAGTAACACTGGCGACACTTATAAGACAGACCATAAGATCGTCGTTCTGCTTAAACAAAGGAAAGCTGTTGCGAAGTGGGCTTATCCCTGGGCGCAGGCTTTTATTAAGCACAATAATATAGGACTTTCTGAAAATATAAATGTGTAAAGTAAAAAACCTTTTATGTCGTATTAGGTATCAAGAAGGTCAATTTACTCTGTTCGATTTACTAAAAGAACGCGATGGACGAAATTTGTATGGCCAGATTCGTTAGGAAGGACAATACAAAATGTCGCCTGGTAAATTTATTAATCTTCGATTGCTTTGCCCAGAAAAATTGTGACTTGAATTTTGAATTTTAATAAAGTGTCAATACCGCCTATAAACTAGCCTATACTTAGGGGTTGCAGTAATTAAAATCATTATTTCTAACCATCTGCTAGTCGTCATTGACTAAATCAACAGCGGTGACTTTACTTATTCCAGATCACCTTTAATTATTAACCTCTACATAATAACAATTCTTAGAACACCTGAATCGGCTAATCGCCTGCTATTCAAATTTATCATAATATGTCGAAAGAACCAGAAGACACCAGGAATCGTGTATTTTGGTCTCTGTTGGCTTAGGAACAGCGCAGCTAAGATAAAAAAAAAAAAGGAATATGAATGATTCGCTCTGTATGTTACCTGTTCCCCTTGGGCAAGCTTTAAAGACCTTGCGGTCTCTCTTCTGTAATCAACTAGTTGTTTACTATCCGAGGTTCTCATCTACCTCGGACACCCGGCCAGGGTGTGGTACAGCTTCAGATCCTTAGACTCAGTAAACTACTTTTAAATAATCCTCATAGAGTCCTCGCTGTGCACGACGTCAATATCCTGGGAAGCTTCTTCGGTCTTTTGACTCCAGGAAAGTATGTCTAGCTGTCAAAAATTAATGTTCTTTATATGCAACATATATTAAAGCCTGAACTCGAAATGAAATTCTATTAATTACACAGTGGAATTACAACAAAATGATGAGCGCGTTTTCGGATAGTACAAGTAGAAATAAATATTCACTGGACGAAAGGCTAGAAGGAAACAAGTTGAAAAGACACCATTACTTTCTGAAGGTATGTGAGCAACATGTCGGTCTAGTCCGGCCGTTTGAAAGTCTGTTAAAGGCTTTGAACATGGTTTAGTCCCGTAGACCAAAGTGACCACGACCATGTATAATCATTTAAACTCTAAAAGTTACATCAATTTTTCCTAAAGAATAGTTTTCTTATTGCCATCGATGATGATGATAAGCATAGATGAGGCATTACATGCTGGGAGGTAAGCTTCAAACGGATTCTATTTCTGCAAAAAAAAATTACGACAGCTAAACGTGTTGTAATAATGGACCGACCTATACGGATATAACCGTATATATTTTATATATATATATGATGCATAGATAGAGAGATATAATAACCAGCAAGAATCTGTTCCGGGATCGACAATAAGTAATAAACGATGTTTTTCGTCCCCTGAGTTAATACATGTATGCACTATCTGTTTATTAATTTTTGCCTAAAATTATTTAGCATAAAATCACAGTTACAAATAATAGTATAGAACAACTATATATAAAAGCTTTGTTCTTAGATCAAACCTTCCACTGTGTATGCTTTTACTATTTTATTATCACGTATTAAGACCTAAAACGTTCAGATTTATTTTATTTATTTATTTAGCTTTAAGGTGCCTTTCTTAGCAGAATTTTGCTCAAGCCTTGAATTCAATTGCCCATGTCGCTAATAACGCAAACATTAAACAGTTTCTTAATAATTTAGTGTATTTAACCAGAAGAAACAAAAGGAAGCAGAAGCCACCAATACACTTAAATTTGTCGTTTGGTTTTATTATATCCTTTACTTAATAATGTAGATTTTGGATCGATTTCACTTTGACGCAACGTTTGAGCTTCTATAAAAGACTTCAACTTGTTCTAGGCTCCGCGCGATGACGCTTTATCAATGCTACTGCCTAGAATTATATGACTACTTATGCATGTACGAGTATGCCACACACCTTCGTGCCATAGTTATACCCGCCGTGTTAATATTGATAAGCCTTGAGTGTAACTACAGCAGGATATACCTCGATTAAGAAATGTAAACCTATATTTGTATTCGGTATATATTTAGAAACGACTGAAGTAGATCTTATTCGTTAGCGAGACTTTTTTTACATACTATTTAAGCACACTATCTCCATAGTCATTAGGTTTCCTATGAACTAACTTCATTCTATTAGAAAAAAACTTTTAAGGTTTCGTTAAAAGTTTATCAAACAACAGATAAACGTTTCGAGATTTGCGCCGAAAATTGCTTTAGCATCTCGTTATCAGACTAATCAATTGTAAAATGCTAAAGAAATCCAAGTATACTTTTTCCTTCATCCTCAGTTTTCCTTAAATCATTGAAGGGCGCATGCTACAGATACTCTGCTTGAATTATCTACAAGGTGTTTAATGAAATAATCTATACGGAGCTAATATACAGAGATATTTTTTATGATAATAATAAGAATAAAAAATATATTTTTTTGGATAATCTGATATCAGTTACATAATTTTCGCATCTTCATGTCGAATTTCATTGACAAATTTATCGGTAAGCGAAAAATACCATTTATTTAGTGAAAAAGAAGATATCTTTTCAAGTGTTTGTAAAATTGTAGTTTCCTGTTGAGTTATAACGAGCTAAGTGTCAACTCACTCAGCGCAACCTCACAGTGCAAACCCTTTTTTCAGCATTCACTTTCCATAATTTATTTTTCGCTTATATTAGCATGATGCTATTCGAGCTACGCGCCATGTCTTTTGACTTGCCATAACGCTTGTAAGTATTATCTGCATGAGCGCTATACGCCGAGAACAGAATATATCTTATTAAAACACCGAAGAGCATGTAGTGCAAATATTTTATGCAGATTGTACACAAAGACAACAAAATTTAGGACCTACATTCATAGTGAGTCACCTGAGATGCTGAACCTACTGTTGTGGCTACTATTTAGATACCTAACCTAACCCAGAAATAGAAGCGATTCTGTCTGCAGTAGGCCAATCAGTAAACTACTGAGAATTGAAGAAGGCTTTGTGATTTCATGATTCACATTCATCAGCTGGGGATGAGAATATTGCCAGTGAATATTCTGTTAAATATGAGAGATTATCAACTGATGGTGCTCTAATCGGGTTTCCAATCATGGTAACGGTAATGAAATTCTCATCGTACAAAATTTCAGCTTTGAATTACGTCAGATGTGTCAATACTGTTTGGGTCCGCATAAGGTGTCTGCGCGGCTATTTGATGGCACAAGTTTGATGAAGGTGGTATTCAACATAAAAAAACAGTATAATTTATTAGATCTGATTTCAAGCGTAGTGCACGGCCCAACTTCGTTTTAGGACAGTGAACCACGCATTGTTTTTCGAGGTTAGATTGACACGCTCATGTCTGAGTATATTTGAGCCCAATACCGTGAGGACAACGGGTCTACGTTTATGGTCAATAATAGCTAAGAGTTGGGCTTTGATTTTATATACTAAATGCCCGAGTTGCTGCTTCCGACCGCTGTTATGCAAAGTGTGTCACTTCGCAGCAATTATTGGGTTTTACGTTTTGGTGTTGATGGCAGCATAATTGATTCAGGTAGCCTGTGAGAGGAGTATTTTATGGAAGACGTTCTCTGGAAATTTGACCAGAAGGGTGGAAAGTTTTATTAGGAGTCAACGTTTATGACAAGACCACTGACACAAGTGTAAAAAAGAAACAAAGGGGACGCCAATGGGGAAGTCGATATTTTAGAAGCAGAAGTCGCGATTTTTCCCTTATGTGTCGAGTAGAGGATCTGTCAGGCTGACTCTACTATAAACGACTTTGACAACGACGAACAAGAACATGAGTCGATGTTCGATATACATCATGTACGACTTAGACATTGGATACGTTTTAGTTGATTTCAACTATAATAAGTAAGTGACTTGCTTGCACAGTGCCATATACCTGCTCTAACGTTTTTTTTAACGAAAAGTAACATCATCTACGTAAGTGTAGGTGTATCAGTTGGATGGACATCAATCACTTTAAGTCGAGTGAAATAGATAAAAATATGTAGCGAACTTCATCGATAGAAGATGTTATATCCTATTGTTTATCCTATCATACTACACATGTTAGAATATGGCCAGTGCTTGACATATATTTGACGCACATTTTTCTATAATTGAACATAATCATCTTCTATACTTTTGTTTCAGTACTCATCGTATTAGTGATGAATGCTGAGATTGAATTTTTTTCGGTGTTTCGTTAACTTCGTCCAGTCGGACCGAACTCGATTTAATGCACAGCCAGAATCGGGGATTTATGGCGGTATAATCCTTACCACCTGGGAATTTCGCGGGCACTGTTCGCAAATTTATGTGAATTTTTATCCGTTATTGCGAGTCGGTACATGCGTTCAACTCGTACATGAACTATACAAAAACTATTTTCAAATACCTTCTCTAAAGTATACAGTATATGACTCATATTGAGTTTTATTGGTACGCATTATTTTTAGTGGCAGCGCCGTTGAGGTCTATCGATCGACAAAAAAAAAACTGTGGTATTCAGTTATTCTAGCTCCTGTTTTTTTTGCTATGTCTTTAGCAAGCGACCTGGCTCATCAACCCTTCTAGCTGCATATGCTCTTAGCGGTTGCAATACCATTGTACGGAGACAATTTCAATGACACTCATCTACTTCACAGCTCTTCGTTCAGCGTATGGTGGCTGCAAAGTTAGTTCAGGCATGAGTTTCACATCGTATAAGTCATGTGTTTTTGAAAGGTAATGTAAAGAGCATATTAGTACACTCCTTAAGGTTAAAGAGTTCGTAAAGGATCCAAAGTGAATACCATAAAATTATACGGAAAATGTAAAAAATAAGCAAACCTATTAACATTACATTGCATGTAGATTGCCTACTGCATTATGTCGGCCGCTCTTCATGTTGCTCAACATTCTAAAGAGAACACTAATGATGCGATGATTAAACTATGATGAAACGATGCGGACAAATCTCATGATTTAGAACAAACAACTTTCAAAGTACTATTAAATTTGGATTTTTCAAGATATAAATTTACAAAGTGCACTTTCCAATCTAAATCGTAACTTCGCGTCTTCGCACTGTTCGCCTTTGCGTTGTTACAGCTACTGTGGACTCGTTTTTCTGGCAGAAGCTTCCCTTCACTCCTTTCCGTTGTTATTTACGAAAAATAAGCAATGATAAGTATTAGTAGCAGGAAACTGCAAGTAAGCTAGATTTATAGACTTATTAATGACATGTTTCTCAGTATATAGAACTCGAAGCCAATTTTGTAAGAGCTGAGAAGCTTAATTTTCAGCTGTTAACGGTATTTGAAGTCGTCAAGGTTTTTAAAGACGCTAAACCCCACTGAGAATACGGTTTTCTAAATTTAGTAAGAAGGCGGGCTGTTTCTGCCCTGAATAACTGTATAATCATTTCGCTTACAATAATTTTAAGCGTTTTCATACTAGCACACATACTAGAGCAATTAACCAATATATATGCTTTCAACGCCTACCTCGAAGCAAGGTGTATTGAAACTAGCAAGCTTACAAATTTTTAAAACTAAAATTAAACATTTTTCTTGGGTCGAATGCACCTGGCTTTGTTGAATTGTTATGTGTATAAACCGTACCGCAAGCTCAAATACACTCAAAGCTAGAGATAATTTTACTTACTAAATATTTATTGAACCCTACTTTGAATCATAATCGAAAGTGTATGTAACCTAATAAATAAATCGAAGCACGGTTGCGTATTCGGCAACGTCTCAATGTCATTCGTTAAATTTGTCCCTGATGCATAATAAAGTTTCTGTGGTCCTTCTGTATTAAACTTTTTTTTGTATTGATACGATAATACATTAATTTACTCGATGTATGTAGACCTCAGAGTAAAGTGGCTTTAATGTCAACGTCTGTTGACGGTTTTCTTTTTCTCCCGTTATAGCCATATTTAGCGTAAGTTGAAAATCGCCAGATATTTTTTTTAACGGTTGATCAAGTTACTTAATTCAAGGCTATTTGTTTAATTCTTCTCAGAGTTTGAATAGCTTTTCTGTGACATTCACATAGAATATTTTAACTAAAATAAAACAGCGCAAACTTACCTGGGGGAACTGATATTTTTATGAGACACGACGACGAAAAGCGCCTAATCGTCCCCATTTTTAATATTGTTGACGGATACCTGTTCAGTACCGTATTTCTACAAAAAACGTCCAAGGGTTTCAACACGCCCGTAAAACATGCCGTCTCAATATGAATCTTTTCCGCTGATCTCATAGTCTGAACGATCTTCGTCCTATCTCCCTGTGCCTAGTAAACATCGACAAGCGCTGCTCATATATTGAATAGCTGTCTTTAGTCAGCTCAAATGTTCGTCGGCACCAATCGTCGTGATACCTAAAAACTTTTTTTTTATCAAAGATGTAATGATCAATCACTAGCAATATAGCTAATAGTCTGCATTTTGGCGTGTCTAATGTTTATGGGTCTTTCGCAATATACTGATACAACTGGCGTATTCCGTAAGTCGAGCAATATGACTTCCATCCAAATCTCTTTAATGTTTAACACATTCTGACGCAGCTCGAATATATTGGACCGATCCTGGTGTCGGTCTGCGACCGTAAAACTAGTCTCAGAACGACCCGAAATAGCCAAACATTCTTAGGATTATATTGGTCAAAGATAGCGAGTGTTTCCATTAAAAACCCCCTCTCCCCTTTATTGCCCCTACACTATTAGATCTACACACCTGCAGAGCCTCTTTATTGGTATTCGACATTTTTTAACATACTTGTGCATCGACACATAAAGACATATCCGGTTAAACCGTTATCGCGAGTACCTTATTTTCATGTCCATATCAGAACTCTTGAAAATCCGGCATGGTAATTTTCCTGCTGTTGGTGTTTGAGAAATCTCTGAGTTGTTTAAGATCTACAAATCTGTATTATTAACATCGTTATCGAAAATATGTTCTTCCGAGAGAATAATGCATGAAATTTTTGTTTAAAAGCCGCATTTTGATAATTTTTATTGACTATCTTTGAGTATTGCAAGCTTTGAGTATTGTTTACTGGTGACGCGCCAATGTGCACTGCATTACTGGTAGCAATAGCAACCATTACGTGTGCACATGGTGCATCATTCAAATTCTGCCGCGCATTCTTCATCACGTTATTGTCATCATGTTAAATCGTTGTTGTTCCGAAAACGAAACCAGTCAGGAGGACTAAAGGGTTCGCCGCCGAGTCAGTTATATGCTACAGCTGTAGACAAGAGTCGTGGTATTTGGAATTGTGTGTGTGTCTGCGTGTGACTGGATTCTGGTTCGATTTCTCGCTTTGTAGCGGCTAGGTGGTTCCGTCGGCGGCAGCAGCTGAAGAACAGGCAGATAGCTGAGGCGGCAGGAAGGGCGCCCGTTGAGTCGATAGTCTGTGGCCGAAAAGTCTAACTGAAAGCAGACGGCGAGTCAGAGCAGCATTGGCGGTGGTTGGAGCAGTCTCTTGCAACCCATTCAATGTATACATACTAGTCGGAGAGAGACCCATAGAGTGGCTGGACTATACAGGTGTACGGCTACCGCAGTATTTTGGCTGCTGCTGCAGCTGCGGCGGCGTTCCGACTACACTACAACCGAGGTTTGGTTTAATTCTGGTGACTCTGGTAGTGCTATTTGGTAGGTAAAGCAACAAGAAGAGATGATTTCTGATTGGTGTCTTTTGTTGTTGTTGTGTAGTGTGATTTTGTACGGTGAGTGTTTCCAAGCTGTGTTGCCGACCCAGGGGCTTTAGGCGTACCGCACTGTATTTCGCAATACCGGCGCAAATATCAGTGACCCTTTGAGATAGCGGCCCACAACCGAAGCGGGCCCAGGTGGTAGTCCCCATGCAATCCCCACCCGGTTGGTGTGACAAAAGTCTCGTCGATTGTGTCTAGTAGTCGAAGAATACGACGACGACGACAACGACGGCGCCTAGAGCGACCACTCAAACGAAACTAACGAAAACAACATTAGCAGGCGCAGCAACAAATAGAGAGAAGACAAGCCTCTGAGCCAAAGAAGGAGGCGGAGCTTTCTGTTCCACTTTACAACTTGTTCGACGACCAGGTAAGTTAGCAGACAGAAAAATGAAAAAGAAATAGCTTGGTAATATCATTATTGATGCCGGTTGAACAGATGTTCGATTGCTGGCCAGTGGTTCTTAAACCGTCTATGAACTCACTAAAAACGGATTACCGATTTCGTAAGCGAATATTACGATAAGACTAACCGTAGTGTGTTATAAATAGAACCATCATTCTAACGGAATTCTCTATCCGGTCTTTTCACTATTCCGATTATTTTCTTCAATGATCTTGTTAGTCGTTTTAGGTTGGTTAAATACTTGGAGTCGCAACACACGGCGGGCTATCTATTTCAATACTTGATTTTGATACAGATAACAGTGCTATAGAGACTCAATTGAAAACAAAATAGTATTGCTTCGGGTGTTTTCAGTTGCATATGAATGCACGAACGTATATGTGCATTCAAAGGGACTGACTGAGACACCGAAAGATGAGAGTACAGGGTCTATAATATCTGCTGGTTTCAATAAATAAGGTGTCACGAAACGTTTATGTTAAATTTTCTTACTTACAATCGTCGTTTCGTGTGTAGAAGGCATATCTATGAGCGAGCTGTATAAGCAATTGGATGCTTTGCACTTAAAGTGACGATCGAAAAGCTCAAAGGCGCGTGAGATGTGAAGAAAGTTAGTCAAAGAAGCATCTGAAGATTTGCAACTATGCTCGACTACGGAAGGTGCAAGGAACTCTTAATACCAGCCGGTTTCTCCTTGATTCGTCATCGCAGTCGCGCTTTCAGTCATCGAAGACAAAGAGACACCGGTCAGCCGATCAATAACGGACGACAGGGCTGTAGTCGCCAGTATATTGAGACCAATCCAGCTCCTGAAAGCGACACTGCGCACCTTCCTATCTATATGCCTGCGACGATTGACAACGCATGTCGCGCTAATACGACAAACACACATACATAGACGCTAACAAAAACACATCCCACTTGTCTTACTGCCATATATGTTATAGTAGCCTTTGCTTTCTCTCATAAATCATGATCGGTATCAGTGGCGATCGCAGAAGGATACCAACAATTCTCTTTCATTTCTAAGGGCCTTTACAGCTTGGTGCCTTCGCCAACCTGCTTACCCCACAGTACGGCAGTGACTTTTCCAAAAAGAAGCAATAAATGATTGAGGTTGACCACGGATGGCGAACGGAAGCAAAAATTATATAATAAGCACAGAATCAGTTGTAAAGGCGACAACTGATATCAGCCATGGTAAACAATAACAGCAGAAGGAAGAATATTTTTTCCGAATTAAGTCAACAATGTTATGCCGCCGGTTATACGAAAAATCAATATGCCCGCAATGGCACTATGTTAGTATTCAGGTGGCTCTCGCCGATTATTTGTAAGCGACAGGACGACAATTGACTGTCGATTCTGGTCACCTACTGGTAGAATTGTAATTATTACAAGTCAGCGTTCACATATTGTATATATACATATATAGGGTCTTTAGGAATGTATGCAACTGTACGCCATGAAATTGTACATTCCCCTTAAATGTTCTAGAATGTCGATAGGTTCTACTGATGGTTTAATCACAACTTATAATACTTATCGGCTACTTGTGCATGCATGTCGCTTTCCACGTGCCTCGCCTATTCGAAGCGAGACGATCGCAGTCTTAGCGAAACATTGATTTCATGCAGATTTCGTATTACCTAAAATAGCAGATCTAAAATATTTACTTTTTGAGCTTCGATAACCGGCAAACTGCCGAAGAGCCTATTTCGGTAATTACTAAATATTATGGTATCCGTCTGTGGTTGTGCGATGACTGAGTACTTCTGTATTACAGCTACATGCGTAAATATAAACACATGGTCAACTGTGAAGAATGTAGTGCTCGTACTGTAGCCAGTTAAAGAAGGTCGAATCGAGGTAAAACGTAGGCAACTTGCCAGATGTTCAGATCCGCACGTAGCTAGTCGACAACCGTAATAACTTAAATGCCATAGACAAGTAAGAGCTATTAATAATCAGAAAAACGAATAAATAAACAAAAGCAACCGGCGTCAATCGTTGATGACGTCTGGAAACTTATATCTTAGTTGCCATCTTCGTAGTATTGGTGTTAATATCGTTCTTGTCGTTTTTGTTTATTATTGCCGAATTCTACCTCTGTACATCAGCGATACTTGGTCCACTTATTCACCGCTGACTAACAGATAGGTACAGTCCCTCATTCCTCAATAATTCATTGCCGTACCTGCTGCTATCATAGCCGCCGTCGCAGCTGGCCTAACCACCGCTGCTGTTGTCGATATTTAAGCTGCTATCGTTATTGTTGTGGCCAGTGCTGCTGCCGTTTTTGCCCGTATGGCTACTCTCGCAGGCATCGTTTTCAGAAAGAAACCACTAACACAGTTTATGTACCACATGCAATAGCGGCTGTCGAAAACTCACTGCTACCCGCTACGGCGAACAACAACGACGACGACTGCTACTGCTGGTGTTGCTGCTGTTGGGCCAACTGCTGCCAGCAGCAGCAGCGTCAAGCAACGGCGATGACGACAACGTCGATTCAACTCGACTGAACAAGACGCTCGTGCTATTGTTGGTAGCAACTGCCGATGTTTACTCCCGCCTGTGTCCACAGGCTGTGTTCCGTGCTTTTGTATTCTCTCTTTTCCGTTCCACCCGGCAACGTGACGTGCGGTACGCTAATCGTTGACCATTGCATGGTAAAAATGTTAACTTAAACCACTGTTCTACAGAGGCAAAATTATTATCATTGTTGCAACAAAAAAATTGCAGCGATAACGAATACACTAGCAACTGATGTTTGGCGCCGTTTAAAATTAACAGTTGTCTGAAAAAATCAAATTCCGGAGGACGAGGCTGCCTTGCCCCGATCGAAATGTTCGTAGAAAGGTGCAGCACCTAAATATACATAATTTTTTACACGTGGATCTATGCGATTATGTATGTGTCGTTCATTTCCTCTGTATCACTCGGAGATCGCGACTATTGAAACTGCTGTTTATCTATGTACGTGGATTTACTGGTTCATCATTGATTTGTCATAGTTGAATGCAGCGCGAGTGGGACAGCTATCTAGCATCTGGGAGACGAGACAGCAAAGACACGCACGATCTAGCTGTGAAGAAGGACGAGTGGTGCGATCGGCCTATGCAGATAGTGGGAGCTTCTGAAAACCTGGCCGGTTTTCCGGATCGTCTGAATCCTCAATAATTTGTCGGACAAGTGGTATGCAAGCTGAAAAACGGAAGCACAACTGCGAATAACGTCAGCTTCGCCGGGACAAAGCTCAGGGAAGTGTGCAAACCTTAATTAAAGTACACCATCTGCAAGAAAGAAGATTGCCTTGTTTTCGCCTTTCATAACATCATCGTATCACGCGATGTCGTCGTGCACTCGGTGGTGCTGTGTGCTCGTCAGCCAATCGAAATGGATGCAGCGCGTCCGCGATGTTTTCTGCTGTCGGCAGTGAGTTTGCCTGTTACCCTCTAGAACAATCCCTATGCCCTCATACACGTTCAGTCTGGTAGAATTTCGGATATTACCTCAGCTTCTGTTGTTGCCGGCTCATAGCTTCAATGGGATGTTCGGTCCGAGAGCTTGTAGCAACGCAGCAATCGCTTGGTCGGGTACGGCAGATCTGCCTGTCTCTGCATTTGTTATATAAAGATCGAAGATAATTCTGTCTGTTGCGTTTTTTGTTCACCTCGTATTTAGGAGTCGTATGAGAAGGCCACGTGTACGCACGGTTTTTAGCGTTTTTTTCGTATTTCGCTCTCTTATTTTCTGCGTCTGTTTTTCAATCATCCCCCAGTACGTTTGTTCGTCTATCCATTGGCTTGTTCGTATTTGTCGATTTTCCTTTTCTGCTCGATTCTGATAGAGATCTGCAACGTTGGTTGCTGTACAACTAACGTCTCAAGCTCAAACTCGGCATTAACGCAGAAACTAATGTGCACCCATTGTTCGTGATTGGCCACTTTTTTTCTGAAGATCTTAGTCGTCAGTTTAAGCTTTCGCTAGCGTCATTAAGCTTTCGACTCTGTTGGGTAAATAGGTGAAATTAAAAATAAGTGCAGGCATTTCATTCGAATACATCGAGTTTTGGCCTCATTCTTGGTAACAATGGATTGCCGTTGCAAAAATCAACAATGCTACGCGATAGGCGTTTGTGCTATTATACTACACATCGACGTCTACGACTAAATGACCAGACGATTGAACGTAGCAGTCAATCGGTGACCACAATTCATCCAGAGTAATGAAGCATGCAACTAGCTAGGATTGGCATGATACATTCGATTATTTTATATATTCTCTCAAAAATTTAGCTATCATATGTTACTAACTTCTTAATTTTGTGTTTTATGTACTTTAGTCTATTAGACCTTTCACTATTTGCTATTTGGCTTTTATGGTGTTCGTGTAGACATTATTTGGATGAACTTTCCGTTTGTGATTCTGTCCCCCACCTTATAACGAAATTTGTAGTCTTCTTGCTGAAACTAGCATAGTTTAGGTGTAATATACTGGTCGCCATGTTTCGGCGTTGCTGCTACACGGATCAGAGATGTTCCATTTTAACGGGAATGATTTCTCGTCATATCATCCTCTAAAGATAGCAATTGTTTCATTGTCGACAGAATGTTGCTGACCGCTGCTATGTAAAATGTGCAACCTGTTGCACATTTTTCGTTTCCGTTCAGTTAAGACCACTTTCGCTTACGTGGGTCCGCTATCTGTGCTAATGACGAGAACGATGCACACAATATTGTGCTTAAAGAGCGGAAAAATCCGCGCCCTGCGTAGGCCATGTATAGCGCATTATAGGGAATCATTCCTCTGTATAGAACGCCAGGACTGTAGTAGACTGGTTGTAGTGCACAGGCGATCAATGCATGTCGTATTTCACAGGAAGTCTCGAATGCTCCAGACAAGGAAATAAACTAGTAGCGGGATATAAAGAACACTCATCCTTGAATCTGTTATCCATTCATTAAAGTACTCTGTATGCCTTCACCTTTGTGCACCACACAAGCGTTTTCATCACACGTACGTAACAAAGAACTGTTGTCACCAACCAGCCGTTAGAACTTATTATTGTTAACTGATTTGGTTGGTGCTTGGGTACTCGCTAGTTGTTGGTATTGGAAACAGCTTCGGACCGCTGCAGGTCGGAGGGATTCAGTGATAGAAGCATGCTGTAAGTACACTGATGTCGCCGCGCTCTTGCAAGAAATGACCAATGGAAACCGCCTGTAGCATCAATGAGCTATTACAAAGTTTCTTAATTGAACCTCGCTTCTGCTCTGCATTTATTTATCCTTCCGTTGTAACGTATGCATATAATATGCATTCGGGAAGGTGTTACCATACGTGTGTACGAGCGGCTGTATAAACTGAAGCCATCGTAGGTATACTGATGATCACCGACGGGCCAGCCAATTATCAAACTGCTACATTAACGACGCCGACGCTCTCTTTTGTGCGATGTTGCTCTTATTTTCATTGAACAAAATGAATTTGTAAAGTAAGATTTTTAAAATTGAACTATGGACGTACGTCCGCTATGCTTTGCCTAAATAAATGGCTGTATATTTTGTTAAGAGGAGACGTTGTCGCTGTTGACATGCAGGTTACGAGACATGCAACGTTGTTTGTAAATTATATGTATTTGTTCTGTATTTTAGGTGATTCTCTTTCTTCGGTACATATCATACAAATGCTCAATTTTAAATCCGTCATGTAGTGCTTTACGAGCTGCCTAAAGAAGGATGCGTCCGTTGGCTTGGGCGTATTTCAGGTCAACGAATAAATCGTATAACGATGGTGCTAACGAAGCTCTAGAGCAGCAGTCGGTTTCCGGCCCGATCGTTACAGTATTGTCGCTTTTATTTGTTTACATTGCGCACATACGCCCTGCATACGTATGTGAACTTTTGGCTCATTTTGTTTTGCCAATTCCATTCACTAATAAGCTGTTTATATATATATATATATATATATATATATATATATATATACTCTAAAAATAACCTTCCTTCTAATGGAAATTGTGTCAAAACGCTTGACCTGCTTTTGTGGAATAGCTAGTCGAGAATTCACCTGCTGTTTACCTGAAATGAAAGCTTCTTCTAAATACTATTTAAACGTGATGGAACCATTTTGTTATTAACTAACGATAAGTGAAACAAATATTAGGCAAAGTATTTTATTCTTAGAGCGAATTAGTGTATCAAACAACAGCGATAATCTGTCCCAACGGATTAAATTGTCAAGTACCGGTATCCCTCAGGACCTCAAGAAGTTTACATCTGGCTTTGTCTTTTCTTTTCAAAACGATGACAATAAACAACCGTGAACCAATAAAGCGTTAAGCGTTTGATAACAGCATGTAAATGAGTGTTCCTAGTTATAGATGCGCGTCAGTAGTGGTCACAACGAAGAACTATTCATGATTGTGGGTTTTCGCAAATTGCAATCAGCTTATATTTCGGTAATTCGCCATTCTTATGCTATCGTCAATGCGTCTGCAGCTGTTGGCCTTCCTGCAATTCTAGCTGCTACCACGGTGCTGAAACACAAAGAGTCTTGTTCTTCCCTGTGGCTGGTTTGCTGTACTTCGTTAAGGCTCTATATATATAATATCGGTGCTTTCAAAAAATACCGATCCGGTTTTGCTGACTAGCTTGCACACTGCTAATAATAGAAGAGCTGTATAGCTACAATATCTGATGTTCTGTTGACGGTGGCGCAGAGCCGATCAGGCCTTTGGATTTAACGGATGACCAACTATTGAGTTCTGTTTAACGGAGACTCTAACTTTCCAGAAGAGGCATCCACAATAGTAAAAATAAAAGTTGCCTATTCCTGTCCTACATTTTTTTTGCTGTAGCTGTTCTAACTCTCGCTGCTCTGCCCACTGCTGTCGTCGTCGTCGTCGCTGCTGCTGCTGCTGCTGTTGATGTTATGATTAGCGTCGTTGCCGCCCGGCGACTCATCCTAAAACTTCGGATTACAGCGCATAGTGTTAGCAATTTTTATCACGCTCAGTTGTTACTGTGGCTGATGCTTGCCTGCGGCGTACTTTTTTATTTTTTTATCAGTTGGCCATTTTACAGTTCACAGTTCCACATTTGCGAGCTGACAGCAATAGTAGACAATTTTTGCAAAACATTACTGGTGGCTGAAATGAGACAATTAATTTGATGTCCTTATTTGGTCCCGTGTCTAAAATGGACGACAAACAGATCTTCTAAGTGTGAAGCTGTAGGGAGGGTCTCCCGAAAATCATCGCTCTAGTTCTTGTTGGCCAGATCTACGGTTGGCCCACTACACATAGTTTACCTATGATGAGCAACAACGCTGTACAACGTTTGAGTGGAACAGCCTGAATTGAAACTAAGTTTAGTTCTACCACTATTGCCCTTCTGGTCTCATCCGATCCACTGCTTTCTCTATTACTCATTACAGAATCAGTATTAATGTTATGTATCGATAATATTTTAGGCGTCAAAAGGATAGCCACCGAACGTTCCTGTTCGCGAGAGCATTTGTCGCAGCGTACTTATTGGTACTGGATGACACGTCTAAGCTAAGCCTGCGAAAGGATTATTGTCTGATTGGGCACGTGAGTGGATAGTATACGACAGCTAGTTTCACAATCAGTTTTAAACGAAGCGAGCAGCCCACAGGCAGTATGATGTTTGTCCGACTGTATGCGAAACTATCTATCACTGATATTACTTTAGAATCCTTATTGCTTTATTCGTTTTTTACGAGCCCTTAGAGGTTTCATCCATAACTATGTTAAGTGTCTTGCTAGTTACCACATAGTCGATGCAATGGACTGCTTTCGGCGTCGGCCGCATCTACTGCTGTTTTGCGGCTGATATTCCAACTCAACCGAACAACACCTGCTGTTCTAACAACAGCAGCAGCAGCAACAACTTCAGACAGGCCGCACCAACATCAGAGGCTGTATTGAGCTGCGAAGTCCACCAGCTTTTACCCTGGCTCGAAAATAGAAAGGGGTAGCAGACACGGGACGCGAAATAAGGATGCTATGACGGGGAAGACGGGAAGAAGGGGTCAATTTTTGGTCGGACCGATGTTAGCTTTGCTTGCTAGCAAGAGCAACCAAGACAAGTGCCTACTTAGCGGCAGCGACAACATTAACATTTAACTTCATGCTTAGCATGTTCGCGACGGCTGTCGATAGCGATCGTGACTTCTAAGACTTTCGACGGTCCTGGTTGGCAAAGGAAGCTGTGGCAGTACTCCGCGTTCGTGCATCTAGTCGCCTGCCGTACAACGGCAACGGTCTAACCTCGATCCCATCTTCCTTGCGTAAACAGCGCATAACAGTGAGTGCTAGTGCAATGACATGCGATAAACTTGAGTAAGTTGTGCCGAGGGATCAATTCATTCAATGAAAATATGCCCGAACGCATAGGCAAGATGCCGAAATAATTCAAATCAAAACTAGGATAACGTTAAAATGGGGGTAAAAGGTGGGTGGTCGCAGATAGGGACACTTAATATTCACATTACAGCCAGATGCCATTGCTAATCTACAACTATCGTAGTGGTCATTGTACCTGTAACGACGATTCAGAGGAAACGCGAGCAGTAGTTCTGAAAAAAATATGGCCCATGTGTTTTCGACTGTTGTCAAATCAGATTCGAATTGTGCGCGTTGGCCACCGGATCATAGTGGTCGTTACACGCAAATTCAATTAAGATGAAAAAAAAGCAGGGATATTGCAAAAGCAATATGAACACAATAATAACAAAGCTAGCAAGAAAAATAGTATACCTCAAATCTGCAGTAACAATGAAAATAGTTTTAATAAGCAGATTGATAATAGTTTATCTATGTGGATCTTTGTGGTTGTAATGCAAACTTGTCTTCTGTTATTGTATGCACAAGTTTCAGATCTTATACTACAAACCAGAATTGGTTTCCACCTAATGAGTTGATGATTTTGCCTACAACATTGTTTTTTTGCCCCCACAACTTCAACGTTTATCAAGGGGAAAAATGCTGCTTTTTCGCCTTCTGTCTTTCTCTCAAGTAGACGTTGTGGTTTGGTGATTTTTAGGAGCATTTCAAGTGTTAGAAACTGTCCACATAAAAGCTATTCCTGTGGCAGCTTGTAATTCTGTCGTCATACTTCTTCCTTATCTTGGTTTGACCGTAAATGACTTTTTATGACGGGGAGCGCTAATGGGCCGTAAATCGGGAAACAAGTTTTGTGTAGTAATATATCAGGTAATATAAATGACCATGACCGCGCGACAGGTACAAAGACGGTAATTGCTAAAAAATCACTTTTTAGGTATTTGGCTCGTATAACCAGAAGTATTTGATTCGATAAAATCAAATTAATATAGTGCGATTTTCGAATCGCACTCATCCAGTTCTATTGAACACTATTCACATTGTTAGAAGGAAAACATCTTAGTACTAGTGTGTGTAGACTTCATTGTTGGACGACGTCAACTGATAACGGCTCCTTTTTATACCTTCCGATATCGAACGGCTTACTAGAAACCGTTTCTCGCTTAAAAAAAGTTTTTACGATATATAAAGTGATGCGTTAAACTTAATGAAAACTTCGATAAACTGTTTACCGTAACGGGCATGCATTTACTCACTATTTTTAGTATTTAGCAAAAATCAAAACTTTTTAGAACAACACGAGAAGCTTGTTATGGCGAAAAATAACACGTCGTTGGATTTGGACTCGGATTTCGAGCAAAAATCGGCTATTATCGATATTCTTTTAAAAAGACCTTTTGTTTTGCCTAAAGTTCGCGGTCTGCTTTATTGCCAGGCGTCGTGTAAAACACCCGAGGAAGAATTTTATGAGGTACAGCGGAAAATCCTCAATAAGATTTGTTAAATATTTAAGAATTCATCAAAATAGCTCAAAAAAACAATTTTTGGTACATCTAGGCCTTTTAATATAGGAATTAGGGGCCATCTTAGAGAGAAGAATGTCAGGTGCCAAGTAGATCATGCACAGAAGGTCCGTCTTTTCTGCATATCTTAATTTTTTTGGCAGTTTTGAGCAATCTTGGAACTGAGAGCTTGCTATCAGCCTCAAATATATCACAATTTCTAAAACGTATATTATAGCTTTTTGTATTTAGCATGTCTGAGCTACGCTTTGGCAAGTTTAGATCTACAAGTATTGCTCAACGCAAAATGACTACTAAAAGCTACTTGCAGATTAAAGAAGGAATATTTTTAAATTGAGCAGTTGGTAATTTAGATCACGAATCGAAGCTGTGAATACAGAAGATAGGGATCGTGTTAACTGAATATATCCCTCATAAAACGACACTTTTGGCGCAAAAGAAATTGTCAAAATGTTTGTTTTTGTTTTATATAGAGTTTTAGCAAAGTATAAGAGAAATTTCAATATAGACGCTCCCTATACTTAAACATATATGTATATCTTGACAGGATTAGACGATGCCGTCTGATCGTTCGATGCCCGACCTTCAGTGTGATTTTTGCCAGCATTTCCGCCTTTATCAGCCTTTCTTATCTAACCTACTGCCGCGAGCTCAGCAGCTACCAACTCGACCAAGTGGAAATCCTCCAGATTTTTGCCGATGTAGTTGATTCTGATGGTATTTCGTATGGCTATGCAATTTTTTGTATTATTTCCCTAGGCATTTAGTTGTCGATTGGGGACTTAAACATAGTTTTTCTTTTTTCTGTTTTCCCCGAAACTAAATAGCTAAAACAATTATTATCATTATGAAATGTCTTAGCTAAGTTATACCAGTTATATGAGAGTGGAGTATGTATGTAATAATATAATAGTACATTAAATTGATTCCACGTAGATTATCTACTTAAGATTGTTGGTAGCTGTCGTCGTCACAAAAAGACGCCGTGTTGTAAAAAAGTGATGATCATTTCTCTGGAGCTCTCTCCTCGGTAAGCCTTTCAGACAAGCTGAGTTGAGGTCGAGCCGTGACAGCAAACTAGAGCTGATAAGATCTGACGCTAAATCGACTACGACACGTATAGTAAGCCTGTCATCAACATCTGAATTAGCAAAGCGACAGCGTTTCGTAATAATAATAAAAAAGACAACAGTTTATTAAATCTCAATAGCTATCGCTGCTAACGTACAATATTTTAAGCGATCCTACCATCTGCAAACGACTTAGGTTTCGCGCTTTATGAATCGATCCAAATGTATGCTCGGACGAAATAAGAAACAATGTGAAACCTACACACATTAATAAATACGTTACTAAATAACTTAATATCTTAAAATATGAAGCGCATATATCGTAGAGTCTAATGTGTTTTTACCATTAAAAAACATAAAGCCGTTCTAAAAATATCATTTCCACGCTAAGTTAAGGTTTTATTGGAACACTTCTACAACAATTATTAAAAATATAAATTTTACTTACAAGCGATATTCAGCTGTTGATTAATTATTTTTTAAGTGTTCTAATTTCTAAAAGGTGTGCTTCTTCGACAAAAATTAAAAACCCGTTTAGAGAATACATTAATTTATAATACATAAAGAAATTATTATGCAATGAATGAGTAGACTCATAGGATTTAGACTTTCTTTCAGTTCTAGAGACTTCGCTCTGATTTTGGCCTTACGGCTTCGATCCACTTATTGACTATGAAAAATCTCAAAGAACACCAGTCCCTTACTTCACATTAATATAAGTCTACCAGGGAAATCAGATTTTATTTGGAGTTTACGCAGTCTGCACACGGTTTGGCATTTACCTTTGTATTTACACATTACACGGTATATATTTTGCTGCTGCTGCTGTGCCGTGTTGATAGCCAGCATTAATATGCTATAGTAACCTCTTTATAATGATGAACTCGATAAGTTATAATTCGAGCTATATTATGGCAGGCTATGGACGTAAATAAGCTAGAGTTTGTCACGCGCTTCTAGATAAATTATATTTGAACCACTGGTGCATTTGTTGTAGTTTAGGTCGAAGACCTGACGCGGTTGTTTCGACAGCATGTCAGCCTGTGTAATTGGTCAACCGCCGCTGCTATATTGACGGAAAGGCCGACTCTCGAGTATCCTACTTAGGAGCACGAACACGTTTACGTTGTCGCGACTATCTCATTGCCTATATGAAACGTTTATAACAAGTCGACACATAATTCAGTACCACCAGCAAAGCTACTTTACTAATGACAATGGCAAGTGGCGAATTTCGCATTTTAACAAAATATTCACTAGTGCTTAAAGCGCTGACTATACGTAGAAAGAGGTTTTTAAATTCAGTTAAAAAGAAACTTTGACTAGTTTGTATTTTCATTATCATTATTGGCACGTATTCAAAGTGAGTTTTAAATTTTTTGCCGGTACGCTATTGAAGGGAAGTGCAATCATGGAGATAAATTAAGAAATCCTTATGGGGTGATCTATTGTACAGAGATTACCATCACTGGCCATACAAAGTATCAGCTAAAAAAATCTCGTTATATAGATTTAGATACGCCGCCCGTTGCAGCTTGAAAACTGACGGGGCACTTCGAAATCGTTATTTGCCTACATAGATAAATTATACGCGTTAGCAATCTTTACTCCTAAAAGACTTCAACAACCGGGCTGTTCGAGTGCAATGATAAGCTGCTTGATTGTGCCTATGTGGCGGTATGCACTATCTAACTAGTTGCGTTCTTTATAGGTAGATCGAGCTTACTGTAGTATTAGCGATTAACGAGCAAGTGTGTGGAAAACGTTGAAAAGGGTGACAACTGCTACATCCATTTACTTTGCAGAATCGCCTTGCGGTTCTGCCAATTGCACACTTGATTGAATGACTGTACTGCGGAATGACTGAACACGAAATGAAGCTTTGCACCTGACTTCATTCACGGGCATCAGACATATTGTTCTTAACCAAATCTGGACAAATAATTTTGCCCAGGTAACTGTTTGAATTGTTTAAAACGGAACCACTCGCTCGCTTTAATAAACACACAGAGTCCTCTCTGTCAGTTATCGTTTAGAGAACTGCTCATAACGTTAATTATGTCTAGTTAATATAGTAAAACATACGACGATTGACCAATACGGGCCCCCATGGCATCGAATACAAAATGAGGGGGAAGAAAGGGTGTGATCGACAGGTGGCAGCACCTTCCTATTAGTGGGCTAGATAAACTAACGAAAGGAAACGATTCATACTATGATAGTATTGGCGATAAACAAATGGTGAATTAATTGTTAGTATATCCATATATATATATATATGTATTTTTTTTTTCTCAATAGTTATCAGTAGCTGAATACGGTTGCTGTATAAGCCTGGCCTGAAAGTGATCGATTCGAATGCGTCAGCGTTTGAGCATATTCTATTGCTGTCTAGCTTATATTGTAGAGCGACACAAGAACTAGGAACATACACAATTGTGGCAAACTGTGTGACACTTGAATAATTCGCATGGCACTCCATAGATGGAATAGTGCTACAGAACAAACGCACCGATAATCACCCAAGCTTACTTATAAGTTATCACCTACGATATCAATGTCGAAACGCTTGTTGTTCTAAAGCCGAGAAACGCACATTGTGTGATACAATATGTTGTTTTGTTTGTATTTTGCTCTGGCAATGGAATATCAACTAGGAAAATATTGTATTTTTGCGCATTAAACGAAATTGAGGATTTAATTAATTATTTAAGCCTTGTTGAGTGAGCGTGATCTCTTATAATATCGTTCACATGAACACAAACTAGTGATGATACTTTCAGTATTGTTTGTTCATTTCATTACCACGAAAGTTAGAATAAAATTTATCTATCGGGTTCTTAGGATCACACATTCTTTCGAATGAAGAACAAATTCAAAAAGCTTATCTAACCTAACACTTCTCAGACCAGAGGTTAGCTCCAACGGCAACAGATACATTCGATCTATTAGTCGGAAGCAAGTCTGTTCCAACTAACTAGAGGAAATCAGTCGACTGATCAAGAAGGTAATAGAGGAATCACCTTTTTCTAGACAAGTTTTCCTAACAATATCTTCGTCAATTATATTCGGAGCGCCGTTAGCGATTGTATGGCATCTGGAAAAGACGTTATTATCGACTCAGGGTACCAGCAGCCGTGGCCTATCGTCCGACCTTCGACAACATGTGAAGTTAATCCCAAAACATCATTGAACTGGAGCAACGGCTCGAAGCCTGCTCATGCCGCAAACGAAATGCAAAGGTACGCTAGTGGCTGACTCACGTTGGGGTTCGGGGCGCGTCTCAGCAGTCAGCAATAGCAGTTGACGCGCTCGAAACATACATCACGTATAAAGATAAATTACCAATCCCTATACACACACTTTTATAGCTTAGACCGGTACTCGACTGCGACTAATAACAATATGACTAATAATTCAACATAGACAAACGTTCATTCAAATGGGAAAGTGTGTTGGACAGAAAGCCAATGTACCATAACGCTCCAACTAATTTCATGGCGTTTTATCGCAACGGTGATAGTTGCTGTTGCGATTGAAGTTACGGCAATAAGGCGACGGTAAGATGACTCATTCAGTCCTTCTGTGCATACCTTGATCGTGTGTGTTTACATCTTTGCTTTGCTCTAATATTTGTATAATATATAAGCCAATTACACTATCGTTCATGTCCTGTCGAATAGAATGCTTGTGGGATGATACTATTGAATGATTTAAGCTGTGCATCTATTCTGGTCGGTGCACTGACGCAGCTCTTCTCGATAAGCATGAATGAGTTATTCCATATGAAAGTGTATGTTTTTCTTACGATACGGAAATATTACCAGCCAATTGTCGCATGCAGATATCTACATTTTTGTGTCTCATGAACAGACGGTTATTGCCATCATTATATGTACGTGCGTTCTACCTTGAAGTGAGCTAAATTTTCATAAAAACTAGACATGTTAATTAGAAATGCTGACGTAAAACGTTCGTGCTTGTCGATGGCACAAACTCACCGCGGTTGTATAGGCTAATATAATAATTTTCTAACTGTAACAGTCTGAAAGGAAATGTGCCTGTACACATTCCGAAGGCTTCTGTTCCGTTTTGCAAATCTGTTCCGACCTATTTTCACTAGCTACTATGCCATTTTGAAGTAAGCGAACAATTGATCAAGGAGGTGAGCTAAAGCTTCTTCATAGTTTAGCTAGCCTCCACAGTGTAGTGTGACTACCCTTTCTCTATGGGTCGGTTGTATTCGTTGCAACTCGAGTCCGATGCTCATCGCCTAATATCTTCTATAGTTCGTCTTCTCATCGTATAAAACCGATAGAGAAAATACTTTGAATAATTGAATTGAGCTGTTGTTGCGCTTTCTATGGCCGTCATTTTCCATGGTCGTTTTCGTTGTGCGCGATAACCGCTTCCACATGAGTTTACCATTGGCATCTATTGTTTGCTTAGATTGACAAAAGTATGCCTTGTGCTATTTATGTGCTGACTGCTTATTCGCTTACCAGCTGATGCTGAAGACTATCTAAAGCACCATGGTGTAGAGCAAGCAGCCTGGCGGTCAGAGGAAGCCGTTCATTCGCACGCAGCAGTAGCTGTTGCTACTGTTGTTATTGATGGCTTGAACTAATCGAGCAGCTATTTCAAAAAGCAGAAAAGACGGTACTATGTATGCGTATTAGGTATTTTATGAAGGCTCGTTTAGACGTTGTCTTAAAAGTCATAAGGAACGTCGTTATTAGTCTTTGAAGACCTAACTTAAACCCGATTGAGAAGCACGTGAACGTTAAGTCGACCGTGATGTCAGAAGCAGCGCCGCACAACGAATATGCTTAGTCACAACCGGACAAGATTGGGTCGCACAGGTTGTGGTTCTTTAGTAGCGATTAACGGTACGAGTGTTAAGATAGCAGCCCCATACCGTAGAGAAATGCATGAATGTGTAAAATACGAACAATTCAAATAAGTCAAACAAAAACATAAAGAGAAACCTTAGAAACGCGTCACGTGTGGTAAGTTGTTGAAAGAAAGATAAAATTAGCCAAAAACACCGAAGTATTAAGTCACAAACTGAACCTTTGCCGAATATTGCCGAATATTTTCAGACAACCCCTATAATACACAGGCGGTTAATAGAAGTATCCTTTCAAATGAGGCTTTTGACTACGCTATCATTACACATAGAGTCATCTTCATGCAAGCGAAAATTTGATGTTGAACTTTAATTAAAAAAGAGTGAAATTCGCAGGTTGAAAAGACAAACCTTTGTCGAGATGTGTAATTGAAAGCGATGGCTTTAAATCTATGTTGTCCTTATGCAACTAGATATAGCTTATTCGTCCCGCATAACTGACTGCAGCAATTCTAGCTAAATTAAGAATTTATTTCGCAAATTAAACTAGACTTACTAGACGACAGTGGTTTGCTTAGCTGACTGGCGTCTGCTCCACTGTTTAGCAACATATAGCATTAAAGTACGGCTATTGTTGTACCACAACTCTATTTTTCCACATTTACGCGCTACGGTTCGCTTCGAATTATCGATCCGTTTTCTATAGTCGAATAATAGCTTGAGCGAGTTATGCATAGGCTCATTCTAAATACGACGAATTTAGGCCAATTGAGTGTTTTATTTATTGTAGGAGGTTTCAATGACTTATAATAAATAATTAAGCTACTTTGCCTTGGTTCTGACATGAAGTGTGAACACTTGCGATCGAGCATCTAATACATATTTGCTGATGAACTTTAGATTATCCTCTTAGGAAAAAATAAGATCGATCACATATGTTGACACTCCTTCATTCACCAGTCCATCGATCAGCCGTATCCGCTTGTGTATCGACGGGACTCTATACAAAAAAGACGTTGCTCGTTCTTGTTCGATTGGTCGATTAAAGAGCACTGTAGACGTGTTCTTACTGTAAAATCTGACGACAGAGGCCACACGTAATGAGAATTAGTGGCATTAACAAAAACTGATGGTTCGATCTTTGGCTGTACCAACGACGGTTCTAAGAGCAAAGCCGTTTACCCATACTGCTCGGTGATGATAAGGAAGAACTGCGATATTGAGGCCAAAAGATGGAGGTTACAGTATCTTCAAGCTGTGTCTATGCTGTACTCTTGTCGTATGGTCAGCAATATCTGTGTAGCCAACGTTTGTCAACATGTTAAGCTATTTCTTTCCTCCGTATCGTCGAGTGTAGACAAATATACATGATTGCCGCCGGAACAAGACTGCAAAGAAAACAGTCAAATTCGCGAGTTTGCTTAGTTCCGTTAGCGTCCGGCTAATTGTCATGAACGATGTACGCGCTATTATTTACTTGGTGCTTCAAACTCGTCTAAAGTATTGTATTTTTCATTTCATTTAAACCATATTTGTGCATATGGCCTTAATGTGACAGTATATATTGGTTAGCTGTGAAATTTGTGGGGTGATCTATAACGAAGAAGCTTGAAATCAACGGAAAATTTGCTGATATAGACAATTACAGCGACTGCTAAGCTAGATGCCTCGGCAGTTCTTTTAGCAGATGTGAGGGTTGCGACGTTTCCAGTGGGGCACTACTTGTCAGTTAACTGGTTAAATGCATGCTAGTTCATTGATTATTTAACTAACGCTAATTCTTCACGGCAGCTAGCGCCATCTTTTATCATTGCTGAGTATGCAGCGTTCATTCTATAATATCTTCTATGAGCTAAGCTATGAGGTGATATGGGTGACGGCAAACTAGTATCTCCGTTGTATTCGACTGCTTTATTGTTAATATTATTATTCTTATTCTCAGAGCTCTTTTTGTACCTATCTAATTTGAACGGTGAATTCCCCAACTAATGCTTCAACTTACATCTTTTCATACGGAAGTGAAGACTAACTTCTTCTATTTTAAACAAGCACCATGGATTATAATACGCCGTAATAACTAAAAACCACCAATATACGTGTAACGATATATCTATCAATTTTGATACAAAATAAGCTCTTTATTCAAATAACGGCAGAAGACAATGTCGCATTATTAGTCATCACATTGTGAGTTCATAATGAGTATGGCAATGCGTCATAGATTAGAATTCGAAACCCGTTGTGATCGCGCCTTGAATTTGAACTTTAAAACTCGTCTTGAATTGTTCCCGATTGTATTGATCATACCCTTATCTTTAATATTCGCTTCAAATGGATCATATCTCCAGGTTTCATTCGACCTAGTGTCGATTTGAACACGCAAAGATTCTATACTCTATCCCCAACATAAGTGTCCAATTGAAATGTTAACTTCGGATCGCTCGATTTGAGGGATCAACATAATCTTTGTTTCAATTCTTGTTGATTGAAACAAGCACTGCGCCAAAAGACGAGGTAGTACGACCTTCGGGACACGATACCTCTTCTAGAACAACAGTTGAAGTATTTCGGGTGTCATTGAGACTGCGTTAGATAGTGCTGTGACAGTCTCGAAATTATCATACGACAAAAGTACGTCTTTATACCGAAAAACTTAGCTTATCTTTAAAATATTACATTCAATACAGCTATAAGCATTTGTAAATTGTACGTTGAGCGAAAACGACGCTTGGACATTAGCTTTCTCCTCAGACCTTTATGTATACAGGCCAAGTCAAATTTTACCAGATACACTCGATTGCCTTGCGTTTCTGGTGTTTGGTAAGTTCTTATCTATTTTGTGCTTTACTTTGTTTCATGATATTATTTTTGCGCTCTACGCGGAGAGCATCAATCTGCAGTACAGACTGTTGTACACAATTAGTATGATTGACTTCCAGCGGTTTATGGTTCGTTTCTGGCATGCGCTGTTGCGATCATTTTTATTATCGTACGTATAATTATGAGCTATTACGAAGGTGTCGACAAGCAAACCCTTCTATTTGCGAGAAACATGCTCGTTTTGCTTTTCTGTTACATATTCTTGCTGTCTGACTGATCGCGTTCTCATTGACCGTTTCATAATGTGCACATCTGCTACGTGTATGCTTGTACATCTGACTCTATAGAGGTAGCTTCAAAACAGTGACGCGCAAATCGTTATTTCGTTTGCAGCCCTTCTAACTTCTAATTTGAGCCTTTTTTCGTTGCGATCGTACGATAGATCAGGATCCAGCGGATTCTCATCCGACAGATCCGAAATGGGTAGCGCTGGGGGAGGAGGGACGGGGACCAAGACGGGCGGTCAACAACAACAGCCTGAAATGCACAAGGTGATTATGGTCGGTAGCGGTGGTGTCGGAAAATCTGCACTCACGCTGCAGTTCATGTACGCTGAGTTCATCGAAGATTACGAGCCAACAAAGGTAATACGTGATATACATACATATATATATATATATATATATATATATATATATATATATATATATATATGTATTAGTTCTAATGGTGCTCATTTTCGCATAATATAATAATGCCGCAGGGGACCAATCGCGATTCTAGCCACGTTTAGTACTTGAATTATCGCCTTTTTTGCCTTCTTACAGGCCGACTCGTATCGCCGCAAAGTAATGCTCGATGGTGAGGTCGTTCAGATAGACATTCTCGACACAGCTGGACAGGAAGATTACGCCGTGATAAGGGACACGTATTTCCGATCCGGTGAAGGTTTCCTCTGCGTGTTTTCAATTGATGAACCCGAGAATTTCGAGGCCACGAGAGAATTCCGTGAACAAATACTTCGAGTCAAAGGTGAAGATTCGGTACCGTTCATTCTCGTTGGAAACAAGGCCGACAAGGATGAATCTAACCGAAGGGTAAGTTCGATCTCGTTCCCTTCATAATAATTTACGCTTTTCGCAGAGAAAATCTTCATTTCGACTTAAGTGCCACTTGATTTGCTTTTTATTAGACTCCATTAATCAAATCAATCAACAAAGACAAATCAGCACAAAAAGTATATTGCGATATAAAAGTGCGAATCGCTAACTATCGTTTAGATTACAGTGGATATACTCTAATAGAATAGAAACTCTGACTAACTTTTCTAGTAACTTAAAGTGTTATTATACAGTTGTTGCTACACGGTCATTTTGTCGTTCTTTCAAAATATCAGGTGACCGTGGAGGAGGCCGAAGAACGTGCCCGTCAATGGAATGTTCCGTACGTTGAAACGTCTGCCAAAACGTGTATGAACGTCGATAAGGTCTTTTACGACTTATTACGGCTGATACGTGACAAGAAGCGGGCTGAGCAGCAGACCAATCAGAGCGGTGCCAAAAAAGCCAGTGGACAGAAGAAAAAGAAATGCACCATACTCTAGGACTAAACCTTGCATACTTTTTGTCATGTCGTGTCGCCATATTGCTTCCCCCCCCCCCCCCCCGAAAACCACGACATGAAAGCCAACGACAGCTGGCTGGTCCGAGCGCCAACTCATTCTATTATCACAATTGCACAAGTACGATAGCAGCCAGCTAATAAAGCCGATTTTCGTACAGTAGTAACAGCAGAAGCAGCAACAGGCGCAGTGAGGCCTTCCATCAAAAAATGGTGTGAAGAGCGATGCGGACGAGAAACAGACGACCGATGCATTGGACTCTATAGCAGACCAACAACCTTCACTAATACTAATATAAAATAATAAGTGTGAGTGTGCATAGTAAATCATATACTTAAGACAGATGACGGCAACAAATAAGAAAGAAGCAAGCGCCAACAAATAATGTGGCAAGATAGGTTATCGAAAGTGAGTACACAGACGACATATACAATATTAAAGGGTATGCCAGGACGGCCCTTCATTAAATCTACCGAGTTATCTCTGTTCACTTCAAAAGGTAGCTTTCTCTTCTATTATTAGCTATTTACGGATGGAAAAACCCAGATGGAACAAAAACATGAAAAACAATCAATGTTCCGTGTGGAAGACCCTTCGACATAAATAGTCCAATCACAGCCAGACGCTGCGTGATGGCAATGAGTTTCGGTCAGTTATCTTTTGATAATTTAAATGAAAGTTAGCAGTTCAGCCACATCATCAATCCGCAATGGTCGCAAAAGCCTTTCTCAAGAAAGTGATTTCTGAATAGATGAAAATAGGCGAGAGCACCTTTATCGCTTGTGGCTTGTACATTCGCCGAGTGCGATATACCAATCATAATGCATAGTCGTGATGTTAGCATTGGTAAAAAGAGGAATGATAAAATGAGTAAGCTGAAGGCATTTTTCGCATAGAACAAATGCCCTAGAGCTTAGTAATAAAAAAACTGGAAGTGGCAGACCAGTTGTAGTCTGGCGATCATTGGTAATTAAGTAAGTGAATGGTACTAAATGGACGTGACAAATATTGCTTGAGCGTTCTGCTAGTATTAGTAAAGGCTTTACTGTTTTTAGAGAAAGAGCAGAAAGAGAGAGAATGATGAAGAACGAGGAAGGAAAAAAACGGTCCGTGAGCCAATAGTAGATATTTAATACAGTTGATAAAGAAAGAGGGAGACGAAAAAAATTGTTAGAGGCATGCTCGGCAGGACTGTGTGTATGCGCATTAGTTGCGTATAGTTGCTGAGTGGCAAATCTAGTGATGGGGGGCTACCAATTTTGTTAGTCTATTGCGAGATGATGATTGGCGGCTGAACTGGCTTAGACCAGCATATGCTTTAATCTCCGAACATTGTTACATCTGATCGACGCCTGGCGCAAGGCTCAGTAGGCACAGACACACTCACACCCACACCCATACAAGGCGTATATTTTAGGATGATAGCCCCTATTAGTTCTATATCATATAATTGTTTTCTTAGTCTTGGAAAATAAGCATAAAAAATAAGCATATTGGAATAAGAGTACATTATTATTTAAAAGCATTAAACTCAAGTTGTATATTTGTTTATGCGGCTGATAATAAGCTGTAACGACGGCACATGATTCTGTAATGAACACATTGGAGTGTTTTCAAACGACGTGAGATATCTAATTTGTTGCTATCAAATCGAACAGCTTTTCTCGAAGAAAAAATACATTGATCAATGCATTTTTATGATGATGTTAAATTGTTTTTAATGCTCCTTTTATATTAAATATTGTTATGTAAATAGTTGATAAAAGTTATATAAATTAACAGATATAATGGTCTTAGGCGATCTAAAGGCGAACGAGACACATCAGAATCAGCATGAAAGTTGTCGGCTCAGAAAAAACGTAAAGTTTATTTTTGAAACAACAATAGAATAATAAAACAATGAAGATTAGCGAAAGCGTGAAACGGAATGGTTACGGTAATCGCTAAAGTCGATTATGATCTTAACTGATCATCAACCGTTTGTCGGCAATCATGAAGAATAACTGCATTGCTTATCTGAGTATTTGCATCAAATCTGGGTTCAGTTTAAAGTGTAACATTAAAACATCTCAGACACGACATTCGTACACATTGACAAAATGTTGGTTGGAGCAAACGGTATTGAACTGTCTCATTTTCGGTTAATATAAGGAATTTTCGGCGCTTATCGCACGTCGATGATTACACTTCGTGTATTTAGAAAGAGCAAAAATGACATTTATGATAAGTGCGTGAGTGTTTTTGGCCAGAAATTGCCGAAAGAGTCGTGAAAATTATAGTATGGAAATGTGTTTGCGCCTGTTTACCTCTGCATGTATGGAAGCGTTTTATTATTAGCATATTATAATTAAATTGAACTTATTTTCGATATTATCACCTAGCTGTGAAGGCCCGTTTGTGGGTTCGATCGTGACTGATGAATAATTAAGTGGAATTTGGCTGCTGTAAAATATTACGAAGTATATATATATATATATATATATATATATATATATATATATATACATATATATATATATATATATATATAGATCTATAGTATTTGTAGTAGTGGAAACAAAAAGTATAGTTAAGGTATATATATACATCTTAACTATACATATATAACGATAAAGACAGACGTACACAGTCTGAGAGCGCTTCCGCGTAATAATAATGTTATCATGTAATCGGATTTACAAACAAATAAATGCCAGGGGATAAATTTTTCGTTTTAATACATTGCCATTCAAAATTAACCGGATTGATGTTTATCATGAATAAACAATAATTTACATATAATAGCAAATGGTATCGTTTCTGACTCCATTAATTGTATTATTTAATTGTATTATTGCTCATATGAAGCCGAATTCACATTTGCATGTGCATATTTCTGTACGACACAAGTATGATGGTTGGAATCAGACGAGCTGTTAATTCTATACCTTGTTCTTATCTGCCATGTTGATAAAACGGGAATACAATCGTGTAAATAAATTAAGTATTAACACATTTTCATCTTAACAAAAAACAACAATTTGTGTTCTCAATAAGGAACGACATGGAAAAATGAAGACGCCGAAAGTGCAACATGGCGCTATAATTTTGTAGTGTGATTCTCTATTCGGAAGGGTTTAGCCAGTAAGAAATTGAATGCAATATATGTCACATCCTTTCAACTTGACTCCTAGATCGTAATGTGGCTGAGGTGTTATCAGTCTACTATTCCATTTCAATGTCTTTACGAACGAAAAAGGCAAACATTATGGTGTGATAGAAGTGTTTCCTTTGACAGTAGGCTTTCTTATTGATAGAAATTCGCGCATGATGGCTTCGAATATGTCTGTTATATATTTTATTATCTACTCATTTGCAAGCAAGTTTGGGCCGTTACGACCATCCAGTAAGACTTGCTAAACAACTTTTTTGAAAAACTGTGTTGGGATGTCTTTTTTTTGGCGCTTCATATTGGCGCTTCCTACGCTGACTGGTCTATCAAGTTTTCAGGTAGTCGAGCAGTTACTTTATTGATGCTCCTAGTACAGTTCGACCGTCTTGTTAAAGTCTGTAGTTGAAGCTCCTTTTGTTTAAGAATAGCGTTATCAAAGCAGGCTCTTTCGATAGATCATCGAAAACCAAGTCATCGAAACTAAAAGCCCCTGGCGAACTTTTGGGATTTTTCCGAAGTAACCTTCGCGATAAAAGCACGCATCCCTACATATAAAACGGGGCCTGAAAGGCAGCAGATCCAAATCGTCCCTAGCCGAGTCAACGTGCTCATATATGACAATTGTTTATCATGGGCTGCTTAATACACACTCAATCACGACGAGTGGTTATCACCGCATTATTCTTAAACGAACAAAAAATTCAGAGTTAACCCAAAAACCTGTTTCGGCAAAGCGGGCAGAAGATGCGAAGCTTTGAAAACTCCACATTATAAAAAAAAATGGCTACATTCGTTCAAGCTAGTCATTTTAGTGAATTTAGTAGGTTCGAAGATAGTTATATAAGAAAATTAGCACTATGTAACAAATTTCTATTTTCAACAAGTTTAACTGTTTGTAGTGAAAAAACAATTTTTATTCGCCAAATCGTATTATGAGTGGGCAGATAGGGCATATCAGACTGAGTGCGCGTCACATTAATAAGATAAAAACTGAGAAATATCTACGTACAACCAAGAATTCTGAACTCGTGATCGCACTAGAGATTTACTCGATCTGTCAAAATCTAGATCAAGCGAAAAGATTAAGCGCAGGCTTAATACAATCTTTATCAAAATTGATTTATGTATTTTACGTGTATAACAACGTATTTCGTAGTTCTATTCTTCGGAGTTATATACAAACCGTCGTGTGTACATCTTCGTCAGCGCTATGTTACGTTATATACATTGCTTATATATATACAGTAATATGTAACTGTATGAATACAGTCATACGTTTGGTGTATGCTATAACGCACGTTGCGGTGGTTGTTGCATAGGCTTCTAATTGAATTTAGAAAATCAAAAATGTCCCTTAAATTCATCATACCCCATTCACTCAATGTGGTACTCTTTTAGTGTCGGCATGAGATACACAATAACAAGTATTGCGCCTTCCCATAAGAGATAATTTGAATGAAGTATTCGTTGATTCGCATAATGCATTAACAACATTGATTGTTTTCCTAACCTAACGTATTTTCTAATGCATTTGATGCGTATTAGATTCTTTACTTATTTAGCATCTTACAAAAGTTTTTTTGATCAGCAAATCGCACATTTTAATCATGTAGTCAGTCATTAACCGTTCGTCCTGTGACCATTGAAAAAATTCAAAAACTTACCTCAGTTATATTGAAAAATTTCTACGACATATTCTACCATAAAAATATAATGAATTTCATAGTTTCGTCATAATTTACAATTTGTGTAGAAGCTACAGCTATATGCACGTATAATGGGATGGAAGCTTTATTTTACAGAGTAGCTAAGGCAGGGTAATCCCCATACAACCGGCGCTGCACCAACAAGGGATTTGAGCTTGCATGCAGATCGAGCGTATCCGACGGCTGCAGCTAGACCAGCCCTCGTAACGATTTCGGTATCTCGTCTTCGTGAAAGCACCAGTTCATCTCCCGTTTCATGCTCTTGATTTTCATCCTGCCAAGTTTTCCATAACCACGTTCGAAGGAGTGCGTAGGTGAATAGATCACAGTCTCTGTCCGTAATATCCCATAAGTTGCCAAGTACGGCTGGGGAGCCACCTGAAGCATAGTAAGCGAAGTCATTTTTCAAAAACGTGCAGGATAAGGCAGCTGAGACCAACAATCTCACCACATATTTTAACATACTATAACCAGGGTAAATTGAAACCATGCTTTTGCGTATAAACACTTTTCGGCAAAAAAAACATCAAACATAACGCTCACCGAGTACCAGCCGAAGGGCATAACCTTCGGTGTCCATTTTTTGGCCAACGATGCGCATCCGTCCGGACGAACAGCCCATGATCAAGGCAGCAGCCCGTATGTTGATATTCTCCATCTGCTCGCGCATATGTTGTCGTCCCGTTCCGTGACCGCAATACAAATACACAGACTTCGAACGCAGCATCTGAAGTATTGAAATGAACATGGCACTCCAGTGAATGGGAGTTTACGATATGCACCTGTATCAAAATACCGTGCCAAAGAAATGTATATTAAAAGCGTACGAGATAGCCCGTTTATACCTCTGCAGCAATAGGACATTTAACCGATTATGACAAAAAAAAACGGACAGATAGTTCATGACGAAAAAAACTCACTCTCTTGAAATCTTCGCGTTCCATTGGTTTGCCCAGAGTGCCCTCCCATCGTTTGATCAGCACGGACATGTCCTCCCGAAAGCGTCTTTCGCTCTCAGGAAGATCGTCTCCGGGATTTATGCAATAAAAACCAGCATAGGGGTCTGCAAGTGTGAAAGCCTCAGCAGGTGAAAGAGCCGCGTTTCTGACACGCTGCAATTGCGCCTGTGCAGCAACTAATCCGACGCACGGCATTCGCGTTACATCATGATCATGGTACATATGACAGCTATCAAATGGCATATTAATGAGGTGCCGGTCCAAGACTAGGATAACGGGCAAACGTTTCGATGATTTCGTTAACAGCTGGCTCTCTCGTACTTGATTTTGGATATCAGCTGCTAGTGTTTGAAGTTCCTCGACGCTGTTGAGGCTCGGCTTTATAACCCGATAGAGCATAGTCACCAGTTGTTCGAGGCTTAATAAGGGCAGCGCTGTAAGTCCGGTGATAAGCAATTCGTTATCCACCTTGACCTTTCGCTTAGATGCCCACTTTTTAACCATACTTGCTAGATTTAGCACGAATTTTTGCGTTGTTTCATCTTTTAGCTTACCAAGAAACATGCCTTTCCAGCAACCCATCCACTGATTTTCTAGTGACTCGAAGAATTCGTAAAGTCGGCGATCCGCGGATTCGCGAAGTTTCCAATATTTTGATTTCTCCACTAACTTCAGACTAATTTGATTTTTAACAATTATGTCTTCAAATTCCTTGATAAAAGCTCGCTGAAACTGGCCGTCAAGGTTTGAATTTATATGTACAGTTTGTGGATCGCAACCTTTTTGATATCTGGTTGCAATGAGACTTGGAGTAACTGCGCGTTCAAAAGCGGCTGTCACTTGTACAATGCTCCAACCTGGATCACACCATTTCCACAATTTCTCGTACCAACGCTCTTCAAATTCAACCGTTGGTCTGAGCCAGTCAAAATAACTGCTATCCAATAGTCCGTCTTCATAATGACCCACCATCTTGAGGCCTCGGTTAAGTCCAGCTAATTGAACGCTGACGCCTAATGATTTTTCGAGGTAAAACTGAAAATAATCTTTGTGACCGCGCCATGCGCTCAGGAATGCTAAATTTGTGAAGAGGTTCGTGAGCAGAACCTGCTTCCCTACGGGCATACAAGGGCGTGCTGCATCGATCAACGTTTGGAAACACTTTTCTGCCCGATCACCATCCATTTCGAGAGACTTGTTGAAACGTTCAGCCAAACTAATCTTGATAAATTGATCCTCAAGACCCAGATCATCATCGCAAATAATATCATCAATTCCAGTGGTGGGTGCAGCAAGCTCATGACTCCGGGGCACGGGGATTTTTCGTCTTGTGCGAGTAACTCGACTGGAATTTTCATCGAGTGGTTTGAACTTGGGCCTGTCTTCAGCTTCTTGTTTGCGCGTTTTCCGGGTTGGAATGACAGAATTACCTTGTGTTCCATAAGAAGCACTTGTTGATGAAGTTACTTCAAAATCATCAGTTTCGTTATTAGTAGAAACCGTTTCAGGCTCAGGTTCGATATCGGTGTTCACGACTGCTGCAGTCGTTTTCTTCGATAGGCAGGCCACGCGCGCCTTTTTTTTGGGAACGTCAGATTTTGCCTTCGATTGTTCACCGGCGTCAATACTAGTTTCATTCGAAAATGGAAGTCTGCGGCGAGGAGGCGCGGCTCTAACTATTGGCCTTTTTGTTGCAGCTGGCGTCTTTAGCGAATAATTCGGCTCAGGCACAAGTTGTACAGGTTCATTGGTGCAAATACCCAAATGTGCGAGAGCCGTGCTCCAGTTGACATTAAATGAATACTCAAATTTCAACAGCTCCATCTCTAAGCGATCATGGCGAGTTCCTGCTTGTTGAAGCGCGCTATGCGCATCTGATAGGATTAACAATGCTTCCGAGTACTTTCCCATCAATGCGTATCCGTGACTTAGCGAAAAGGCGTGTCGAAGCTTCACTTTTTGACCAATAGCACGCAAAGATAGGATCTCCTCAGGAGGGGGGTCGAGACTAAGCGTTTGCATAATGACTCGCAATGTTTTCGCCAACCGAGTTTCGGCACACTGCTCACTGCATGAGTATTTTTCCAACGTGACATGCGCTGTTATGGCGTCCAATTTTTTTAGGGTGACATGAATACCGAGGCTGTAACAAAGATAACATTTGCAAGTGGTTGGATGCCTCTGACGTTTGTGGAATTTGACAAATTCTTTAGCTGGCATCCGCCTTTCTGCTTTGGCGTCCTGGATCTGCCTCATCTTCAGGTACATTGCAGTGTGATAGGGTATCGTTGAGGATGATTTGATTTTAAACGGCTCCTCATCGACAGTTTGCGCACTAAGTTTTGTTAACGGATCACCTTTGACGTCGAGGATATCGCTAACGATCTTCATTTTTGATTCAATCGGCCGGTCAAAAAAAATCGCAATACGAAGCATCCGTTCAATGTGCCGAAGCGTAAAGTACAGACTGAACAATACCTGGCCGTCAGAACAGCTGGTTGTTGTCACATTAATTGTTTCTCTCATTGAGCCGAGATCGAACAATGCGTCAGCTTTTACACACTCCGTTGACAGCATCGGAAATGCAACATCAAGTTTTTCCCATGTCATTACCGTAGGATTTCTCGTCTCAAGATACTCTAGGCACATCTTCATATTGCGTGATGTACTCTCGAGAATGTCGATTGCTGTCCGTTTGCCGCTCTCAATTATTCCCCAACGATTTAAGGCTGTGCCATGGTAGTATCGATTCAAACCGTAGATGCGGAGTTTATCGATGGTTGCTACCCTCACCGATTTAGCTAGGTCTTCGATTCGGTCGGGTGATGGCGGTTCTTGCCCACATTCTTCAGCTTTTACCCAGAGTCGCAGCATCTCAAGTCGATACCTTAAGTGAAAAAAATCCTCACAGTCAAGCATGATTCCGGCCTGGATCTGATTGTCGATTTTGATGAGGACAGTTTCTGCCAATTCAACGCAACGCGCCTGTACCAGAGCTTCAGCGATCCGTAAACGGTTCTCAAGAATAACTGACTTCGGGGCTGATGTGGCCTTTAATAGAACGTCGGTTATAGTTAATATCCGAAAATGATTCGACGTATCTCCGTTAATGGCAAGAAAACCAGCTGCCAGTTTTAGGTCATCCCATATAGCAGTTGCAAGAAGCATCCTGAAATAAATATATAAGCAGTACCCGAATCATAATGAGGACACCACTTCTAGGGTAACTAGGATAATTTGCCTTAGAAAACTGAGTCCAACTGACGAAGCTGACTTTTTATGCACTAGAACAACACGTTGTTTAAAAGAAGTAAAAAAAAATAATAGTTGATATTCTTTATTAAAACAATACTGTAATGCGTTTTTATATGCATCTGTGTATAGTTTTGATAAATAAATAAAAAGAACACAAATTTATGCTTATAGACTATTTAATTAAGGCCATGCAGATGTATTATATTCAACGCAACACGTTTCACAAGAGACCTTAGGCGGCTCAAACTATAAGAGCTTTTTTTGAGTGAGTACCAGTAGTCGAAGGTTTTCAACTCTTGATAGTTGGCGAAGATCCACATAAGTGACTGGAAAAGATCGACATAATTCGAATAACGTAGCGTCTGGAGGGCTAATGGCATATCATCCAAAAGTTCGCGACGATCAAACGCTTCCGAATTCTCGTGACTGGAACTTTTAGGCTGCAAGAACACAGCACATTACTGACGTTTATTACTATACAAAGAGTGTATTTATAAGTAATACTCACCTTGTTAATAACAACCTTAATCACGGTCTTGAATGAACCGAAAGCTCCCAGGAACGAAAAGCTTTGGCCAGTGTGGTGAATGATGTTTTTTACGACATACTTCAATCGCGTGTTTAACTCCTGATATATGTAAGCAAAACGATGCGAGCCTCGCATATGATATAATAAACAATAAAATTTTCTTGTTACATGCTAGACACAATTATGCGTGTCATCCCATTGCGTCTCGCACAAACATTTACGAATATCTATATTCGAATCTATATATTACGCATATATGTATTATAAATATGTGCGAAATCGAACTAGATTCATCTTTGATATGAATCGGTAAAATACTAGCGATAAAATTAAATCGGCATTTTATATACGGGTCGATGATAATAGTGTAGAACATTTCTATAGATACTTTATATTTCTTAGAAGATGCGCTTTAATACTTTCTGGATCTAATACAAAAACATGTACTAACCTCGTGAAGAAGTTTTTGACTTCTATCGATTTCGGACTTGATTTTTTCCGACAGCTGCCGAAGGCGAACCGAAAGCCAAATACCTTTTCGAGCACCTTTTATCAAAATACTTTCATTCGATGACTCTGTGCGCACCGAATCAACTACTTCGTCACCATGGTGCTGAGCTTTTGCCCTAAGGATAGAACAAACCACTAGGCCTTTAACAGTGTACGAACAATTGGCCATGCCTCGTTGTACTTTAGATTTTATATATTATAGTAAAGCTAACAGGGGTTAGGCAGCTAAAATTGACAAGCAACGCTCACCTTAAGCTGATTACTGTTATGATGTCAACAAGCCTTTGATCTTTTACCCGGCACGCTCTGAGCTCAGCCAATACGGTGTCCATTACCTCTTTCGATGCTCCTATTCGTTGTAACGCGTACAGTTCTAGTGCTAGCCATTTAAATCTGTTCGGCTCCATTTTAGATAGCTGGTTAAATAAAAAGACATCTGAAGACAAAATAAGCTAAAATCGATAAGAATGCCAACGCAGTATAGTGCTAGCAGTGAACTTGAACTGGTTGAGATACAAAGTTGTTTGTTCCTTTTTTGCATAGTCCTATGGGAAGCTAGGCAAAGTGATGCTTGTCCTGCCGTTCGTTTAACAAACATAGCCAAACGTAAATTATAGGGTGCATGAACAATAACCTAACGCGTTAGGCTCCCTCAGCTATTGCATCAGAATGTGTTAGAACTCGTAGTACACCTAGTTTGACAAAACTACCATTGAATTGCAGACTTATTCCTTTCTAATTATCTTGTAGCGATTCTCTTGAGTTTCACCTTTTACAAATTAACCAAACTAAAATATTAATGATTATTAATAATAATACAAAAAAACAAAACAAAATATTCTTCCAGTTGAGTAATGTGATTTCTATATTATCGGTTTAGCAGATTTGAACCGCAATCCTTCAGTGCCAAATACGTGAACCCCACATCGGTTCCAAAAATTGCTTGTCCTGCGCCTTGTTTCAGTTCAGCGTTTCCACTCGGTTTTTCGCTCTTAGAGTCTGCGATTTCAAGACAAACATGCTATAATACTCAGCTCCATATCTAGCTCATCAAACGACAAAATGCGATGTACGAGCTTACATTGCATACCTTGTTTTCTAAGTGAAGTTTCACAGGCGACTAATACTAATGGGTCAACCTTGTCGGGTCCATATAGTTCCAAAACGGCGCCGATGCAACGCGGTGAGAGATAAGGCTCAAGGCGACTGCTCGCGTTTTTCGGAGAGATGCTTGTTGCAATCTCGATTCCCATCAATACCACGCGAAGCAGCTGAAGGCAATCTTTTGATTCAGGAAACCGTGGTAGAAGTGTGCACATTATCAACACAAATGTTTCTTCTAGCTTTTGAGCTTGATCCGCCTCCTTGCAATTCTGTACACATAAAGATAGACCTAGGTTACTTTTGGGATTATTACGTTTATATAGGAAATTGTTAGGACAGGTGATATTTGTTTCATCTGTTCCCATAGGCCCATAACCTGAGGCCTTAGCGAGTCATATCTCGCAGACCTCGAATGAGTAACCTTTTAATATAAGAAAAAATGCTTTAGTAGCTTATCTGATTACCACAAACGGCTAATAGATAAAACGGGCTATTCTGCTGTAAGTTATCGTCTATAGATTGTTACAACCAGGAAAAGGGGAAGTCAGCTCAAAAACTCGAAGTAGGCTGAGTTTCAGGCCATCAAGGCATATGATGTATGAACTGTCTGTTTTGTATGTGGATACAATGATATGAGTTTTGTGGCATTTTGCATTCTTCTTACCACTAAAAGTAAACTGGTGGTATATTAAGGAACAAACCTTTAGTGCGTTAGCAATATTGTTTGCAACCTTAGCAAGCGCCTCGTTTTTCCAAACGGAATGTTTTGGATCATTAAAAGGCAGATGTTCCCGCAACGTGCATAGAGCTTTGAGCAGACGAGGCAGTTCCTCTTCATTTAGCACACTCCGATTATATACGACATGTCGAAGAAGTAGAAGCGCTTGATCAAGGGGCTGTTCAGAAATGGCCAACAAACAGCGAACAAGCGCTAGTGTAGTATCTGCCAACTGAAGCAGGTTTTTCTTTCCGTGTTCTATCCGTACAACTAGTACATTGCTGAGATAATCTAAGATGGCCCCGTACTCTTTCACAACAGAAGCTTCCTGTGCTGCCTTCAAACCTCCTTCGAGATCGCGCTGCCCAAGGCAAGTGATGACGCCATGAAGATCTGATGGAAACTGTAGATTTAATCAAACAAAATAATTAAACAATTGTTAGGATATTGAATAACAAGAAATTACAAAAAGGTCAGTTGTTTTCAACACTTCACTCAGAACTATTCTAGTTGCGAGCTGTTATTAAATAAGTTATTGAATACATATATATCATTATGTCACTATGTGCTGCCACATAAAGACCTAAAGATACTGCATAATTCTTGTGAATAAAGAAGATTATTATTTTCGTGCTACAAGGGCGTCCTACTTAAAAGACATGATCAAATTCAGGAGAACCTAGATATTCACGTAAGTCATCAACGTTTTGTGCACCTATTCAAGTGTATAAAGATTTTATACGTTCCCTTACACTAACCTTCAGACTAGAAAGCACCCGAAATGTGTCCAATTGGCAACTGGACGCCAATCTAATAAGCTGACAGGTCAAGCGAGTCGCCATACATCGTTTCATGGGCGGCAACCCCGAGGACCACTCACGAAGCAATGTGCAGCTCAGCATATTCCAGTGCGCAAGGTGGGCGTCAACGACACCGACATTTAGCGATCCAGCAAACTTAGGTTGCAGTAAACAGAACCACAAAAACCAGAGAGCGCACTCTTGAGAGTACGCGCACTTCTCAGCGGGAACATCTGCGTCTTTTTTGCAAACGTTGCTTAAGATATGAACCACATAAGTAATCTGTTCCTTGGTGGGCTGCTGGGACATTATACGCGCCATGCAGCGACAGATATGCGCAGCTTGGCGAGCTTCCGTTCGCCGCCTATAGAGCAACGAAACAACTTGAACAATGGCTTTCATTAGATCATCCGGTATTCCAAGGACGAACGCCTTGTTCAAAGCCTCTTCCGAATACCTCGAAGTAGACACATCTGACGTATTATCCACAGCGGAGTTTGTCACCACTGCCACAATGCTTTCTAATGCCGCTAAGACACAATTCGCGAGCACACCATCCTTGAGATTTGATTTCCCCAGGTGCCTACAAGTTCCAAAAATTAAACAGTGTAATACAACAATGGGTACATCTTGTGTTTAATTCGAATACTCCCTATGACACTTGAAGAGTGCAGGATTATTACATTGTACATACATAACCTATAAGCTTGTTGTGTTTATGTGTGCAGTGGTTAGCTTTTGAAAGTAGCGCTGAGATAATGCGGCGGCCCACCATTCTAACGGAGTAGGTTCTAAAATGCGTATTGCCAACGATTGAAAAAATGAGAATACATGAAGTCGCTACTTGCACATGAACTTGGATAGCAAATTGATTATGTTAAAAAAAACACCCTAGACAGAACATTAATTCACTAACTATATTCATAAGGTGATCTGTCAATTTCATATTTCGCTTTTTTAAACATATTGCATATACAAGCAGTCGCTCTTACGGAACTTACGCGACAATGTGTTGAATAATGTTGACATTCGATGGATCTGGCACGAGAAGTGCATGAATACGACGCGGTAAATCCTCGTCAAGCCCCGATAGGGCAGAGCCCAGTCGGGACGACAAACTCGACATCTTTGGGATGGCAACTGCACAGTGAGGAATTTTAATAAGACATTCTAAAGCAATAATGTAATAAGCATTTAAAGGAGATCTAAACTCACAAAGAAGAGTACTAAAAATAGTGGCGCCAATAAAATTAAGTCCAGTTCCTTACTAGTAGTTTTCCATTATTATATCAACTACTTCTGAAAAGAAACACTTTTTTTTAACTACCGCTAATCTGCTTTATCTTTTATTTTAAATAAATCTCTCAATTTGTACCTTAATACGCGTGTCTATTATTTGGTCATTCAAAAGTCAATTCTCAATTCCAATAAATTTTTTTAATTCTCCTCGCTTGCCTTTGTCAATAAGGAACAGATTCGTGTATTCTGTTTGATTTGTCTAATACGTACCCGTTAGCAGTAATTCTATTCACCGCCGGTCGATTTCTCACTTTGTTTCAAACACGCTGTCACCCTCCTCGCTTGCTCTAAGAAAGATTGATGTTCTTTTTTCAGTTGATATGAAGCTGTAAATAATTTTTCATCTCCTTTTTGTATTGAGGAACGTGCCCACTCTTAATAGTTAACCGTGTTTTCCCCAGCACTTCGCCGTGCTGCTATTCCATCAGCAACATCGCCGCTAGTGGTAGCAGTCATTCGTTCAGGTTCTTTAACCGCCATACGCTCTCCCTTTGTTGATATAGATTGAATTGTTTGAATAAGGATCACTATGGCCATTTGGTAGCAGACTTTCGTTTTCGGGCCGTCCTTTCCGCTCGCTGATTAGCTAAATGTTTCGGGTTTTACGTCCGATAGCGCCATTACCCATTCCGTCAGGCAGTTCACTGGTTGCTGCCTGATTAACTAGAGGTTTAAGAGAGCACCGAATGTCCAATCGTTCGAAATTCGAAGTTCGCCACCAATACCGCCAAGTTCAAAGGGAGGTGCTACAGCGCCATTTGTTGCGGTACATAGATTTTTACCGAAAAATAATTCATTACGCATAGTATACGTCAACTCACCGCAGAATTTGCAATCGTTTTTTTCATTAAGCATTCGTTTAGTAAAAACGCAAAAGCCGTACGCAATTCAAAGAAATATAGTACTGCTTTAAAATGTATTTCAAAGCTTGAATAGTAGTTACACTCTTACAATGATTTGTAACACCTATTGCAGATATATTTGTATGCTTCGGATTTAGAACAAATCGTACGGTAAATACATGGTACAATTCTTTTTTAAATACGTTAACAGGCTATTATTTCTATCTTGCATCATACAATCAAATGAAAAGAGCTGTGAAGAACCATTGGAAAAATTGTATTTTAGCCTCAATAAACTCGAGTCATATTTTAGGTACTACAAAAAAAGCGTTATACAAATACATATAGTTTTTTAATATTAAAGTTTTGAGTAGGTATAGCCAGAAATGAACTAATCAAAACGCCGATAAGATAAATCAAGACGCCCTTTTATCCGCGTAATACTAATATTTTCTTCAAGAACAACAAAACCTTATCTTTTGTTCTTGGTGAGCTCATAGGTTATTATATTTCAATACGCGAACCACTTACAAATCTACATTTATATTTGTTGTGGCACAGTGGCAGCCAGTATATTGGAAAAGGTTCTTAACATCCATTATAGATCACTCTACGCTGACGGTAGTTTAGAAATTCATAGTCTAGAAAATGCGATTACAATCGTTATTCATAGTAACCTAATTACACTAATTGTATCTTTCCATTACGTTTCGACGGCATAAGCCAAATCGAAGAAATTTTTTAATTCAATATTAATATTTTTCTTCGTATTATGGCCATTGCAGTAGCCAATTCGATTTTCCAAAGCGCTTGTTCCCATGGGCGCGCGAAATTTAAACTAGCCGCCCGGGGCGCTAGTCATTGAATGATCGCCACCGAATACCGGCAAATGCGCGCGGTTGCCCTTTCAGTTAACTTCACTAGAGCAGTTGGTGTCAGTAATCGTTTGTCATTGAAGCGCAGACCTGAAGAACATCTAGCCAGTCAGATTAGCGCAGTACAGTGCAGCTCAGTTCAATTGTTTGACCTACAAAGAATTCAAAAAGTTCAGCTAGAGCTATTCAGTCTGCAAGAAGATTTATGAGAAATCAGGTTGGTGGACCGTATTATCCAACGATGCATACAATGATTAAATTTTGACCGATTGACATAATCGACTTGAAATATACTCATCATTACTATGACACTGGACGAAGCTGTGTATGCGTCCTTGGGGAACCACACTTCGAATAGTGCTAAACGTAAGGAGAGCCTCTAAGTAAAAGAGGTATCATTTATGCCACGCAGCAATTTTATGAGTTTCGATGAAAAGTGTCATTAGAAGATACGGCGCAAAAGGAAAAATTGAAGAAAAAATTGATTGAAAAAGTTAAGCATGTGCTAATTCTAGGAATGGTGCTAAAAATCGGTGTAGTTGTTTTATAAGCAAGCGCGAAAAACAATTGTTACACGATGAATCATATCTGCTTACCCATTCCATTTCTATCTGAAAATCAACACCATCCGGTGTATTTATTGCCCACTTTTATTCCGCTGTACAAACAGAACAAAATATGCATAGCGTGTAGAGTCGGAAATTTTAGTTTTTACTGGTTTGATTATAGTGATAATAATAGTTCTGTTGAATAGTAGAATGAGTACGCCCATTTAAATCATTTCATTCTCCAGCCCTAAAGCGAACTTTCAAAAACATTAAACATTTCAAATATTTTAATGGTAGAAAAACTGAACTGCATACATTTTGCAATTTTTGCAATAAACTGCAGATTTCAACAAAGAAACAAGCATAGGCCCATATGTTCCCTTTTCTGATTTTTCTTCCGTTTTTCTAGAACAGTACAAAAGAAGTTTTTGATACTTGTAATTGCAAATTGCATGCGTAGGTAATCAACTCAAGCTCCGAAGCAGAGGTCAAGGGCCTCGCAGCTGCAGGTTTGTGCTAATTCTATGACTACGCTGTTTGTTTATATAACTCCCCATTTCAAAGCGTTTTCGATTGCTTTTATCTACACGATAAAAAAAAAAATTATGAATTATACAGGTATGTTTTTTAAAAATTTCTATTCAAACTCATTCTGTATTCGCGCTATGTGGGCCAGGGTCATGAGAAGTACATCGTATGTTCCGGTGCGGTCTTGGAAGATTCATGCTGCAATACAGAGTACTAGCGCACTTAGACCTCAGGTTGTAACGAAGCAACCTGGAATGAACCTGCAAGTTCAACGAACAAATATCGTCCATCGGAGCACTAACCTATGAAGGTGACGTCTAAGGAGCGTTTTGTTTTTGCCATATTATCATACAAAGTGAAAAGAAAAGGTTCAAAAAAGGAACCCACATCAATACATTCAGATGATGAAAGTTTCAAAACAAACATCAGAGACACAGTCTTCTCTTGTAGCTTATCATGCGTAATCCTCTCGGAGCAAACGACATATACTCCCATCAAGTAAACTCAATTCTAAGGTAGCATCAACAAGAAATCAGATGGGAGATCAGACGGGAAATGATAAATGTTGATGCTAGTTATATGCACTGTCTAAAATATGTGTGTATGGTTAATATTATATATAGTTGCGTAGGAATTGTTTGATCCGCAGCTATCAATGGACATCGCATAGTCGCTAGTAAGTCGTAGGTTGCACAGTTGTGATTTGTTTTGTAGTCATTCGCACTGTGCACTACATATACACAAATATAACCCTGACTTAATAGGGCTTATGGGAAAAGCACTATTCTAATAGGATCGTCGATGTCGTGATTTGTCTAAATGAAAACTAAACATTATAACCTTTAAGTATACTGGTAAGAGTTACGTTATGATACATCAATACATTTCATGTTAGATAAAAGGATACGTTAAACAATTCTTTGTTCCACAAAAATCTAGTAATAATAAAATATAGTAATAAATAGTAAAGGAGAGAATGTCAAACAAAAATATTCCGAACGACAGTTAGCCGATAACACCCATAGGCGCAATGCGCATGGCAGTTTTTATGCGGCATTACTCAACAAGCTTTTATCGCTGCTCTCAAGTTCACATTTTTTTTCTGCAAGTTAGATGCCATAGACGTCAACTGGTGGATAAACTATATAACACTTGTTTTTTCACTTTCCACTTCCTTCTTGCAGCCTTTTCGTCACAGCCGATCTGTCATTCGAAAGCTGACTGAATGCGTCCACGAGTAGATGTCTATCGAAATTCCACGTCATTCAAAGATCGATCGTAAACGATAGCTTTGTGCTGCGTTGCACTATTTGTATGAATCATGTTGTGTTGAATAACAATAGTTCACCACGTCATCGTTTCCGGAAACGTTGAACTTAGTTGTATCGATTTTCACCTAATTGCACTAAAATACGACGTACGGACATAACGAGTCATCTGTACATTCTTAAAGTTTTGTACGCTAACGAACTCGTCGGATCTGAAAAGTTTCCTCAGGGTTTTCGAATGGCGCCTGCAAATGCTCAAGTGCAGGCTATAACTGTTATCAACGACAGAGAACAGTTTGCTGCAGGTCTATCGCAGAACCTAGTCAGCAATAAATACCAGACTGGTAAGATTTGCACCATTTGCCAAGGTAACTCACTTGTAAGATATGTCAGTCTTGCAATTGCTATTCATATTGCTATTGTTTGGTTTTCGTATTCAACATCATCACAGGTGTGGCTTTTAATTGTAGTTTCGTAGAAGACAACATAATGACAACTAAATTAAACTGTTTATTTCAGTTTAAATTAATTATAACTATATCCTAAGTCAGATGATTTCATTTCAGATAAATCTCTGAGAGCGCCATCGAACTCATCACAATCGGCTAATGAATCTTCCGAATTCGATGCTAAACGCCTGAAATTATTGGCCAGCTACCGAACGGACAGACCGCGATGTTGCTTTCGCGAGCTGCCAGTTATTCCCACACGGGAGGACATCGATGAGGAAACGACCTATTTACGTCCTAACATTACCAAAGGTCGCTATCTATATTTAATTAATTAAAATACTCCATGTATGGAATACTGTAAAAACAAAGTTTATGTATTTATATTGTATTATAAAGTCGCGAGCTTCCATATCGCTTAATTTCTTCGCACGTTGTTCCCTACTTTGTCGCCCTATTAGTTGGATAATTGGAGACCATACGATTCTACTTTTCGTGCTGTATTCACAGACGGCAAAGTTGTAATTATTTACAGGAACGTATGCCAGCGTCAGTGAATACCTTGATATATTATTTCGCCTCCTTCGAGAAGATTATGTAGCCCCTCTGAGGACAGGTGTACGAAAATTTCGCGAATTTTTTGCTGCTGCATCCAGAAACGGCCAAGGTTTGAAGGGATTGCACTCCATTGAAGATGTACGATTCTTCTTGAATGTGAACATTGATAAGGAAGCTAGCCGAAGAGCCGTGAGTGTACCATATAGAAAGCGCTTTTTTGTCATGCTAACCAATGAAACCAATCACAAACATCTGTGGACTGTCCTCGAATTTGTCCGAGTACCATAGACGGACTAAACAATGCTTTAAACATAAGTAATTTTATTAAACAACGTAAAAGACGAGACACTTCCGCCACAAAGAGCTATTGCTTTCATCGAGTCTACAAAACATTAAATAATCCTACTTTCGAGCGGAGTTTTGCTGTGGAATCTTTTAGAGTAGTTTTTTGACAAGGTGAAAAAAAAGTATAGAAAATAAAATTTGTCTGAAGTTAGAAATATGCTAACGTTTGCCTTATTTGAGCATTTCGAAAATATCACATCTATAATATAAAGTGCTTCACTGGCATCAAATAGGTTCAATCTGAGTATGGCGCCTGTTTTCTCTATTGATAGAATCTAAGACCAGACCAGAGGGTCTTTCGGTTACCGTATGCTTCTTGGATTGGCATCGATTGGGAACAATCTTCACGTCTTATGGATGGCTGTTTGATTGGAGTGTCCAGTGACAATTTCAAAACTCTCATATTTGCCACTGTTGCGCAACGGACGCCCAAGCTACTGAAAAGAGGTCCGATTTTGTGCTTGCATTAACTATACAGACGTTGATTTAAGCTCGACAAAGATTTACCAAATTGTCATGGGCAAATCAAAGATTGGACAGAAAAATCTTCTGGTTAATGTGAAGTTTCATCAGTCAGTTAAGTTTGTTAAGCTTAGCTTAACTCATAACGAAGTGTGCAAAATATTTTATACTAGAATTATAATTTGCTTTTATTCGATTTTTGTGAATCTGTCTTCGTATCGTAGGCTACTTGGTTTTGCAATTTTTTTCCGAAGATGAGTGTCGCGCTCTCGATCCTACCACGAACTTCACGCTTATTGAAAGCTCAAGCGCCTATTTTGAGGCTTATCGACACAACCTTCAAGGTTTGATTACGTCTTTTCGATCTTAGAATCATAGAGCCTGCCAGGGTAAAACAAGCCCAGAAAACAGAAGTTAATTAAACTGTTGCTTGGATTCCCTATTCTCATCATTCTCAAAATATGATCTTTTTATCTAACAAAGACCATTTACTCTAAATACATGCTTTATCTGCCTATTGCGCAAGATCTCATATGACATTATATCTGCGACGCCATATACTCTAATAGAGAATTAGGTGAGTATGATCTACGAATGATCGTTGGTTCTACTGACTAGTTTAGCTAACGCTTGAAATGGAAGAGTTTACTTATAATTTGTTTCTGGTGGGCCTTTAGTATTGCAGTCAATGAACGAAGACCAAATTCCGCTTGTGTCGTATCTAGTTAACGCAGATAAACGGGTACGCACTCCGGAGTTTCTCGAAGCCCGAAACGGCAAATTTGACTTTACACCAATTCTCCGACATAACGAACCCGACAAAATGGTTAGTTCTATCTGCGACGTTATTTTGAAACTGAAAGTACAAAGTGTTATTAACTAATAAGTCCGATGAGTCCGAGTGGAAAGAAAATTATCTAGCGCTGAAAAAAAAATAACAACGAATGTGGCGTCAGCTTTTCAGTTAACGGTCAGTTTAGTTATTGTATGAGATTAGCTGTTGAGTCAGAATGTAAACAGAGTGATCCATATCACTTAACTGATGCCTATAGTATCACTGACTTGAAACCAATGATGGGGGCATTGCTGCTTAGACGTTTCAGTCCGGCCAATAGTCTTTATAATTACCTTAAGATAACCGTGACATAACTGTATGCATTTTAGGGGGATGCAGTCGGGCCTCCGACGAGCGCGAAAATCAACGGAAAGCAAACTGTAAGTAAGAAATACTTAAACCGAACAAATAATCACTCGTAGTTAGTTACGTTTCATTATGTAATCAGCACTAAAACGGTGGTCGGTGTTGGCTGTAAACCATCCGGGAAAAACGTATCCTAATATTTTGAACTCATTGAGCAAACGTTACTTCCATACTGTCTACTTGACCTTCTTAGGAGTCGTATCATAGCTTTTAGCAGATTAGTAAATATATAATTTTCCTACAGTTAAAACCCACCACCTGGCCGAGTCAAGAGGCAACCATTCTTAATGCTCGCCAGTACGAATCCATGAAGCACGTGCTTTCAAGAGAACTATGTCTAGTGCAGGGCCCACCAGGTACCGGCAAAACGTTCGTGGCCCTCAAAATGGCTGAGATGATGCTTTATAATCGTTTAACGGATAAACCTATCTTGGTAGTGTGTTATACAAACCACGCACTCGACAGGTTCCTTGAAGGTACGTATTGTCTATTTCTGCTGCACGACTATAACTTCACACAGCGATTATGTTGACTGAATAACTAACTAAATTAACCAAATCCTTAGACTATGCCTCCTGCTGACTAGAAGATTCTCCTGCTTCCGTGAAATTTGTTTCGAAGAGATCACCTGCTTACTCACTACATTAACTTCTACATTTTTCGCTTAAATTGCGGAACGACCGCAGTGAGAGGCTTTAAATTTATCGGTAAAGCTTAACGTGTACTTGAAGACACTGCGCTTAAATACATCCAGTCCTCCTAATAATTATCCTTTCGGATTCTCGTGTGTATATGTAGTTTTACTCTTATAACCATATATTTTTACGTGTCTTCAGGTAGATAAATAGTCGTAAGCGTGTTCAATGAATGCCTTTCATAAATTTTACAAGCTTGTCACAACATCATAGGATTAGTTTTTCGTTTTCTACTTGCACTGGTCTGGATTTAACCTGCTTTGTTTCTTTCTTCTCAATAATAATATTCTTCAGGTATGCTTAAATTTACTGATAGTATTGTCCGTATTGGCGGCAACTGCAAAAACACAAGGTTGGAAAGATACCTGTTGCGTTCCCTTCAACAAAGTCAGGCAAATGCTAAGAGCGTGAAACTTGAACAACAAAAGTCAAGGACAATCCTCTACAATCTTCGTAAAACAGAGGAACTCCTTGGAAAACTTACCGGGTAGATGGTTTTATTATAAAGAGATTTATGGAGACCCTACTGTTTTACAGTATTAAACTTTGAAAATGAGTTGGAACTCTATAAATGTTAGTTTGAACCGCTTTTGACTATGAGCTAAGACCAAGACGGACAGCATGAGAAACTGCACTTAGTATTCATTTATTACATGCCGGAAGATGTACATCGAATTTATTTACGGCAGGTTGTGACCATCAGATGGTTTTTTTGCAGAAAGATGATCTTATCTGATCACGAGTTGACAATGAGCGGCAATGAGCCGCTTGAGACTTACCTGCACATCCATAATTTTATGATGTCCCGTAAGAACTGTAAGGTGCAAATGCGCGCATCCACGCGAGTACCCACGCGAGACCCCAATTTCCTAAACGATCAAGATCGCGGAGAACTTGAGGTAAATGCAATTGCAAAATTTTCATTAAGACATTCGGCTTCTCTCATTACATCAATAAGGCTAGTATGCATTCTAGTGACGTGCTTATTTGTCGCAAGAGCGAAACAGATTATTTCAATTGCTATGAAAAGGTCAATTTTTGAAGCCCAAAGAAGACAACATCGAAAACTTTCAACGTGGACACAGCGACGCCGGAAGTAATGCAGTATCTCTTTAAGCTGCGATTTGCTCATGCGACTACGACTGGGTGGCTATTTTCCTATTTGCCTTGCGAACGGTGAAGTTGCTTGCAAAAAATCGATAACAAAATCGGTCGGCAAGTTAAAGGCGCAGCCAGTACTGCAGATAAGTTCTCGTTAGTGCTACCGTAATCGAGGGTTCGATACAAACTTATTTAAAACGGGCCTGAAACTTACCCTGTTGACAAAATTCCTGATTAAAATACTGCCACTGATATTTCTTAATGAATAGATGTATTATTCTCATCTATGTCAGTTCATATCTTTTGTTGATAGTATTGTTGCCCAACGTTTTCTCATGATTATCTCAAGGTGTATTCATTGAAAAATTTTGAAGATGCCAGCTTTCAATAGTTTTTTTCCATACTTAATAAAAGGAAAAATAATGGCGGTGCGTGAATATATGTAAGTTTTTCTTTGGTACTAAAAAATGTATACTTTATTTTTGGTTATCGTTCATATGTTAAGCAGTCATGCTGAAATTATTCCGGTCAAATTTACATTATTCTTCCAATTAGTCTCTAAAATACTGAGCATTTTCAAAATTGTAGGAATTCAACAAAGTTTCTAGTTTATTATTTTAGGTTTGAAGCAATAGCATATATGTCACTATAACATGTTTGTTTCGCTTGTAAATAATAATAAGGAAATACGTACTATATAATGGACAAGAAAAAGTAGACAGAGCGGTAAGCATTTTAACATACATTGTAATTGCGTTTTGGTTAGATATGGAATATGGTTATAAGGAAAGTGCCACGGTAAATACTTTTTGAGACAACTATAGTCAACCATAGGCAAAGTATACTTGTCACATCGCTGTAAAGAAGAATGTAAGGGCGTTTAACTCAATATGTGTATATTTGTGTTGCGCTGAAAGGAAAAATCTTTGTCAATATAATTGAATAGTTTCGGCTTTTCATATATAATAACCAAGTCTTTTCTGCGGTAGACTTTATTGTTTGCGAGATAAATATGTACTTACTTTATATAACATTATAGGTATTGTACCAAGTTCAGGGCCGTATGATTAGGGCCTCAAAATCGTCAAGACAAGGTAAATTTAAACATCTCTGTATTTCAGGCAGAACATTTCCTCAAGGACGAGGACATCTTGCGGGGAGAAATGGATAGCCATCGCGAGCAGATTATCTCTAGTTTTCTCGGTTGTTTCAATGGAAATCGTAAAGTTGAACCCATTATTCACAGCCTTCGCGCAAGACTTAATCAAGCGGAGGATCTCAGCTTCGATGAGAGATGGGAGCTTTATCGACACTACCACTGGGTGGTAGCAAAGGAGTTGGCACGAACATATATTGAGCGGTGTAGTAAATGTTCCGTTTCAACGGGTCACTTTGTGCCGGCCAACAGAGCACAGCAAGCATTTGCAAAGCACCGGTTTAAAGATGTGGAAGCTGCCATAGAATGTCTTCGGGAACGTGCGGAAGAACTAAGGGATGAGCACAGGTACAGATCGGAGGCTGCCACAAGGGGTAGCAATTATTACAATATGGGTTTAATTCAAGCCTTTAAAGAGCAACAATAGGCTTACTAAATATCGTACATGAAAATTTATGGAAGGTGAAGCGAAAGGTATGTGTATCATTTAGTTGTTATGTATTATCAGACAGAAATATAATATATCACAAACGCAAATCTCCGCCTGTTTATACTTTATTCTTTCATATCGATAGGCGTCAACTTGTGGCTATCGAGGAGGCTCAATGTAAGGCTACTTATAACCTTATTGCTGATCGGTGTGCGGTGGTCGGAATGACCACAACAGGGGCCGCGAAGTATAATGCCCTTGTGCGCCGACTTCAGCCACAGATCGTTATTGTGGAAGAGGCCGCAGAGATTCTTGAAGCGCATCTACTTGCTTCACTTACTCCGTCGGTTAAGCAGCTTCTTCTAATAGGTCAGCAACAGAGAGTGAAAATGTACCACATAGAAGTGTATGCAATTGCTTACCGCAGTTCATGCAATTTTGTTTCTTGATTGTTTTTACTCCTTTCAGTATTGCTATGCCTGTGACATCGATAGATGTGGAGAGACGCCGCATATCTTATGTTGTCTTAAAAGCATTGCATATTAAATATTTGCGTGTATAAACTTAATAAATTGCAAGCTAAATTTTAAAACAACGTCAAAGTATTTTTCCAATACGAATACGTACCAAAAAGCTTGGTATATAGCCCGGGAGAATTCTCGAAGGTATAATAGTTCTTATAATAATAAACAAAGTCTTGACTTTTCTTACCTGCTAGGTGATCACCAACAATTGCAGCCAAGCACCACAGTACATACACTGGCCACCGAATTCGGAATGCAAGTGTCGATGTTTGAAAGGCTCATTAACAATGATTTCGGTTTTGTACAGCTACACGAGCAGCATCGCATGCGAGATAAGTTCCGTCAACTTTTCGTTCCAGCTATCTACCATGATTACGTTTCACACCCTTCAGTGATGAATCCTCCCAGCATCCGAGGTGTGTATTACTGCAGCTCTCTCATATAATGAAATCTCTATAAAGCATTTGTAAATTAGCCAGAAATTTTTAGGTCCTTAACTCTTCGAAAAAAAAAAAGTGTGTTTAAGGAAGAGTCAACTATTTATGGCACCTGTAGTCTGATTTTATATAAGACTAAAATCTCTCAACACAGATATCCCTAGTTTAGGAAAAACTGTCTAGCTGCACCTTCGTTCGCGTTTATCTTAAAGCTATTAAAAAAGTAGCGTAAGCAGAACCGGCCTATTGATCTTTAATAAGGGAAAAATTAGGATAGATGTATACCAAGAATTCTTGGATATGGTAAAATCAGCGATTGCTTACAAGTATAGAGCACGAACTTTATTTTCAGGAATGACCTCAAATCTTTTCTTTATGAAGCATTCCGAGCCAGAAAATAGTCATAGCGAATCGCACTCGAAGTCAAACTTGTTTGAAGCACAATTTGTTGTACGGCTGGCGGTTCACCTTCGAAAACAGAGTTATGCTCCAGATGAAGTCACTATTCTTGCTACTTATCGTGGCCAGGTTAGCCATTCTAAATAGTGACTCCATTGATATAAATAGTGTAATGCATATATATATATAAATTTAGTGATAAAAATTAAATGAAAAGTGATGCATACTTTGTAAGACGCCAATTATCTGATGAAGCTGGTTATAGTGACCGTCTCGATTAGCCAATTAGTGTTTGCGCGCCAAAGAAATAGGCGTTCAGATATAATAAGGAAATGTTTATTAACTCTTTTGTTCGCTTCATACCCAGGTTGCTGCCATTGAAAGTGCAGTGAAGGATTTCAACAAGGAAAAAGGATTTACAACAATGAAGGACGAAGAGAAAATTGAATTTGTGGGCAATAAGAAGATTACCACAATTGTCCGTAAAAAAGTATTTCCTGATTTGCCAGTGTCCCCATTGGAAGGTGAATAGTATCGGGATGTTTTGGGCGAACACAGTTTATTTATTGGTTTCTCCTTGATAGTATAGGTTATTTTAGCGAAAGTATAGAGCGTATACGGTCATCGCTTATATATATATAGAAAAGCAGGATTATAACGGCTATTCACAGGCTCGAAGCATATGAGCGCATGTGAGCGTGAATCGGATCTGAAAGTACTCTTAGTAGATGCACATCTGTATGAATTCACGAGATGGATGTCACGAGATTTGAACCAGCGACTTTAGCCCTTTGATTCAAATATTTTCAAGTTCTTGCCTGATGATATTCGTTAGCGCAACTATTACTAACGAGTTTTAAATATTTTTAGGTATGCGCATTACTACGGTCGATAATTATCAAGGTGAAGAAAGCCGAATTATCATTCTGTCATTGGTGCGGAGCAACATCAAATCGAAAATCGGCTTCCTTTCTCGGGACAATAGAATTTGCGTGGCACTTTCACGCGCCAAGGAGGGTCTGTATGCCATTGGCAATTTAACGTTGCTCGCTCGGGTATCTCCCACCTGGCAAAAGATCTGTGCTATACTTGAGGAAAATAATTGCATTGGAGATAGTAAGTGTAAACTTTTGCGTATTTTTTTTGTTTCTCTAAAAAGTAGCTTTTATATAAGAAAACAGGGATTTCTTCTTTATGCGCATGCAATCAAAGTTCAACGTGTTCAAAACGATTGCGAAGAATAACTTTACCGTTCTATTGAAATAAAAGACTTTTGTTCGGGACCTTTGACGTTCTTTGTCTCTTTAGACCATTTTGGGTAACTGGGCGTTCGTAAGGGTCTAATCTTGCTACGATAACACTAACGCTGTACGTTTTCTACTCATTTCACGGAAGGTGTTCAATCTGTTGCTATGCTGTATTCAAAGATTTTATTTTTTTATAAGTCTCCACACAAGCACCTAAACGCCTCCTTACTTCTAAAGTTCGAGTAATATATTTTTACTTGATTTAGAAGTTTTAAATTGATTAGAATTTGGCCTGTTTCTCTTAAAGTGTAATAGAGCACATGACTTAAAGTAAAACAAACGCTGTCCCTGCAGCTTTATTATCGTGTTTTTTGTCATGAAACATTTGGGTACTTCTGTTCCTAAAATATTGTTTCAATGTTTTTTTTTTCCTATAGACATTTTAATTAGGTTTACAGGACTTGTGAGTCTTGTTGTTTCGATTCAGTTGTAGTAGATGAGCTAATAGCATATTAGATATAGTGTATATAAACAATTAATTGGCTGTTCGGATCCAGGTATTGAATTAAAGTGCGAGATGCATAAAGATCAAATTGTCGTTCAAAAAATCAACGACTTCGAGAGATTCCCTGATGGTGGCTGCGGGAAGATCTGCGGAGATCGTCTGCCTTGTGGACACTATTGTCGTGAACCCTGTCATGAAGCTGATCGTTGCCACAAAACTGACTTCAGGTGCCGTAAACCCTGCCCAAAGCGTCTCAGCTGCGGTCATAAATGCCGAGGAAATTGCAGTGAAATATGCACATTTTGTGAAAAGAGCATTCAAAGGAAACTTGGCTGCGGGCATAGGGTTGTAACCAAGTATGTTTTAGATTCCTGTTACATTTTGTTCATTTGATTGGTATACTCGTTACCCCAGTTGTGCAAGAGTAATAAGTCTATATACGCATATTATTTGTGTAAATAAAGAAAGCTATTTATTATTATATGGTAGGAACACACTTGAGTTGTGTGAAAATAGCGTTTGTGAAAATTGAAGTTTCATGCAATGGACAGTTGAAATCACTGGCTATTTTCAGTTGTCAAGCTCCACTGGATAAAATATGGTGCCGCTCCAAGTGCGCTCGCCTCTTACCATGTGAACACGTTTGCCCACGATTGTGTGGCGAGCCTTGCGGTGGACCTTGCCAGACAGCAATTACGAAACGGGCTAAGTGTGGGCATGCTGCTACCTTTCTTTGCAAAGATAGAAAGAAAAGGAAATTATGTTTGGAAAAAAAGGAGATAACGTTCGATAAATGCTCGCATAAGATCGTTCTGCCTTGCTATAAGGTGAACAAAGATCTCAAATGCAGACAAATACGGTCTATGAGATGCAGCAGAAACCATGAGTTCGATACGCTCTGTTATGAAGCAACTGGCCAAGACAGAGCGGACGCCATATGTCCTGCAGCTGTTTTCAAAACGCTTCAATGTGGACACCGCTTCGAGATTCGCTGTTCATTAGTTCGACGGTGGAACGGAAAGCTCTGTGATTTGACGGACTTCCCATGCCCTGAAGGATGCCTAAACAAAGTCACGCTAAGGCCAAGCTCAGCCTCAAGGACATGCTTGACTTCATGCAATAGTATGTACAGTTACAGGGATTGAGTTACAGGCTCCGATAAATTTGTTTCGAATTATGTTGCTACGATAAGCATTGTCTTTCTAATAGCAAACAATTAGTTCCTTTTTCGTTATACAATCTTCAGATATCTTCTTCCTGGTAACAACAGATCTTTTGAATTACCTCTGCTTCAGTATAGCATTAAGAACACGCCCCGATTAGAAGGGGTGATCGGAATGAAATTTACTAGACTTATTTAGGTTTTTTCTCTAACACACGTATAAAACGACATAACAACAATATCAAGCAGCTTTTATTTGTTAATTATTGATATTTATATTTTTTTGTATGTAACTCCTGATAATAGTCTTTTGTCAACGCTAATATGTAAACCAGCATGCCTGCGTGCGCACTGTTCGCGTCAAGCTACTATGGCAGTACATTCAAAGAAATGTGTATTCGCATTCAGACAACGCCGCTCACTATGTACTTCAATTGAATTTGCTTTTACTACTGCACAAAAAACGGCAGTGGTTTGTAAAAAAAAATACGAAGAAGCAATGGGTTGTCTATTCGTGTGGCCTTGTCTACGAAGATGCCATACATGAGAAGCCCAATATAATATGACAATTGATTGCTTTAGCTTGCCAACATTTACACGTCGGCGTTTGCAGCAGTTTGGCTTGGCAACGCGAAATAATGTCGAGAAGTTCCTTTTTGGATACGATGACTTAGCTTCAAACAAATGTAAGGAACATAATAAGTGAATGTTATTCGATGAGACAATCTTCAATACAGTAGTGTTGATACGGCGGTGTTATTTAAAGATGCAACTATTTTCGCGGCATTGCTTCGTTTTGCAGTCGATAGCAGACCTAAAGGACGGTGTACAGGGCAGGAATGCCACGAATATTGCGGCAAAACATTGTTCTGCGGTCATCGTTGCCCAGGTTTTTGCCACACTCAGTGCTCACCGTGCAGTGAGCCCATAACGTATGTGTGTCCACACGAACAAATCGATCTCCGCTGTATGTCTTCCCTTTATAGAAACCCATGTGATAAACCCGCTGTCCACTGTGAGCATAAATCCTGCGAAAAAAATTGCGGTTCGTGTTTCTGCAGCTGTAACAGACGTTGTCAGAAAATACCGCCTTGTGGAATCGCTTCTCACAGTTGTATTGGCCTCTGCGGCGAACAATGCATCTGTGGCGTATGCCATGGAAACATGTTGGTTAAAAGGCGTCCTATGGCCGGGAAAGTAGCCAACCCCAACAATAACGTTCATTACTTTCGCTTGCCGTGTGGTCACTGCTGCGAAGTTGCATGGCTCGATAATAACATGGCGCGTCACCGCAATCTTCTGAAGTTTCCCACGTGCCCATCTTGCCATCAACAAATTCGGTTCTGCAGACGATACAAGGAGCTGCTAACGAAGATCAGCAATCAAATGAAAGCATTAGTACAAAGGGTGTTTGGAAACCTAAAAGCGAATGAAAAAAGCATGATCAGGCTCTTTGAACATGACAAACTCTCACAAGATCTGCGCCCAATATTTTTAGAGCGCGACATCTCAAAGTACGAACTCAAGTACATCCAGTGCAGGCTTCAGGTAGGTATTGGAATTTTGTTAAACAATACTGATAGCATTCGTTTAGGTAAACTGGTCTAGAGGTATATGCTAGATTAACATAGTATAAAAGTAATAACGTTATATTTTTTAAACACGAAAAGGTTACGTCAGTAAAGCGTCATAAAACAAGAACTCCTGTAATGGCTATTTTTAGATGTCCCGAAGTAAAAAGCTCGACATCCGGCAAGACAACATTTCAAACACGTTAATATTTCGGCAGCAGTCGCTTATTAACTACGCTAGTGAAAACGGCTTCGTAACTCGCAGTGCGTTAGCTGAGCGAGATGGAAATAGGGTGCGTATTCGTTTTACATGTTCTACGGAAAAAAATACGTACCATTCAATGAATATTACCATACGTTTGAACATGATACTCGCATATGAAATTACTTCGGAGCAGCTCCCTAAATTGGTGCAAGAAAAAGTATAACTATATTGGTGCCTTCTAAATGCGACAATATTTCCTTCACCGTCATTTTTTTGAAAAATAGGCTGTTGGCAAGCCAGTTACCTCGCCCAACACTTTGAAGGTTAAAAACATATTACCAGCCTCATATGTTATATTCCACTTAACCTATAATGCATCCTCTTTGCGCGTGCAAAATTGGTTCTAGGTCAGTGGCGCACTATCCCGACCTTTTTCTATAACGCGAGCCTTTGAGGGTAAAGCTCTAATTTTGGGATAGCTGCGTCACCTGCCATTGGATGCCATCATCTTTAATTACTCGTCTCTATCATAGCCCACTGGGCAACATGTTTGCCTGAATACGGACAAAAACATAAAACTTCCAATCCATAATCAGTGGTAAATATATTAGTACGATTACGCACATGCTTTCAGTAATATCTCGATCGGCTTGTCTCCCTTTGAGCGTAGCCTCTCTGCTTAAATACATGCTCTCTAGTCCTCAGTAACATTAAAGGCACTACATTCTTACTAAGACTCCTGTGTTAAACAGAGGGATGACCCGAATAGAGTCGGCCTGATAGTGAAGTTGCCTAGCGAACCGGAAACTGCAGACAACTGGAGGATTTGCAAACAACACAATTTCTTCCAAGGCGGGGTAGGTTAAACTGACATTTTGTTGTGACTTTTTTTGTTGTATTTTTGTACTCAGATGAATTCTATAAAAAAAAGCTTGATCTCAAGCTGGTATAGGTGTTGTTAATTTCCAAACATTTTTGTCGGGAAGTCTGTAGGTTTCACCGTACAAGTAACAGATCCGTTCAAGAGAACCCTAGTATCTCTTTTAATGGGATTTTTTACCGCAGGCACTGTTGATAAAGATTATCGAGAAATCGACACGTGAGAGCCATTTTGTACGTTCCAAAAAATACATGCATCGTAGCAATACGTTGAAACTATGACTATGAACTAACTAATACGGAACGGTCCTTACTTGCCTTTTTGTGATTTACAGCAATGCTCTAAATGCTCAAGAAAACGTACCCTTCGGAATAGACGTTTGCAGTAAACTAATGCCTGATTATTATTATTATTCGTTTTAAAACTAAGTAAATTTGTACTGGTACCCCACATGTAGATACAAAAATGAGTGTTGTTTCATTGTAAGCCACATTGAAGGGTGCCAATTATAGAACCAGTTTTAAGATCTTGCACAACGATTATCACTACTATCACTAGAAACTTTGTTGCTGGCCCCAAAAAACGACCGTGAGCACGTGACAATAGTGACGCCGCGATAGGATAGTAGAAAAGATGATTTGTTTTTTTTAATACTGATGTCTTAGGTAGACTGACCTTATAGGCAGAGCTCGAAGGAGAAGTTTGTATGAAAGGTTTAATGGTTTAATGGCTATATTAAACCAAACAGTTATTCCGTTTGTTTCTCAAATTGGTGAATTAAACGTGGCGGAGCAGTTGCGAAGTTTTGCTCATGTCACAATAAAAATATTGTCATTTATTGAGTAAGCGATATACAGAGCATAATGTGTGCAAACAATATACAAAATATATATAGGGGGATGCAACATAGAAAAGAACACATTAAGAAAATTAGTCATTTTTCGATTCATTGTTTTGTATTATTGTTTCGGCATACATAGAGACGGCCCTACTGGCCAGTGATATGAAATATAGCACCTACCCACCCGCACCATTAAATGATTAAATATTATATAAAAAAAATATAGTTTTTTTTTGTAAAAAAAAATTATTTTTATGCAACGAAAGTTTTCTTCAAGACTTTTTGGTCTATGCAAATATGCAAATATTTTTATGCGCCTCATCTTTATGTAAGTAGGATTATTGAATTCAGTATATAAAATATGCCTAAAGAAATAATACCTTTTCTACTGCGTCAATCGTTTCAACACTAACTTTACTGAAGTTGCTTACTTGTATAAATATATCTTTATTTTTCATATAATTCTGGTACTACTCGGCTACCACTGCGTGTCGTCACTTACATATTGTGTTCTCTAGTGCTTGTCGTGTTTTTCAAAATACCATTTTACTACATTTGATCTATGATTATTCTATTTATCCGCACGGAGATATAAATAAAAAGTAAATCAAAGTACAAGATAAAATTTCGTACACCAACTGATGTTGCTGCCAACATTGTAACTAAACTGGTACATTTCACGTGAAATTCTAGCCAAATGTTTATTTACTCGTAGGATAAATCTGAAGACAAATGCTATCAACGGGCCGTTACTCGAGTGAAGTACAATGCGAACCTACACAATTAAATAATAAAACTCATGATTAACTTTTATAATCGACTTATTATCTAATCTGCGTTGTCCTTTCTAATGACATTGTCATAATATGGCACATATGAGTCATGTATACGCTTACAGTCGTGTATAGGGTACCATTTTGTATAGTTAACTTTTACGTTTAGCGTTTTCCACTAGCAGATTATCCATGTGTAAATCGGTTACGTACTATATAAAGCAAAAAGTTTGAATATTTCGGGCTAGTTGAGTACGGCGATGATAATCAGAAGTGAATACACTTTTCATGTTATTGCTTAAAAAGCTAACTGTAGATATTAATAAACATGTCTAATTATAATGTACCTTTAGTCATTGTTTAAATATTATATTTTGTAGATAGTGTATAGCCTTCGTTATACATAATGTTTTTATATTTATCTACTATGTACAATTATACATACACCATTATATTCATATACAGTAGATATTATGATACGGCAATGTCTAATGTGTGATTGATGTAATTTCCATTATGCACTTACATGTGTAATTAGTTAAGTTAACAAGCTTGTTATTTACTTTTCCTCGTGTTGTATAGGTGAGACTTGTTTTGAGAAACCTATCCTGGAATTTTTAAGACTATTCTGTGTGTTTCAAAGCAACGCAAGCATATAATTAAGCAAACAAGTAAATAAACCATGAGCAAGACACGGGTCACAGACTTCAACCAGCTTTATGTTACAGCATGTTGAAGGTCTGCTAGAGAGCACTGTAGCAAGGTAGAAAAACATCCATAAACGAAATTGAACCATGATCGTATAGTGCATAAACACCACAATATTATTCTATAAAATGTATTCTAAATCCACTCGAAAGCATATTAAAAATAGCTTAGCACACCTCATGGAGAATGGAAGCGAATTGTGCTTAGTTAATTATGAATGTGCAAATCTAAGAACAGTAAAAACGTTCTACAGAACGACATGATATTATGTTAAGATAAACTGCAGTTTAGCTCGGCCAGAAATCAAATACAATGCTATGTGTGCCTATTTGTGTGTGAAACTACTTCAAGAACGTATATGTCAACTAATTGTAATGAATGAAAGTTCTTATTATTCACCTACTCTCTCCCTTTGCCTCACTAAATATGTACACATGCCACAGTTTAGAGGCTTAGAACATGAGACTGAAAATCACTGGAACCGCTAACGAACTCGCCCGTAGTATATCTCTGTCATTGTCATCTCTAGTAATAGTCTTCTTCAACATACGCTGACCCGTACTCATCCTCGCCGCGATGAAGTCCTAGAAGTTTTGAAGCCGATTGTATGTTATCGTCGTCTACTTCCTCCATGTCAGCATCTTCCTCTTCATGTTCTTCAACCCGATCGGTTGGCTCAACTTCGCGTTTCGATTTGCGTCGTTCCGCGTTGCTCAATCGTGCCTGTTTTAGAAGCTCTAAGTCGTCTTCGTCGTCCTCGAGCTCTCGCTTTTGCAGCAGCTGACTCTTGAGCGACTGCGCAATATTCGAAACCTGTTTGAGATCTTCCGGACTGGGTGCTGGCTTTCGTTTTCGTCGAGATAACGTCGTTCGAAAGCTACTTGTCGAAGCATCACATTCAAAGTCATCGATATCGATTTTCTCTATTTTTCCCTTGACAATTTTCTGGTCGCCTGAACCAAACTGCTCCCCTAAACCGCTACCGCCAAGTAGAGCGTCAATATTTTTCAGCACATCGTAGTTGATCTTCTTAGATATCTTCTTCTCTTGCAAAATCTTCTGAAAATTTTCGCCTGGTGTGCCCTGTTTTATGAGCTGCTTTTTGCTCCTTTTAATTTTCCTTTTTTTATCTTTGCCAGAAGCAGCCTCCTTAGCTTTCTGTATTTGCTTCTCGCGTTCGGTTTTTAGAAAACCCATATTTTCTGCGACCCACATTTTAGCTTTTAGAGCAGATTCCTCTCTCGTCAAAATATAATTGTCTATCTCAGTGTCATCAATACCATCGAGGTCCAAAGCTCCGTTGTCATTCTCTTGCACGACGTAGTCAGGTTCACGCTCTTCTAAAGGTAACACCCTTGGTAGGCCTTCGTCCGCTTCAGTCAAAGCGGAAAATTGTGATTTGACTTCTTTGATTGTTGTAGAATTGTTAACATCTGTACATTCCTCTTTATTCTCTAGAAGTCCTTTAGCTACGACAAGGTCGTCGTCAACCTCGACATCAGCGATTTCACGAATAGTATTCATCGTATCCTCCATAATGAAGTTTCCTGATAAAAGATCTTCCTCTTCTTTCGAGAGGGCAACCCCTTTGTGAAACTCTGCGGGGGTTTCTAGGTACTTGGCAAAGCGCTTGTGAACTTGAGCCTGCCGATCTTCCAGTTGACTTTCGATAGCCTCCTGATATTCTCGCAACTGGACGACGACATCCGGGTCGACCTCATCTTCCTTTTCCTTAGCTTTCATCTTGTTTACCTTGAAAATGGGTGGATCTTGTTCCTCTTCTAGATCCACTGCCTCGAACTCGTCTAAGTTCAGCTTACCGGACGGTGTTTCGGCAAACTCCGTTAACCGTTTACGAATAGTACTAGTACTCATGTTCACTATTCCAACGAGATCTTGTACACTTCGATTGTAACCATGCATTCGGGCAGCAACCAAAAGCGCGGCCCCGCATAGCCCAGAAGGCCTTCGACCTATCGCCATCCAGTCTCTCTTCATTCGTTGCAGTAATCGGAGTGCAGTTAAAGATACTTTGTGGGTATCTCCGTCCAACTCAAGCTTTTGGGCATAACGTGTTACATAAATGCAGGGGTCGAGCACTGGTATGTTAATAAACAGTTCGTGGGCTAATTTTGTGTAAGTCCTCCCCAGTTCATACACATTTACCTGTACAACATCAGATATGTCAAGTAGCATTAGTGACGACTCTTTTACCCTACAAGTAATGTAGATACAAGCCGCAAGAACGTGCGACCGTCTTCGGCCAACTGTAAAATTTCTGATAAGAGCCGTCTCGTAGAGGCGCATAGCGCTTTCTACGATGTCGTCGTTGAGTTGTAATTGGTCTGCAATTAACTTCATCGTCGTTCGGACTCTTGCGATCGTCAGCTCGCGTGCTGCCTTCGATCCCCCATAGCGAAAACCTTGTATGCGAGCTCCGCCAGAACCGGTTACCATTTGTCCAACAGCCCTGGATCCGCCACCAGCAGTCTCCTCAAACTGGACCTCCGAGACGATGAGCGTGTCCTCTAGGACGGCACCACAATTCGTGCAAACGGCATCGCCTCGAGCTCGATCTACATCGATCTCTGTTGCGCCGCAGTATTTACAGCTGCTTTGGGCAGACATCTCGATGCTGAAATAAATTACTTCTTAAAAATTGCCCCAAATATTTGGAGACGCACAGCGACTTCGGGTGGATGAACTGATCTGACCTCACGTATGTCTTCTGAAAAATTGCGCAAGTTTGTACGTTAGACATGCACTTGCCTAAATTTATAAGGCTTTTGATCAGATCATAGTTCACTTGTAACAATTGTCTCAATGTATTGAATTCGTTTCGAGAGAGGCTTTATAGTACGAGTATGGAACGTACTGTCGCGTTTTACAATAAATTTTATTTTCTTAAAAAAGTCTCCTCTTTTCTTCAATTGGATTGAACTTTTTTATCGCCGGTTCGCATCGTTCTAAATAGTTCGTCGCAAACCATTGCAGTTATACTACTCTATAATAAACAGCTCTAATCCTAAAACAATATTACAAAAAACTGTACTGCACTATTGTCTAATTTAAAAAGTCGCTAAAAACACATTTATTGGTATCATTTAGTGTAATCCTGTACCAAAACAACCGAACAAAACTATCAGCGAGACCAAGTAATCTAGAAATGCCATTTCTCATTCTCCCCATTGTACAGGTCCCAATGATTTACGAATATTGTACACAGTGCATAGATAACAAGTTCTAAATCGAATAGCAAAAGGCTAATTTAAATATTGCTCTCAGGTAAGGAGTTATTTTTAGAGCGGTAAAAAATACTTTTGGCGAACCTTAATTGCACTTTGGCCAAACTTACGGAGCTCTAATAAAAATTTCAAATTAAATGAGCATTGTCATAGGCTTAGAAAATAACGCTTCAAAAGTTTTCACATCTGCAGAATGAGGTTTCTTACTTATTTAGCTTTTTAGAAGACGAATTATGTTTTATATATGTCAACTGCAGACTAAAAATATTCCAATAAATTAAACAAGTCTTTTACTAAATGAGTCTCATGATAATATTTTTAGCATTTATTCAAAAAATCAATCCCACACCTATCACATTGATAATTTTTGTAGAAATGTAATTTTCATCTACAAGGTTTATTGAAGGTGATCTACAAGGTGAAAAGATGATAGAATATTTCTTCAGGTGAGACCACGAAGCGCTAATATTAAGATATCCGCTAAAAATTCAAATCTGAAGAAGGAGTGGTTTGGCGAGCATCTTTTTTTGGAAAGTATCAAATTATGGAAAAAAATATTCGCCCTTACAATTAACAAAGTGAGCATATATAAAGGAAGGTCTGTTCTTTAGTGTAATATCCAATTCAGTCAATTGAGAAGGACTCGTTGTTTCTATTAATCGAATACTAAAAAAATTCAGCAAAGTTACTTTTTCTGCTTAAAGATGAAATGGCTTAAAAATTACTATTAAAGCCAAAGATCTAGGAATATCTGCACAAAGCCGAGATTTTGCTATTACGTTGGTATTATCCAAATAGCAGTGCGACTAGCCAAATAATGACACAGACCTTGCTTGGGGAGGGTAATTAAATAGCGTCTTTCCTACACAATCGAGTCTTTGCTATTCGATAACTAATCTATTGCCAGCGAATTTATGATATGACAAAGAGGGCTTGAAACAGCAATCGTTAATCGTGCGCATATCAGGTAAACCCAGTTGATTAAGACTGCCTTTCTGTAAAATATTTTCACTAGCAAAAATGTCAAAGACAAGTTTTGCGCATAAGGCTCTCATTTATTATTTCGAAAGAAAACCAATGTTTGTTATATCGGGCTATCGCAAAAGTCAACCAATGGCCTTCTCTATAAACTAATCAAATTACTTACAATGTATTTACTCAAATAGACAAACAAAGATATATCGTAATAAACTAAATTATTGGCTTCATAGTTTGAAACCAGTAGAACTGATAGCAAGAGTAACCTTAGATATTCGTGAAAATAAGTATCATTTATCGTCGTCGATATTAGGGCTGCGTCGTAGCTGATCGCCACTACTTCAATCGCCTATAGAATCTAGCAAAATAGACTTTTCCTAGAACTACGTTGGAATGCTCGATTATATCGAAAAGGTGTTGCATTATTGCCCCCCTTCCCCCCTACAACCAAAGTCTGCTTCAGCCTTTGCTCAGCCCGTTGTTATTTAAGTGACACCAAATAAAAAGCAGAGCCTTAACAGACAATCGTAGGCTTCTGAACAGAATAGAAGCTTTCTATGCAGGCTCATTTTACGGCTGCGAAATCCAGTAATTAATTGAGATTCATCATCATTTGACTGCTAGCTAATTCCAGGTCACTGAGTACCTAGTTGAAGAAGCTTTATAGTAAGAAGCAGACTTGCTTCTATACACACACCTCATGTTTCATACATTTTCACTTCCTCATTTGAAGCAGCATGTGTCATGCAGTTATATATTTCTCTAAATGATGTTTATGTAATCGTTTTTTTTATAAATGTCAATTTGTAAAGAAAAAATGAATTTCGGCGCCTTTTGGTTCCATTGCGGAAACTTTTTGTTTGCTAGGCCCTTTCATTCCCTCAAGAATTAATCTCATATTTTTAAAAACTATGTATATACAAATAATGTCTTCTAACACTGTATGAAATGCATGGTAAGATTGAACTCGATGCATTGTACTCTTTTAGTTATCAAACAGAATCCGTCCATATTAGAAATAGCACACAATCAATCAAACAATTGCGTCTCTTTTTCGTGTGGGGGGTAACGACGCAAATATGTTCAATAAAATGCTACCGTGAATGTTTTTCGCTAACGCTCTTGGACACACGTGATGTCCAATTACTTGTCAGGTATCCTTTCAAGCACACAACGCACGCAGTCGGGAATCTTTTACATGTACCGACGTCCAATATCGATCAGGTCATATACAAGGTCATTTTCATTCATGCATATTCGTAGCTGCGTATACGAATCAAACTCCATCATTGATTTGTGCGTATGTACGTCAAAATCCACATATTAGTACAACAATATTTCATTTTAGAAGTTCTTTGAGTGTTATCTGTCTTTTCACTACAGATGAATTTTCTTGCTTTTCGAAAATTCCCGCTTTTCGTTTGACAGCAACCACTTGGGTATGTGGAGCCATGTTGCTGACAAAAAAGCGGCTTACTATCCTGTCTATTTTTTCGATCGATTCCGTTTTTTCCTTCGACTCGACTTTTCTGAATATGTTTGCACTTCGTTTTCCTTTTTCGTCTTCAAGATCTTTGAGGAGAGAACGGGGTCCAGCAATAGTTGCGTTCGAGCCTGTAACGATCCCTTTCGTCTTATCGTTGCTGGCTGCGGCATCTGTGTTTGGTTCACCGTAAAGGTGCATCACTTCAGCTACGAGCTCCTTCTCTTTTACCTTAGCAATTTCTTCATCGATCTGGTTAGTTATGACGCTTCCAGCATTTTTTTTCGTCGTCTTTTCAAAGGCGAAACCACCGATGATCGTCGAGCAATTCGCCAGTTTTGTTCTACGGACAATAATTTCGCCTTTCGGCACATACCGATCTCCCATGCAGTGGTGATGAAGTATGTGAAGGTTGGCCAAGGCTATGTCGACGACTAATTTCGGATCAAAGTAGACGCCCGCGTAAGGCATATCGTCACCCGTCACTCCATCGGGATACGGGTTAAGAGGACGTAATTTTTTCGTTTCGGGACAAAAAACAACTTGGTATAAAAATGTATTGTCTGCTTTGATAAAACCATCGATATAGTCTTGCGTAACAGTGAGTGATGGCATTTTTAAATAAACCGGCATCTTTTTTAGCAAAGTTTGCAAATCAGTGTTAGACGTTGGCTTCAAGAATTTAAGAGCCTTTTTTAGTCCTATTCCAGGCAGACTATCCAGATAATCACAGCCTGAAAGGATACATGCCCATCGAAATTTGTCATGCGTGAAAAAGGTTGAAGCACGCGGCCCAAGGCAATTAGGAATCTTTGATTTCTCTACCAGTGTACCGTACCCGTTAGCATCCATTTTATAGAATACTTTGTCACAACCGAAAAGCATTAAGTCAGAATCCTCAGATATTACCAAATCAACAAAACCATTCAAATTGAGAAACGCCAGCTGTGCGTCAGCTTCATACGGTGCAACGAGGTAGTCGATATTCTGGCGACGTAGCTCTTCAATAAACTGGTGGGCCAGCTCTGGGGTGATCTCAACACAGCGTCGCATAACTTCTTTAGCTTCAGCAGAACGGCCTTCAGCGAACAGCATTCGAGCTTTGGCGCGATTCTCCCTTTTCGACTCAGACCGCTTTTTGTTCGTTTCAGCCTTCGAAGGTAGACTTTTGCCGTCGAACACAACCACGGGTCTTACCTTATTAGCTTGCATAACACTAATCATCTTCATGCAGAACCGAATGTGCATATCGGTTTTCTCGCCAAGTACAAGTTTTTCGGCGCAGCTGAAGGCACCTCGATGCAACCAGCAGTAGCCATCTACCGCAGCTGTCGAGCCCCTGAAGTCGCTGATGTGGCCCGGCTTTGAAGCATTCTTTAAAAGCGGAAGAAGGCCAGTAACTCCCATTGCGTACGGCGACCCTTGGTACTACTCACTCTACATCGAACAAACACTACAGCGACACCTGTCGATTACGGGCTTCTTCCCTCTATTACTTGCCGCGTACTCGATATCCGCTGTAGATGACACTAATTTTTTGGCGGGAGATTCCCTAAACATCAGAGAAGCAGGCTGACTGCCAGCTGAGCGACTAAACAAACATGGCTAACCAGCAGCGGTTAGCGATGGGCTTTTGATTTTGTCTAGGCTGACATGGACTTACCACAAATCGTCAGGTGTGATGATCAGCCACGTAATCGACCCGCCGGAAAAATCATAGCGCCATCAATTTAGCAAAACTCTCGAATTCGCACGTGAGGTCGGGCTCTGCCATCTACGAAATGGCGACTTCATTAAGCAACGATTACTCCACCGGCCCTCTCCCAAGCTCAACTTCCGTTAATTATTTTCCAAGCACATGTAAGCTGATGGCATGTTCATGTTGTCACTCTCGAAAAACGAATGAATATTAGTAAACCTAAACATTAGCATTGCCTAGTACGTATGGAAATGGCAAGCAGATTTGCAGATCTAGTTGACGGCGTCGTGTGGCGAGGCGGTTTGTCAATCAAAATATTGCTCGGGAGGCCTCATGCGGGTAAGGCGCTCAAGAGTAAGCATTGTCTCGGTGTTTTCATATACGCTGCTTGTTGTGTTCGCGCGTGATTTGCATTTAGTTGTGTCAGCAGAGGAACGTTCGTTGGGTATTACTGAAGCCATAGTATTTCTAAATCTAAAATGAATCAGGTGATTGAACAATTTGTAGTTAGCGTGCAGGAGCTCTCGGCGCAGAATAGGTTTCAGGAACTCAATGACATTCTCGTGGCATCCCAGGTAGGTGAAATTCAAGACGGTTAAATTAAGCTGATACGCTGATTTTCATATACTCGAGTATAGGATTTCATTTTGTGCGTGATTATTGATATTTTTGTGGATGTAGCCAACCTTAAAAAATAATTCGTGTCTGACCTATCAATCGAACTTAAGTTAATCAGTTCAACCGGCCGGTATAGATTGACTGTTAAAAACCGAAGCTCTAAAGCAGCAATGATGTTATGCCTGGTCTCCATGAACTCGATTAAATAATTCCACTTATCTACTTTCGAGTCCTATAGTACTGCTTCTTTGGAACTGTTGAACAGTTGAACCTTGTTATGATGTTGCTATTGATCTTATAAAGAACGTTTTAGAATTGTTGCATTGAGAGGACAAAGAAAGTAACACAGTATTTGATCGTCTGTCGGAGACGACTTTTGCTGGGATGTAGGAGAATATACGCTTTGTGTAAGTAAATTATTCCACAGAACACATACAAATCGAAACTTTACGCAGATTAAACAAATAGATTAACCAGCGACGACTGAATTGATAATTATTGATAAATTATCAGGCTCTGGACCCAACTCAGATACCCCTGTCAGCGCTGGACGTAGCTTTAGAAACACTCAACGCACATCGACATAGCCTTGGCGTTCTGTATATCCTTTTGGCGAAGCATGCCCAACTGCGTCCCAGCGACGACTATACCGAACTGTTCAAACAAAGCAAAGAACTTATTTTGCAAGGCAACCCTGAACAATTGCCCCATGCGCAAGATCAGTTTATTGAGTTTTGCCACCAGGTTACCACACAGCTCGTGGAACGTCAGCAACCGATGAAAGGAATTCATATCCTCCAGGTATGCACTGAATCGCACACTACTTAGAAAGATGCCAATAAAAAAAACTTGGTCAAGAACTATAATTATTTTTTGATAATTGTTTCTATTGTTACTTGCATAGAGCAGGATTATTATTGGATCGAAATTTCCATAGCAATAAAAGGCTATAGTATACAAAAATAGTAATATTTTTAGATCTGCATATAAATTTCTTTGTTTCTTTCCAAATATATATCAGAGCAGTAGAGTAGTATTAAAAAATCTGATTATAACTGATTATAAAACGATATTTCTAGTAAGCCAGGTCTTTTGAGCAAATCAAATATGTCGTGCAAACTGCGAAAATTCTTTCAGATGGGTGAAAGTTTGTGTTTGTTGAAAGAACATTCAAACTTTTTCTCTGTACGTAATAAAAGCGAAACATTTAGAACTTGACAAGCTTCACTGTTGCTCTTTTTGCTATTATTCTACTATCGTACTTACCTTTGTTCTATTAGGTTCTATGTATCATATGTTATTTCTAACTAAACTTTCTAATTGATGCTTTCCAAAGTAGAATTTGATTACAGCACCTATAATGTTTTAAGCTTCGTTTGTTCGGTTTTCCTTGCAGGTCGCTATCGGCAAAATTCAGTGCATTCGATCGCAGCTGACTGCGTTGCATGCAGATCTTTGTCAGCTCTGTCTGTTAGCAAAATGTCCTCAAGCTGCCTTGCGAATTCTTGATGTAGACATCACTGACGTCCTCAAAGAGAAGACACAAAATGTTAAATACTTTCTCCTATATTTCTACTACGGCGGAATGATCTACACGGCATTAAAGAAGTATGAGAGAGCTTTGTTCTTCTTTGAGGCCGCTGTCACTGTCGAATCCATGGTTGTGTCGCACATTGTTCTTGAGGCTTATAAAAAACGCATTCTTGTATCTCTTATCGCGCATGGCAAAGTCGAGCCACTTCCCACATGGACCTCCGCAGTTGTTGAAAGGTTCGCCCGCCAACTGTCGAAATGTTATCATGACCTAGAAGCTGCTTATGGGACATCATCAGTGGCTCAAGTTCATGATCTGTGTCAGAAGAACAGCGAGCGGTTTGCCCGCGACGGCAATACCGGCCTCGTTAAACAGTGCGTCAGCGCTCTGACCCGAAAAAACATCAAAAAGTTGACCAAAACCTTTCTCACGTTGAGCTTGGCAGACGTTGCCCAGCGCTGCGAGCTGGCCGGTGCCAAAGAAGCGGAAAGACAACTTTTCAACATGATTGAAGATGGGGAGATCTTTGCGTTGATCAACCAGAAGGACGGCATGGTGAAGTTCATGGATAGTCCAAATAAGTTTAACAACACCAACTGCTTCCTCGAGCTCGAACAGAAGATGCGTCGATACATTGATATTAATGAAAAGATTCGGTGCGTTATTAGCATTTGATTGTTTGGTGAAGTCCATGATCGTAGATCTTATTATATAGATATTATAGATGTTTATTACTTTGCGGACAGTTGATGTATCCATTACAAGAAAGTCAATCAGCATCTTACCGTCTTTTGCAATGGGCGTTCGGCCGGTTTGACGCATACGAAACTTGAAAAAAATTTAATTAACATTGGCAGAGTTACATTACATATAGTAATTATTTTTAAAAAATAATGGCAAACTAAAATATTTTCTAAATTGTTGAAATGGTGGATGGAATAGTGTTTTTAGGATATAAAGGTCCTTTATAGAGCTCTCAAAAAAGCGGTAGTTAACCTTACTACAGCGAACATTAAAAATAGATTTGGCATATTCTTTCAATAGTGGGGCCTTTACGAATCAATTAACCTGTGTTGTATAAAGATGTTAGCGTAGCATGTTTACCCTTATCTCATTCTCAAATCACTCACTGTCATGTGTTTTCGTATTTTACAGACGGCTTTCGGAAGAAATCGCTCTAGACCCCAGATTCATACAAAAATCAACGTCTCACGATGATGAGATGACTGGCCCCGCAGTGAGTGTAAACTATACTCGGAGCAGCCGACTGCCTGGATCGTTCAACCGGCTTGTTCGGGAGGTAAATTCATCAGGCGCTCGGGGATCTACGTCGTGAGGTGCACGCACATAATTTATTGAGGATGAGCAAGTGTGAGGAGGAAAAAATCTTCATATTTGCCAATTATATTATTACTATATTATGAAGTACAATGTACTCCGGCGTTTTGTATTATGATAAACGTTATGTATTGTAATAAACAACACCGCTCGTTGTCGCATTATATTACTGGGTTCGTATTTTGTTTGATAGAATGCCGTTCAGGCTTTAGTCAAGTCTTATTAAAAATAATTTCAAAAATATAGACTGTTTAGCAAAAATGTAACACGAACTAACATCAAAGATTGCGCTACAACTCTAAGTTCGGCTAAGCAATCAGAATAAGAAAGCAGAAAGTCTGCATTATCTTCTTAATAATTGCTTTTGAAAGCACACAGAAAAGAGAGAACCTTATGCGATCATGCGCATAGGTTTTATAAATGTGTGAATACATTCCTGTTTACACAATATTTACTTGCATTATGAAACTTTTTTTAAATAGAACACCCAATTCTAATTGCATATATACGACTAAGCATCTAGTGAAGTTTTTTGGATTTTGGAAAGCACCTCTTGGGGTGCCAGCATTGCAATTAGGTAACATAAAATTCGTAACAGTTAGTGATGTTTGCTGATTTTTTAACCTATTTGGTGAGTTTTAGGAAAATCCCGGCTATCTGGTCGTAAAGATATAACGGATTAGATTTAGAAGGTAACTCAGCTTTGTCTGTCAGAGTGCATACACAATCAGGGCAAGTACCACCGAAAGATCGTATTGCGCTAAAAATTACATAAATTATTTCAGCTGTTTACACGCACAACCATATACTTTTTGCTTTTTAATAGAATATGCATAGCCCTTCGTACATGATCATATACCATTTACACCCCTATGATGTGAATTATTTGAAATACAAAATGCTACAACATCAATACACGTTTAATTTCGTCAACGGTCATTACATACTATGATTTATTTGTAATAATTTGTTAATAGTCAATAATATTTAGTTACTTTTGCTTATTTTACGATTATTTTTGCTTTTTGTAAAGATACGATATAATAACGAAATGCTTGTGCGGTTGGATGGTGAAGACTCCTTCGTGGATTCCAGCCGTCATCGATAAACATTGACCCACAATGACTTATCTGTATAGATAATAAGGGTACTACTAAGTGGTCATCGTCGTTGTACAATAACTAAATATATGTTAAAACATCACACTTGATACGTTAATAACAGTTGTAGACAGAACGGCTCTGCGTGTTGTGTACTCACGCACATAGTGCATGAAATAGGCCTAAAGCGCGGTAGAACTCGTCACAGAAGTTATGACCAGAGCGTGTTTGGCGACTGGTCGTTGCCATCCTCCTCTGAACATGACCTCCGACAACTTCTATTTCTGCCACAGTACTTTACAATAGAATCTCTGAGCGTTTTAAACACGAACAGTTGTTGCGGGTACGGAAGGGGGTTGCAGGTATAAGGCGGATAGCAGAGTATAGGGCTATCCTGTAACAAAACCGCTTGCATAAGCGCTTAGGAAGAACCATTTCGTTAACATTTTGTAGTGGCGCATCATTCATGACTATCATTGCCCGTAAATTTAGGCAGATTATATATATCTATATATATTGTTGTAATGACAAGCTAGATCGAAACTGGCGACCGATTGACCAGCACGAGATGTATCGACATTGATAGGGCAGCAAATGTCACGGCTGATGTATGGTTTTCTTAATCGAACAATAAATTAATATGGAATCTGATTCTGGTAGAACTGAATCATGTCGTATGTTCTCGTTCTGAAGTTGAGGAACGAGTCTCGAATTACCTTGATCATGTAATTCGCAGCTTCTTTTTCTGATTGTGCTAATGGGCTGAAGCGCTGCCGAAGTAGTTTGATCGTCTGGCCACGGAAACACGGCAATTTCGTATCAAGCATCATATGCACTAACGTGATAATATCGTCCCGGTACGGCCGAACAGCCAGATATGCACGCACACAAAGCTCGATAAACCACTTGAACGAAGGCGCGTCCACTTTGCCGCCCATAATCATTACCATCTCATCAGTAAGTTTAATATCGGGCTCGAAGCCGAGGTTGCCACCCGGCGACGATTCGAACATAAATCCAAAATCGATATGAATTATATGGCCCTGACTGTCTATCATGATATTTCCGTTATGCCGGTCCTTAATCTGCAAAAGAAATCCGACAACAGAATAAGCTGCCATAGATATAATGAAATTATACCGGGCCTCCTGGAAGGCAGGCGACGTCTCCTCCCCGTACTTCTTTAGGAAGTATTCGTATAGCCCGATATCGGTCTGTCGACCAAGCTGATCACGTGACTTAGCCTGAGGCACGCATTCGATAACGCCACAACCAGGTGCCGTGGCCACGACACGATATGGAAATAGAAAAAGATCTAGGCCGACTTGGTTGAAAATGTTTTTAAACAGAGCAATCACCTGCAAGGCCAACATGTCTTGCCGAACATCGTCGCCTACTTTGAAAATGGCCGCCTGATAGTACTCCCGAGCCATATCGTCCTCGCTCATTGGCGAGCTCACCTTAGCTAACGCGACACTGTTTTGCTGCATTCCATGACTTTCCATGGCAGCGATACCACAATGACGCACCTTAAATCGCGCCAAAAACGGCGCCTTTGCCGCACTCTGCATCGGGGTACCCGAATTATAATCGATGTCAACCACTACGGCTTCGGGATTCGATGGCAGATAGCAACCAGGTTGGACGACGATCTGGGAGAGGGCTTCGAGACACGCTTTCTTCCGTTCAGCTCCCTTTGGAAAATGTCGGATATGACCGGAAATATCGGTGATGCGACTGAAGAAGTCAAATTCGCGCTCATAGAATGCTTTGGTGGGTCCCGATAGCGCCTCGAGGATCGACTCTAGTAAGACATTAAACTCTTCAAACAGCTCGTCCTTCTGTGTACTTTCTTCGTCCATATACAGATTGGTTTTTATGTTCCAGATAAGTTGGTGTGCAAATAGCTGAGATCGAGCGGCCGTTTTACGTAGAAATTCCGCGACGTAGCCGATCTCGTCACAGCGCATGGCCTGCAGCAGCTGGGGAATGTAGAGCATGATGGTGTCAGGTGGACACCGCTCCAACACCCGAGCCGCGTACTGAGCCGTGATAGGGTGGGGTGAAAACTGTTTTGACAAGAACGCCAGTGCCTTAATCGGAGACACGTGTGCCCATGTTAAGATATGATTTAAATCGGCACCATCTGCCGTTACGCTGTCAGGTGTGGCCAGGAATTGTAATGCATCTGGAAGGTGTGCCACCATCGTTGGGTTCTGTCGGACAAGCGATGATACTTCCTGTGCAATCGTCTCCTGCGTTTTAAATCGATACGGCAGGTACACTGCAAGGGTGGGGGCGATTTCCCAGGCTAGACGTGTCGTCTCGCGCTGATTTCTTTCTGCCATCGTTTGTGCACGCCACGATTGCGGCACATTCTCATCTGCAATGAAATAGGAAAAACATAATAAGGGCAACAAACACTTGGCAATAGAGAACAACACGAATGTAAGAATGGGTGCACGACATGTATGTTCTAAAGGTTATTAGCTAGGAGCTGTCATTTATTTAAACATGCAAAAGAGCAACCTGTAGGATAATCTGATTCAAGAGTTTATCCCTTGTGTGCAAAATTTGGTAAATTATTGTTCGTTAAGTTCAAAACATTCTCCTTGCTAAGAATCGGTATTTGAGAGGGAATATGATAAAAAGTAAATAAGATGCGGTGCGATCAATTATATACGTACTCGGAATTGTTTTCTCTGGAGCACTCATTGGGTTGTACCATGTCGATAGAAATTCGATTTCGAACGACAGTAGCCACAAAATAAGATTCCTTTTCTTAATGTAATCTTCCGCGAAAAGTTGCATGTTTGAGTGCGATGAACCAGTCGTGCCCCCGACTTGGCCGTCCTTGGTTCGACCGGCGGAAGATCTCCTCGATATTGTCGACATGCCGCTACTAATGCCCACCGTATTAATCCAGCCTGTTGGCGTAGTCCGCGACAACAGGTCAGCGGAACCTCGCCCATCGGCTTGTGGTGCTTCCCAACCATCGGGGGAGTTCCGTGATTTAAGATACTTTTTTTCTTGATACACTGATGTCCAAAACTTGATTAGCACCGAGATATCGTCGCGAAGTTCAGCGTCGCTCTGTGTTGGGCACATCTGAGGCCCACAGAAGAAGTCTAACGCGGCGCAATAAATGCGTTCACGAAGCACTGTTCGATATATATGTGATGTTAGAACATCACCCTATAACAGAACAAAGTGATTTATGGATCGGCAACTCAATGGAGTACATTGAATTCTTATACGTATAATCCGGATTATTATACAGTTGTGGATCTATGGCTAAAATAGTAACCTGAAAACCTTCCTTTGCATAAACTAAGGAATTTCTGTTTAGCTTACAATCATATAACTAATATGCGATACGACCATGGTTATATTACAACGGCACAAATTTTAATGATGTTTACCTGCAATAGCGAGAGTCCACTGTTGAGAAATCGAAAACGCGTCCCGATGGTTCCAACATGTTTTGTGAGACGAGGTTCGTCCTTCGACACGACCGTCGCTGCCAGCGATCGTTGAAAAAGGTCAGCCAAAATTTCCACCTGGTTTGAACTGCTATATTTTGCCGTCTCGATTCGTTCAGACAAGATCATCAGCGATATTGCATGAGGTTATACAAACGGAGTTCGTGGTTAAAGTATCACACCTTCTTGCGGACGTGTAGGATCGGGATGTTCGCGTTCAACAGAGAAGATGCCCAGCCGAAGCGCAACGGTACGAAGCCATGCAGACCTCATCTCCTGCAAGAAAACAAGCTAGAGATCTGGTCGAGCTGCTAACAGCCAAAGCCAAACGGCAACTGTAGCTCGCATGGTCTGGTTCTTCTGGTTCTTGAAAGCCTTAATGAGTCTAACCACTGCCTTTTGTGGCAGACAAGAGAGCCAGCCATTTGGTACTTGAAAGTCCTAGAAAGTTTGGTCGTCAACATACAGAACCACCTGGTACTTGAAAACTTTAACGACTTTGGCCGTTTAGCCGTTGTGGCAGGGAAGAGTGTCATCTAGACTGGAAAGCCTTAACGAGTTTGGCCATTAATATCGAGAATTATCTGGTTTTTGAAAGCCTTAATGAGTCTAACCATCTGCCTTTTGTGGCAGACAAGAGAGCCAGCCATCTGGTACTTGAAAGTCCTAGAAAGTTTGGTCGTTAATATCCAGAACCACCTGGTACTTGAAAACTTTAACGACTTTGGCCGTTTAGCCGTTGTGGCAGGGAAGAGTGTCATCTAGTACTGGAAAGCCTTAACGAGTTTGGCCATTAATATCGAGAATTATCTGGTTCTTGAAAGCCTTAATGAGTCTAACCATCTGCCTTTTGTGGCAGACAAGAGAGCCAGCCATTTGGTACTTGAAAGTCCTAGAAAGTTTGGTCGTAACATCCAGAACCACCTGGTACTTGAAAACTTTAACGACTTTGGCCGTTTAGCCGTTGTGGCAGGGAAGAGTGTCATCTAGTACTGGAAAGCCTTAACGAGTTTGCCATTAAATCGAGAATTATCTGGTTCTTGAAAGCCTTAATGAGTCTAACCATCTGCCTTTTGTGGCAGACAAGAGAGCCATCTGGTACTAGAAAGCCTTAACGAGTTTAGCCATTAACATCGAGAATTATCTGGTTCTTGAAAGCCTTAATGGGGTCGCACCATTTGGCTGTTTTGGCAAAGAAGAGGGCCATCTGGTGCTTGAAAGTTCTAACAAGTTTGGTCGTTAACATCCAGAACCATCTGGTACTTGAAAACTTTAACGACTTTGGCCGTTTAGCCGTTGTGGCAGGGAAGAGTGTCATCTAGTACTGGAAAGCCTTAACGAGTTTGGCCATTAATATCGAGAATTATCTGGTTCTTGAAAGCCTTAATGAGTCTAACCATCTGCCTTTTGTGGCAGACAAGAGAGCCAGCCATCTGGTACTTGAAAGTCCTAGAAAGTTTGGTCGTTAACATCCAGAACCACCTGGTACTTGAAAACTTTAACGACTTTGGCCGTTTAGCCGTTGTGGCAGGGAAGAGTGTCATCTAGTACTGGAAAGCCTTAACGAGTTTGGCCATTAATATCGAGAATTATCTGGTTCTTGAAAGCCTTAATGAGTCTAACCATCTGCCTTTTGTGGCAGACAAGAGAGCCAGCCATCTGGTACTTGAAAGTCCTAGAAAGTTTGGTCGTTAACATCCAGAACCACCTGGTACTTGAAAACTTTAACGACTTTGGCCGTTTAGCCGTTGTGGCAGGGAAGAGTGTCATCTAGTACTGGAAAGCCTTAACGAGTTTGGCCATTAATATCGAGAATTATCTGGTTCTTGAAAGCCTTAATGAGTCTAACCATCTGCCTTTTGTGGCAGACAAGAGAGCCAGCCATCTGGTACTTGAAAGTCCTAGAAAGTTTGGTCGTTAACATCCAGAACCACCTGGTACTTGAAAACTTTAACGACTTTGGCCGTTTAGCCGTTGTGGCAGGGAAGAGTGTCATCTAGTACTGGAAAGCCTTAACGAGTTTGGCCATTAATATCGAGAATTATCTGGTTCTTGAAAGCCTTAATGAGTCTAACCATCTGCCTTTTGTGGCAGACAAGAGAGCCAGCCATTTGGTACTTGAAAGTCCTAGAAAGTTTGGTCGTAACATACAGAACCACCTGGTACTTGAAAACTTTAACGACTTTGGCCGTTTAGCCGTTGTGGCAGGGAAGAGTGTCATCTAGTACTGGAAAGCCTTAACGAGTTTAGCCATTAACATCGAGAATTATCTGGTTCTTGAAAGCCTTAATGAGTCTAACCATCTGCCTTTTGTGGCAGACAAGAGAGCCATCTGGTACTAGAAAGCCTTAACGAGTTTAGCCATTAACATCGAGAATTATCTGGTTCTTGAAAGCCTTAATGGGGTCGCACCATTTGGCTGTTTTGGCAAAGAAGAGGGCCATCTGGTGCTTGAAAGTTCTAACAAGTTTGGTCGTCAACATCCAGAACCATCTGGTACTTGAAAACTTTAACGACTTTGGCCGTTTAGCCGTTGTGGCAGGGAGAGTGTCATCTAGTACTGGAAAGCCTTAACGAGTTTGGCATTAAATCGAGAATTATCTGGTTCTTGAAAGCCTTGATGAGTCTAACATCTGGCTTTGTGGCAGAGAAGAGCCGCCATCTTGTATTGAAAGTCCTAGAAAGTTTGGTCGTTAACATACCAGAACCACCTGGTACTTGAAAACTTTAACGACTTTGGCCGTTTAGCCGTTGTGGCAGGGAAGAGTGTCATCTAGTACTGGAAAGCCTTAACGAGTTTGGCCATTAATATCGAGAATTATCTGGTTCTTGAAAGCCTTAATGAGTCTAACCATCTGCCTTTTGTGGCAGACAAGAGAGCCATCTGGTACTAGAAAGCCTTAACGAGTTTAGCCATTAACATCGAGAATTATCTGGTTCTTGAAAGCCTTAATGAGTCTAACCATCTGCCTTTTGTGGCAGACAAGAGAGCCATCTGGTACTAGAAAGCCTTAACGAGTTTAGCCATTAACATCGAGAATTATCTGGTTCTTGAAAGCCTTAATGGGGTCGCACCATTTGGCTGTTTTGGCAAAGAAGAGGGCCATCTGGTGCTTGAAAGTTCTAACAAGTTTGGTCGTTAACATCCAGAACCATCTGGTACTTGAAAACTTTAACGACTTTGGCCGTTTAGCCGTTGTGGCAGGGGAAGAGTGTCATCTAGTACTGGAAAGCCTTAACGAGTTTGGCCATTAATATCGAGAATTATCTGGTTCTTGAAAGCCTTAATGAGTCTAACCATCTGCCTTTTGTGGCAGACAAGAGAGCCAGCCATCTGGTACTTGAAAGTCCTAGAAAGTTTGGT